TCATTATTATCATTATTTTTATTACCATTATTGTTATTATTATTACCATTGTTCTTTTCCTTATTATTATTGTTACGGTTATTTCCTACTATGATTATTATTATCATCATGGTTATTATTATTTTCATTATTATTATTGTTGTAATTATTATTATTATTATCATTATCATTATTATTATTACCATTGTTGTTATCATCATTATTATTATTATTATTATTATTATTATTATCATCATCATTATTATTATTATTACCATTGTTATTATTATTACCATTGTTATTATGATTATTACTATTATAATTTTTAATATTATTAAATTATTTGCTATTGTAAATATTATTAGAATGTTTTAGTAGAAAATTTTTTTTTTAATAATAATAATTATTATTATTATTTTTAATGTATTTTCATTGAAATAAGTTTCATAATTCTTGATTTGTTAATATTATAAATAATATTAAATAAGGGGAGCAACGTTATGCAGTGGAACAATTTTGACGGAAAACGTCATCATCATATTTTGCGCAATTTTTATTGTTGACGTCAACGACGTCATTTCCTGTATGCATAACATAGTTAAAGATAAGACATGTAAGAAGATAAATATGTGATTTATATAAAAATAAACAGTAACTTCTTAATAAAGAGGGGTATAACCCCTCGAAACGTTGGAGATAGAAAAGTTTGTGTAGTAGATAATTATAAATTAACTGTTTCCAGATAGAATTTAAAAAGGTTTTTAATTTCCTGTATTTTTTTTTCTGTGATTTTGCTTCAATGCAGTCAATTGACCGTGAATTTTCTTTTCATATTTTGATTTCCTTGAAATCATTTTTCTCATCTGAAGGCATGCAACTTTAATATGATGATACATTAATTACATTCCATGAAAATATTAAAAGATATAAAATATCTCATGACATGTTTGTTCCTTTAATGCAGCAAACATAAAAAGTCTTCACAAAAAGTAGTATGCAATCGTACCTTTATTACATACGAATGTATGGTAATATTTTTCTTGTTTATTATAGTAGACAGTAGACATTTTATTTTATTCCAATAGGCTTTAAAGCCGATGAGGACATAAAACATGCACAATAACGAATTGTTCATATAAAAATAATATCAGAAAAAAAAGTTTGGACACAATTTTAATTGATAAAGTAAATACCAGCCGAAATTTTCTTAAGGAGTTACATAATGAACATTTTCGAAATTGATCTTTAAACCAGTAACTTATAGGTTTCTTGTATATACATATACATACACACATATACATGTACATACATACAAAAAATACATTACATGAACCATTAATGCAAAATTGTTGTATATTAATCGATTTTTAACACATAAACGCAATAACCATATTTTATGTTTATACACATATCCTAAAAATGAAGGTCCCTTCGCACCAATTGCGGATTTCATAATTGAAAATGAAAGGAACGTCATAATTTGATCAAAACAATTACATGCAAGAATTTGCCTATCATATTCTGGCGTTTTTTTCCACAAACGCCCCAACAAAAACAATATTTTCTGTAAAAAAGTATTGCAGGTATCAGCAATAAAAGAGTGACACTGGAATTTGCTTATTAATTTCTGGTGTTAATTATAAAGTTTCAAATCGGGTTTGGATTTCGATGTTTTTATCCATGCCGACAACCCGTCTGAAACCTTTAATGCCAGACCGCTCATGAGCTTAAATGGCGTCATTATCTTTATGAAAGAACGGTTTTAAAAATGATCACGCTACTCTTAGACTAGTGTTTATGAAGTATATGTAAGTGTTCATCCGTGTTGTTTACAGAAATTAGAAACTTCGACGGGAGCGAGAGCGACCGGAGATTATTTCTTATTTCTGTAGAACAGCTACGGGTGAATACAAACATACTTAGGGTCAAGTCTTATTCGGCTTCATTAATATTAACTTTATTTCGTCACTATACCTGTCCATTTGCACAAACGCGGTTATATGAAACACTATGAAAAATAGAAAGCTGCTATGAACGGACTTTGATATATCATCGACTTTTGTTCTTCTATGAAAATTTACACAAAGAATTTTTAAGAAATACAACGCTTTCATTGGATGACAAATAAAGCTGGACACTAATATTATTTATTTCAGTTTCTTAATTTGGTTCTACACATCCGCTTATGTCTTGTAAACATAACTTTTCAATTATAAAGAAAATCAATTAATAAGAAAAAAAATGCGCCGTACGTTATCATTGATATGTTGTGCGCCATACGTTATCATTTCCGGAAAATGCCCCGATATTAATATTTTCAGCGGTTATTCTAGCCAGAATGGGCATGATATAGAACATTCAAATAAATGTTTTCAAAGAAACTTTCAAAATAGCACAAAATGTCCTTTAATTTAAAACATTTGATTCAAACCTATAATTGTTTTAGGTTCAAATATTTTAATTGTTAGTGTGATAAATGACAAAAATAAAATCAAAAACATAATATAAACCTACCGTATTATATAACAACATAGTTCATTGATTATTGTGATTATTACTATTTTTCTTTATTTCTTTATATTTTTTTTTCTAGATGTACTTCCTTTTGACATAGGCAAATATTTATGTTAATTTAGAACAATGCATCACCTTTTACCCATTGAAAAAGGCAGAAATTTGGCAATTGATCATAATAATAGGCTCTGTTCCTTATGTCCGTATCAAATTTCACTACTTATTTCAATGTTCGTACTTTAATGACATAAGACGTAAATCTCTTCTTCCCAGGTTTTACATTCATCCCAATATTTTTAAACTTGACACTTTAATGAATAGTTGTGATAAAAAGATTCTACTAAAATTATCTTTATTTTGTAAAAACATTATGTTAAAATTTAGATAATTAATACTTATGATTCTCCGTTCCCATTTGTTACAATGTAAAATGCATGTTGTATTGAATTCAGTACTTGAAATGAACAATATGATCTCCTTTTTTGTTTATTTAGCTAGTTATAATTGTATTCTTATATTGTGATATTAGTGATTTTTGACTGTTATTTTTCTGTTTGTTTGTTTGTTATAACCAGTTGCATATTATCTGCCTTTGTTTAATAAAAACTGAAACTGGTAAATGTTTGAATGTCATATTCCAAAGAGTTGAAATCAGAATACAGATTCTAAATCAAAATTAAAAATTTCATTTTGGTAGTCTGTAAAAATTATTCCATTTATAAATGACAGGAAAAAAACAAGAGATGTATTTTCAAACGATAAACTTGTGTGTAGAAGAATTAGTGGTGAGTAAACTATTCGCCCGAAAGTGTACAGAATAGTGTATGAAAATTCTGCTAAATACATAATATTTATTATATTTATACATATTTATAATAAATTCTATCAGACAGCTCGCTTTGAGACTTTGTCTTATTCATATACATGTATTATTATCTAAATCCCCAAAAGGAAGTGACACCTAATGAAATAAGAAAGCTGGTTTATCTGAACATGCTGTCTCAGAGAAGAGTTTTACTTTATTGTAGAAAAGTCCTTTGTTGTGCTTCCGGCTTTTTCATTATAACTATGTTGAAAGTTCGTGATCCAGGGGGGAAATATATATAAATTGTGAAGTAACCAAAAGGAAGCAATTTGCACATTATCAATGTCACTTATATTATATGTAGTTTACCAAACAGATGTAAAAATATGTACAATAAGCCCTTAATGCGTTAGTAACGCGTTAGTAACGCAGTAGAAATATAAATATAATTACTGAAAAAATCAACATATTACATGTAAATCAATACTTGAAGCTTGAATCTTTTACTTTTCCTAGAATCTTAGCACATTTTTAAGCTGGATTTTATTGATATATTTTGGCTGATCTGGAGGCTGCATCTTTAATGTACATTTGTATTTATACACCGATTTGATTATAGCGGTAGTGTTTTCATCTTCAATTTTCACAGAGACAAATTAATTAAAATTTTCGTGTTTTACTATTCTGTTGTTTCGCTATGAATTATAATGAGGGACATAATAAAACAGTTCTGCTCTAAACATTATTATTATTATTATCATTATTATTATTATTATTATTATTTTACTTTTTTCATTAAAAATATCTTATCATTTAAAATATTTTATATAAATATTTATCATAATTTACCTACTGCAAAAGTTTAATATAACCGATTAAATAACAAATGAAGTCAAAAATAAATAATTTGGCAGTTGTTTAGAGACATTTTGTCTACATATAACGAAATATGCGCCTGATGAAGAACATGGTTTTTAATAAAAAGTTGCAAAATCTTCCTTAACGGATATACGAACCTACGCTCAATTAGAGGTAACACTGTACAGTACGGTGAATATAACGTATGGCTATTCAAATGGTTTATGACAGTCTGTTTATTACGAATAATACGGCACAATGCATTGAGCACCACAAAATGATAACAAAAGACGAGGTACTTTTCTTTACACACCAAACTCTTGGGACCTATATTCTTGAAAAGACACTTGAGGAAAATCCCATTCTTTCTCCCACTTCGCACTGGGAAACAAAAACAATATGTATATGTATAAAATGCAATGTGATTTTTGTTTAGTAGATACATACATTTAAAAGTTTCAAAGTTTTTCTCTTTTTTATCATAGGTTCTTAATGAGGATGTATTGCTGAATAATAACTATAAGTGAAGCTTATATTTCGTCAGTTTCATAACAGCATGTGGATAAACATTTCCACTATAATAAATTGACGCGTTGATATACCGGTATTGTCTTTATAAAGTAACGGTATATTAAAAAAACACCTTACTACACATTATAGAGATTTATTAATACCCTTAAGTATATTTTCATGAAAAGAATTATATTTTATCTTATTATAATATCGTATTGTTGAATACAAATTAGAATCCACAAAGCCTATCTGTAATTTGTGTTAAATACAGACCGTAGATCAAAATTTAAATCTTTAACTAATTGATTTCATAATAGGATCACACGACCACGAAATCATAATTTATTTTATGATACATAATTATAAACTCATCTTGGATAGTTACATTTCCTTCCTTAGTTTTTTTACGTAGCTTTTGGATAAAATGTATCAGAAGAAAGGTAATTAATGTATAGACATAATTGTATTGTATTGTTTGATATCAATTAATACTCGACTGGAGAATCATCTATTGGATTATGTCATCTTCAAAATATTTGAATACGGTTCGACATAAAAAAATTTTTTAAATAATCTACAAGTTGTCATTGTGTCTTATATAGTCTATATGAAAACCGGATTAAACATTTATTTATAAAGGAGAGGTGGAATGAGCGGCCGCGAGCAAGCTTCTCCTAAAGTCAGTAAGTTTGAATTTTTTTTTCTAATTCACTTAAAACAAAAATAATTTCAAGAGACCTATAGCCTAAGACAGAATAAACAACAATTCTAAATAAAAGGCCTTTGCATTGTTTTATTATCGTTTTATACAAAATAGTACGAATGTAAAAACAGTTTATGCCTGTGGAAGCTGAACCTCTGTACTAATTATAATAAAAGCTCACAACCTGTAAAATAAACCTCGGTTATAAATATGTTGATATACTATCATTATAGAACTAAAGCAAGTAGGTCTACTTTCTTTTCCTTATCCAACGAAGACAATACATTCCAGCATTTTGCTTATCTATTAGCAAATAAGATAATGCCTATATGACATGACAACAAATAGCCTAAGACTAAAACAGATAAAGGGTTTGGTAAGCGGGAATTACGACATGCACAGAACAATTAGAAGTCGTCCACGAATCTGATTCCTATCAAGGTCAGTGAGCACGAAATGATTGTACTTGACAATGTCAAAACTCAATAAACCGTTCATCTGTTACTCTTAAACTACAATTACTAGTGATCTAGTATAAGTGTCCTCTGCATGTACACGACCTTGCAAAACATATTGGCTGTACAAGTAACTGGACACGCCATTGCTTGCAGTAGTACTCAAATTTTCAAGATTTAAAGTATGAAGTCAAAATGCGGTGACAATCAAGGACGGAGCTTAGAGAACGAAGAAATAAAAAATCATGACACTTTTAACATCCGTCAAGGGATTATGTTTTTCTCACTTGACCACAGAAAACTTCTCGAATAGGAATTGATATATTAAGAACAGAACAGAACAGAATATTTATTTTGACTTAAGCATATACAGCTTATCATCAATCATGAAAATATGATACATGTACATTCAGTCGCATGCAAATGAAAATGGCAAAACAAGTTGTAAGTTGCATAGAAGGAAAATAATATACAATGTAATCAGTAAGCGTAAAATCAAATTGGCAAATATGTATAACACACAAGTCAACATTTGATATTATTAAACTTCAAGATTAATGTGGTTGTTTCTTACTTTCAGAGGTCTTGAAATAAATATTGACAGTCTACACAATATTTTGTGATTATTACAATCTAACAATTTAATAAACTTAAACATGCTAGGACGATTTCTGAAGTAGGACGGAATATATAATTTTCTCAAGTCTTTATACTTCTCACATAAACACACAAAATAAAACTCGTCCTTCAACATCGTCTTTGGTACATATAACACACTTTCGTTCACTTCTTATCTGGTTTCTATGGCGACCCTGCTCTATGGTTAAACAGTGCGAAGAAAGTCTAAATCTAGCCAATACATTTCTGAATTTGTTATTATTAAGTATTGTCAAGTATTCAGACATTCCAAAAGTTTGTTTAATTTCTTTATATAGAGTCCATGCCGTTGAAATGTTAACTGCCTCTCTCCACTGTCCTATATAAATGTCTTTAAGCCTAAACTTAAACTGTGTAATAAAGCACTCTATGTTAACAACAGATGCAGGAAAACACCAGACATCATTAAACCTATCTCTTCCAACATAGTCTTGACTTTTGATAACCAATTGTTTTGTAAATCATGTGACTCAAATAGAAAATTATAAACAGAATATAAAATACAATTCTTATCATGTGAATTTAATAGTTTGAAAAAATATTTCATTATTTTTACTTTTCTGTTTAAAACTAATGGAAACCGTCCCGTTCCACCATAAAGTGCATAAATGTTCGTACTCATTTTTACATCCAATGTCCATTTAAGATATGTTCTATGAAGTCGCTCTAGTCTTTCTGCTTAGCTAAATCCCCACAGTTCAGAACAATATGACATTATAGATGTTACATAAGCATCGAAAAGGTTAAAGTTTATATGTAGTGGTATTTGCATCCCTCGAGGGATGTTTTTGAGAAAAAAACATTGATTTAAGAGCTTTATCTGCTAACGCATCTATGCCTTTTCGAAATGAACCGCCACTGCTCATTACAAAGCCTAGGTAATTAAAGTTTTCAACAATGTCTATGGTCTGGCCGTTATATGTCCAAGCCTGATTTCTTAGTAATTGACCACCCTTTCGGAATACCATAATTTTAGTCTTTTCAACGTTAACTGTTAGGTGCCATCTTTTACATTACACCTGGTTAAGATTGCTTTGAAGAGCTTCAGGGGTTTCGCTATGCAACACACTGTCGTCTACGAAAAGGATTAAGTATATAGACAAGTAGATGTTTTGATGCTAACGCATCAAGTCGCCGGATAGAAAAGTGATTGTTTTATCATAAGTATAAGAAAAAATCAGTTTAATTAATGGTTCAAGAATAAAGAAAAGAGGTGTTTATTCACAATAAAGCATCATATATGAAGCAAACTAGCTTAGCAATATTGTCAAGGAACTGCTATGATTATTAAATAAGCAAGTATTGTCTGGCAATATTGACCCGAGACTCATTAATTTTCAGGAGGTGTTTCGTAAGTTTACGTAACTTATTATGATTAATGCTAAAGGTTTTATTGATAGTATGGATCTCGATATTAAATCAATTAATATTGCTCGATGCCTAGAGGTGGTAAGTATGACGGAGTTGTGACCTAGTAGGCCAATTTCGAATCTTCGAAAATCCTTTTTGCAGTTTTCATAAAACTATTTTTATTATTTCTTTTAATTATATGAAACAGAAGTTGATCAATCATGTTTCATTTCTAGCATTTTTTATTTCATATTTCATAATTTTGATTAATTTTGTATGGCGAGTGATATGCTTGTTATTCTTCTTGTAATTCTACCTTATACATATACCGGCCGTTATACTAGACATCGAAATCCGTATTGTATAATCAGAATCCAATAATTACTGCCAAATAATTAACAGTCATCTAATATTTGCGAAGTGACTCTGAAAATATATATGTTTTAATTATTGCATAAAACAATGCAATTCTACCGTAAAAAAATATTCCTATGCGCTATCGAAAAAATATATATAATTTAGTTGAAATCAATATTCCTTTCGTTACATACGATATAGTTAACGTTTAATTGCCTTTCAGTTCGATAAAATATATCAACACAAAGCACAAAGATATTTTATTAGTTTTCTCTTTGTATCTAATAAGATTCCGGATCCCTTCCGTTATACCGTTTTGGTAACCTGCGCAACGGAAATCGACGGAATATAACGAAGACGACGAAAACCACTATGCCTCTTTAGCATAAATCTATTTTATGATTTTCAACCTTAACTAAACCAGAAAGGGCTAAGTTTAACACTTTACCAAGAAAAAATGACAATGTTTTGAAAATTTATTCTTTAATGTATACAGACCTTTCTAATGATATGAAATATGAAACTTATCAGCAGCCATACCTTTTGCCTAGCCTGGGTTCCAGTCTGTCGATTTTTTATGTGCTTATGTTCGGCAAATCGACAGCCTGGGGAAATACAATTTTTGATCAAAGCGCCACCTAGTATTCACCCCGAAAATTACGGGTGTAATTAAAATAACGATAACTTATGCAACGACAAACTAGTTTCTAAAAAACAGTTACGGAGCCTCGCTTTCAAAACACCATTTCCGATTAAAAACTTACACTCGTTGACAAAATTTATTGCATGATGAGTGACTTTGATCAACTTTTTTGATTAGCTAAAGTTGATAAAGTTTGTGAGCATCAGAGAATTGTGCTGCTGGACGCAATTTATAATAGTAAATGGCGTCAAATTTTCAACATTCATCATCTTCGCCTCGATTTCGATTAAGTCATATAATTTGTTGGTCACGTGCTAATGGGTCTATTAATAGGATTATCATTAGTCGATAATTACATGGGAAACCCGGCGTTGATAGATGTTGCGTTAATCTATGACGATTGAGTATGAAATAGCGCGTATGTTATGAATAAGCAAAAAATTGTAATAGCCGGCGGTAGTTAGAATTACCAAGAAGAGTTTTAAAGTTAACAATAGTTTTATTGTTTTAACAGTTCTTAAAAATATATTATTATACGAAGATGTTGTCTAATAATTATAAATAACGTTCAGCATCTAAATAAATCTATACAGTATATAATGTTGCAGACGATAATTTATTAACGGATTAATGTCAATAGATTCTTATCCGATACTAATAACAGTGGACACAACTCGAATACTGATAAAACGGACATAATGGACGGATGATTAGACGGACTTACTTTATACTATCAAGTATAAATACTCTTTGACTTTTCAAATATTGCCGGTCAAAGAACAGTACGCAACTGAATTTTACTAGTCGCCGCCCGTTTTTTTTAGCTTTGGTCTGTGTCCACGTGATCTAAAACAACCAATGGATGAAGTCTCAGAAAGAGGGGTGTGACCCTTTTAACCAATGAATTACTGTCCGGCGACCGTTGGCCAATGAAATCAATGAACGGTAAACGGCAGGGATTACAAGCTACCGTTCATTTTCTGAGAACGTTCATGATATAATGACTTTTACTCATCAAAAGTAAGTAATATGCATGTACAACTTATAAAATACAATTCTTGGTAAAATAGCAATCATTTTGATATACAACACTATGACAAAAAGTGACTGATCTTCATATAATCAACGAAATAGGTTACTGAACGGTGGCTGAGTTACAGACGCTCGAAATTGAGCTTTGCTATTTAAAAGCAAAATCGTAAAATATAACAATAATTCATAATTTCAAGTGACTGTGAAGTGTTTCTGAGACAAAACAATATTAAGGTATATTTTCTAATGGTTAACTCAGTCCTATAATGAGTAATTAATTATCACATAAACGTGAAAATCGCAATCACCAACTACAACAACAACAACATCAAAATTGTCAGCCTCCATGAATTTGTGTAAATGTAACGAGAAAATCATTAATTACATGAGATTAAGTCACATAGTAAGTGATACTGTAGGATATTTCTTAAAGACTGACAGTTAACAAGGTAAATGCCTATACATGTTTAGCAATTTCATGAACTTTGCAACAAATTATTGACAATCTGTAATTTGTTAAAATATCAACGCCTTAATACCAGGCTATTCACAAGTTATCTGTATGTCTTATCAGCAATCTGTTACTATTAATAGATTTTATAACAATAACATACAACGTGTAGTCACGTGATTCTTACAAAGGAACAGTATAATTAGATAAAATAATGAAATATAATAGGTCAAATAAGATATAAACAACCAAATAATTTAAATGTGTCATTTCAAATATCATTCATGATTTATCTATCATAAAATAGCAACGCTTAACACTCAGAAAAAAGTAGTATCCCTAAATTCAATGACTGGTCCATAGGGATACATTATTAATTCATTTTATGAAAATTGTAATGTTGCTTTTTAAGATCTCATTATTTGTATATTTCACTTCAATGAGCAACGTTACTTTATGTTTGAATTTCTAAGATTATGAAAAATAATTGTGGTCCTTAATAGTTCAATAATTGATTTGCTTTTATTTTCAGATTTTAAGGCCTTCTCCTACCATAGATATAATATTAAACTGTTACAAATATAGTCGCCGGTTTCTACCGGTGAAGTATACTTCTGTATGATAGTACATGTAGATAAAACGAAAACAGCGTCGGTAGTACTGTGACCCGACTTGAACCCAAACTGTGCACCAGAGAGCTTGTCATAATTTTTGGTCCATACTTTCATTCTCTCATTTATTATTCCTGTAAATATTTTACCCAGGCAACTTAGTAGCGTGATTCCCAATGCAATGTTAGATGGTTGTTTTTCAAAATAGGTATTATTAATCCCTCTGACCACTGACTCGGGAATTCACCTGCGACAAGAACGGTTCGGAAAGGATGTCAATACACTTTTTAAAATATTCATTTATCATATTGTCTAACCCAGCGGCTTTGTTTCTGTTTAAAGAGTTAACAACTTTACGAAACTCATTCTCCGTAATTGGCATGTCTAATTCCTCGAATGTAACTTCCTCCGTGTTATCACAATTATTGTCAAATTTGATTAGAAACTCTTGTACATCGTCGTTATCATCAACTTTCGCGTCCAGGGATTTAAAATGATTGTAAAAGTGATCTAAATTAACACTCTCATCGACTGGGTTATTGCCCTGATTAAACATTTTCAAAAATTCTCTTGGCTTTTTACGACGCATTTCATTCATTTATCTCCCTTTGCCTATATTATATAACGTTTTTGTTTTTCGTACGAAACAGTTGTAGTCTTTTTTAAGGCGTCGAAACTTTTCGAAATTATCTGTATTTCTATCACAGTTGTACCTTTTAAGGGCCTCACTATATCGCTTCCGTTTATTTTCGCATTCAATGTTAAACCACTTTTTTCGCTCAGTCATTTCACTGTCGAGAAATGTTGAGTTTTTTACCTTTATAGATTTCTTAAACAGTGAATCAATGTAGTCTGTGAACATTGCAACAGTCATACCAAGTGCTTCTGTCCCTTGTGCATCACTATCTTTTAAAGAGTCTGTTGAATTGTTCATTCCACTTGTCAGTTCCGCTTTGAAGAGATGTTTTTCATTATCATTCCAATGATAAAAAGACCTTGCCTGATTTTGACTTATACTACAATGCGTACAAACATCAGTTCTATTTTGAACGTTATTGGTGAATGATTAGAATATTCATTATATTGATGCACTTTAAAATCTTTAATGGACTGAAAATTGCTATAAGCCGTTACCACGTAGTCTATAACACTTTCGCCGTTATGCGTATAGCAAGTATAGAATTACCCAAATCACTATCATTCGCCGCTCTTCCATTCATAATACACATGTCTATTAAATAATCACCGTATCTAATACTATGGTTATCCATTGAAATTCGACGATTTGGGGAACTGTTTAAAGTGTCGGTAAGTTCAATGTCTGTAATACGCTTGTGTTCAATAAAATCAAGTTTTTGACCTACCCGACAGTTAAGGCCACTTATCCAAAACGTCCGACCTAATTGTGAGAAGTGACCTATTTCGTCCTCGAGTTTGTTAAACAGGTCAATATTATATACGTTATATGTCGGCGAGCCTTCAGGCGGTATATAAGTCGCCGCTATATACCAATCATTGTCAGTTTGAAAAAAGTATTTATCTAGTTTAATCCAAACAATACAATCAATATCATTTCGTATCAGCTTAACACCCTTTTTAATACTGCTCTTTATATAGATAATAACACCGCCACTTTCTCGTTTCACCCGCCTATGTTGAAAGCTTCTAAATGAGTGGATAGGGTTATATCCACTTAACAAAATGTTCGTGTTTCTACTGGTGAAAGTTTCGCATCGTATTCTGAGATAAAATTTGTGAAATCCTCGCAAGACCGTTTCGAGGGATACGGACAAAAGCCCCCCCCCGGACGAAAGCCCCCCGTCTAAAAATGACAAGGTGGACAAAAGCCCCCCCATGAAATTTTCACATAGGACAAAAGCCACCCCCCCCCCCCATAAAAAAGTAAAGGTAGGACAAAAGCCCCCCCATAATCAATCAAATTTACATATAGTGTATTAAAGTTGTGTTTTTATGTGTTTAAAAGATATGTATGGACATCACATGTAGGTGACATAGTGCTTAGGATATTAATTTGATCCCTTTACCAAAGTGATTAAACATTACTACTCTTCTGACCCTTGTTGTGTATATGAAAAGCTATAAATTCGGTATCGCATGCATGCATTATTTAATTTTTTATCATAAACTTTGTTATCACTTCAATATATACATAATAAATAAACATTAAAACAAATTCTTTTCATTTTTATTTAAAAGTCTGTGCGAAATTTGATGAATTTGAGCACCTGTGCGTGTGAAAAAAGATGGGGGGGGGCTTTTGTCCTACCTGTATTTTTGATGGGGGGCTTTTGTCCTATGTGAAAATTTTCATGGGGGGGGGCTTTTGTCCTTTGTGAAAATTTCATGGGGGGAGTGTAGGACAAAAGCCCCCCCCCGGACGAAAGCCCCCCGTCTAAAAATGACAAGGTGGACAAAAGCCCCCCCCCCCATGAAATTTTCACATAGGACAAAAGCCCCGCTCGTAGAGTCAAAAGATCGTCTTGTCTCCAAATCCGTTAAATCTCTTTTCAAATGTAATGATCTTGTCATCCACGTTTTTTAATCGCCCCATTATAACGTTAATTGACGATTGAATTGAATCTAACTGTAACAGTTTATTGTCCACCATGTCAATACGTTGAAGAATGAGGGAAAATGGGTCAATGTGTGCTGTTGATTGTTGTGAGATAGGTGCACTTGGCGTTGTCATTGCCCCTTGGGGCGTGCACTGACCATACACAGGTGAACCTGAATTTTGCATCATATTGTCATTATATGTAAAAGTTCCAGGATTGATATAGTTCTGACCTGTATATGCGCTGTTCAAATGTCCATTTATAATCCCATTTACTATCCCACCTGTCGCTGGTGACGTTTGGTTAGAAGTCATATTTTGTCTCTTATTTTCAATGCCCTCTTTGTTGTCAGTTGAACTCTTACTCTTTTTACGTTTAGTAGCCATACATTCCAAACTAAAGAATCAGAAATAACTCATTTTACATCCACAATAGTTGAATACCGGTATAACACTAATGGGCTTTCAATATTTTCTAACACTTAATAATGTCCCAATAAGTCCAAATATATTGATATTTTTCGAGCCTTTTCAAAAAAACACCGCCATACGCATGCGCATAACAAAAAATTAAGGTGTATGCCCATAAAGACAAAATACAACTGGGCAAGATACGAACCTTGCTTGAAGGAACTAATTTGGATCTAATAAGATGGTTTTCCCCAACTAGTTAAGCGGTACAATAAATCCTTCTTGGTCCTAGTCCTAGTGGTGACATTATAAGAATCATACACTGGCTGCCGGTACAGAATGGAAATATATCTCAAGGGTAAAGGTTTACGGTGGTAACGAGGCTCTGTCGAGTTACCGCTAAACAGTTACCCGAAAGCTAGATATTTCCGTCTTTGAAAACAGCTAGCATGTATATATGCTATAAAATCATCGTTCGAGAATAAATTATGAAAACTTAAAGTTGTATTAAGCACGTTTGTCTTGTAGTAGCGTATGAATTTACAACTTCATTCGAAACAGTAAACTCACGTCATCCTAAAATGCAATTTATTCGTAAAAGGATTGCGGGATTGACGTCATTTAATACACAACGCTTGTCTCAAGCTGTGTGTAATGATGGGTGAAATAATTGACCACCGAAGACTAGATACAAATAAAGTTTTCTCATGTCTTTGTACACGAACGCGCATAAATGAGGTCATTTAAGGAGCACGACCAGAAATTACACGGGGATGAAAGACTGGTTTGTCTAGCACTTCTTTAAATAAGATGCTTCTAATTTGTTATTGATGATTTATACAGTTACATTAAACATCTTAATTAAAATAAATGAAAAAAATAATGAGCACGAAGCGGATTATTTCAGGTATGAAGGATGTATGAAATATCTCTAAATGCTGCGATGGGAAGTTACTGTTGTACGTGCCGAAGGGAAAAGGTAATTTCTGCAGGTAAATATATTTGCCATGATTGATCATAGACAATTTCTAGGATTACCTACATATAAAATGGCAGTTATCTGAAAGAGAGAAAAAACAACGTAAGATAAAGAAGAAAAATCATTTGCAGAAAAAAAAAATGATAGTTACAATAACAATAAGATAATGGCTGGTCGTATTGCTCAAAATGTTCTAAAATGTTATTTGGAATCTTAGGTAGAACACACTGATTTTCATCAGGTATTATATATGGCGGCTAATTTAGAACGCTTGTGTGCGCCGTGTTGTCGCGAGCGACAGCACGACAAAACGCAAAACGGCGTGTTATCAGACTTTCGTCTTGTCATCCTGTCGCTAACGATGCACACAAAACGGCGCGTTGCCGTGTTGTCGCGATGTCACATTGTCGCTCGGCTCAAATCGAAGGACTGGCTTATAAACAAAGCGACAGGGCGACATCGCGCCACACGATAACGTGCCGTTTGGCGTGCTACAGACAGGACAACAAGACGAAAGCAACGCGCAAAGTGTATCAAATCAGTCACCATACTATGGTGGCTGATTTGGAACGCTGTTGTTCGTTATATTGTCGCTAGCGACAAGACGAAAATGTGATAACAATATAGGTTGTGGTGTCGCTATTGACAACGAATCGTGCAAAGTATCATATTTAACTGTTCGAATATGCTTACAGACATTTCGCGCCGCACGTTGAACACGCGAACCAATGGACGAAATTTCAATAAACCATCTTGTATCTAACCGTCCCTTTTAACTTACCTTTTGTAATCGTCTTAATACTGATTGCCAGATAGTAATTACGTTGTTGATGGAGCGAGTCATCTAGACACTACCTCCATCATTAATTGCAAATCTGCCAAAGCACATCCCTTCCATGTATACGCTGAAACAATATGAACTAGTATATATGTATATTTTGAGAAATTGAGGTCATGCCTTACAACAAAAAATAAAATTGCTTTTGAAACCTTAGTTTGAAAATGCCCATAAGAATTGTCGTGAATTACATCACAATTTTAATGTAACAACAGCTGGGTTAAACACGAAACGCTTTGAGCTTTCTCAAGAAGATGAAGAAATATTGTTGTAGGCTTCTGATTAAAGGATCTTGAAATGCCTGGCATCTATCTAAAATGACTGTTAAGACTGTTTTGTTCGAATTCATTTCACTCTATGCAATCAACAATTTGGATATTCAGTCCGAAAATCGTTTAAAACATTACCATAGATGAATACAATGACATGGGTTTTCGATTAGACTAGATCAGACTAGAAGTTTGTAAGTAATAAGAAACTTTTTTTTCAGAAAACAGAGAAGGAATTGTGAGGAATGGGGTCCCCATATTTGTCGTTGGCGAAAACAAAACCAATACGAAAGACAAGTTATGTCAGGACAGGTAAAAAATCCTTACATTACTTTTTTGTATCTAAATGCTTATTTTTTATCCTTTTTTCCCTGACAAATTTTATGTATACTTTCGTTATATTAATTACATTAAACAGTTATATTTCTTTTTTCACCTGAACATTACTGTAAATGTATTATCAAAGTGACGTAAATTTTCAGATTACAGAAGTGGTTCTTCTAACCACTTGCATTTCGCGGTGTTGAAAATAATTATACTTATAATTATTTCTGTAACAAATGAAATGATGTGTTAAAGTTTAATTATAGATACAAAAAGTAATTAAACCACAGAAATATGCAGCTAATTAGACTATTTTAGCTATCCTTTAATCCTGCAACGCTTGGCTATTCCGAAGTACAAAATACAGCATAAATATAGAGCAATTATTGTGTTTCTATTTAAGACCACTTTTTCTATTAAGAACTTTTTATCGGGATAAAAAAGCAACTGAAAATGTAATAAAACAAAAACATTTACAGAAATGGTTGTTTAGCAAAATTGTATTTGTATTACAGAAAATACACCTTTAATGCTGGAAATGGTGTTTTAAAAGAAGAGGTAGATGGTAAGAAAGCAATTTAATAACTTAGAAATATTATCTGTTTTCGGGCAAACAATCATCTTCTTGACGAACCTTTTCATTCTTATTATTTTAATTCTTCAGGGTATTTTTTTTCTTATTTTGGACGTTATGGTAGGGATATATATATTTAAATGCATTGTGCTCGAAATCGTACATGCTACATTATAGTCAAGTATAAAAGGTCAACGTCACACTTAAAGTTTAAGGAAGAGCTTGTCCAGAGCAAAACTTCTACATGTATTGAGAGGTTTTAATATGACTTGCATAAGTGTTCACCATTGTGAGTTGATATACGAGGTATGTTCAAAAAGTTAGTGGACTTTCGTTGTCATTTATTACTTGGTTCAAAGGTTCACTTTCTTTCTTTCTTCATCATTACAAACAGAAAAATGGTTATGGTTATATGATCCGGGGACATTGAACACTCAAAAGAGTACTTTCAGAAACATTGGCGCCGGTGAAATTTTTCACCTTAATTGCGACGTCACGAACGTCATTTTGTTTAATCAGCGTGCGCCGGATCGTGTACCCCTCAATATTTGTAACTGTCAGAGAATCGTTATATGTAATCATATTATTTTGATTTTTTCACTGTATATTCCAATATTTGTCTCCTGTAAACAATCTTGTATGCAAATTAAGAAATAAGAACACAAGAGCTGTAATCCAAGAAATTTTTGAACAACCCTCGTATCTAAGATAAAATTCAGTTTGTCTGTGGCCAAGATCTCACGGAGATCAGATAAATAATATGGAATTGTGTTTATGGACAATTCGGTAACACATGCATGGTAGGCAGGGTCACATACAGAAGTCCAAGGTCAAAAAAGATGAAAATATGATTATTGATCATTTAATCATACACAAATAGCTCAAACGTAAGATAAAAATGTGAACCACAGCGGCGCTTGTGGTTGGCGTATTTTGTCAATGGCACTTTTTATTTTATTTATTTATTTATTTAAGCCTGTGCTCAGATTACATTTACTTGAAAGTTCTCTAATGGAATAAATCATCAGTTTCTTTATTTTCAGTCACAAGAACAAACAAGAGTTTATCAACTCATTTTGAAATTGTTACTAGCAAACAACCAAAAGTTAAAACACAAAAGCAAAACAGCAAAAGTTCATTGCCAACTCAGCCTACAAGAACACAGTCGGGTGTATTGGAGAAGGATAAGCAAACTATCCTAAAGAACTTCAAATATTTAAAAGACGAATTGGACATGGACTCCGAAGTTCTTGATTACTTCATCGCAGAAGAGATTTTTACACAAGATCAAGTAGACTTGATTAACGCCGAATGTTCGAGGCGAAGAAAGGTAGACTGTTTTCTGCGAATGTTGCTACGTTCCAAGAATAAAGCATATGAGAAGTTTCTTGAGATCTTGACGAGGACCAAAAATGATCATATTCGACAAAGTTTAGAAAAGGAAACTAATGCATCTGATATTGGTACATTTTATGACATTTTTGATTATATGTTTGTTGTTGTTGTTGTTGTTGTTGTTGTTTAAAGCACAAACTTATCTGACTATAAATTATTAACGTGATTAGACGCAATAAATGAGTTGTTATTTTTCTTACAAAAGAAGACGCAATTCAAAGCGTCAAATATAATTATGTAACAATATGAATTTTATACAAAACGGTCGGCCTAATGTAGTATTATTATACATGTCGTACATTCAATGTAACAATGACTTTTTAGTTTCAGACACGCCAAATATGACAACCTTGACTACACATGCATTACTAAAGAAATACAAGAAAACAATTATCAATGAGTTAGAGCCGGAAATGGTTCTTGATCATTTTATTCAAGCTGAGGAGTTTACAATAGATGAATATGAAGCCATTATTTCAGAGAAAACAAGAAAAAGCAAAGTTGAACGATTTACTAAAATTTTGATGAATGACGCACATCTGCCTCGGGGGTATGTTATATTTTTAAACGCGCTGAAAATCTCTGGCGAAGATGGTTTACATGAGCAGTTTAGAAGCTGTGACAAGAAAGAAGGTAAAGCGAATAATCTATTTTCAATTATTATCGTCAAAATGTATAACAGCAAAAACAAATTATAATGATATACAATTTATTCTTATAACTAATTTCAAAATTGTAATATTTCATTAATACAAAAGTACAGATGAGATACGGTACCTTTATCTAAACTTAATAATGTGACTTCCTCCTAAATAAACTAATGAATTGTTTAATCCAGATAAGTAAATAAGGATGTTCCACAAATGTCCAAAATAAGTTTAAGTATAATTTTTCCACTAAAAACTGAGCAGTTGAAATCAAATACATTCCTCACAAAGACCAATGAATAAAAAAGCAACTTGGTTACAAAAATTGCGAAATTATTATTATTATTTATTAATCAGCGAATCTAACAATGCACTAAGTATTTCTGGTATCATGACTGATCAAGGCAGAAAAAAAGAGTTTCTACTAGTTCAACAGTGCAAAGCAGGAATTTGTTTGAATGCTTGTTAATTTGAGTTGCAGTTGGTTGAGATTTCAGATCATTTCAGTATTTGTTTGGGGTGATAAATTCAATATTCTGCACTTGGTATACGCGTTAGTTTCAGCGAGTTAGCATAAGACACACTAATGACTATTATGCAACATATCAACTATCGCCAATAAATGATAATGATTTAAAATATACAATGTAAATAAAATATAAAGTAAACATATAATAAATGTGTTTGCATAATAAGAAAACTGTGGCTTTTTCAGCCAGTCAGCGGTAAAAGTTGCAGTAAATAGTTCGCCGCTCTGGTAATAAAAATGATGAGGTCACATAGTAGTAGGATTTGTGTAGTTGTTATTACATTGAAAAGGAAGTCCAGAAACCCGTGGTTCAAGTCCCGTCTGTTGCGTACTATTTTTGGCTTTATGATTTTTGTGTGCATAATTTCCTACTAATGACTTTTTCCCTTTCATGTATTACGACATTTAAGGAGTTAAAAGGTAAATACTTCGATGTTGCCTTATTTCTCCGATCTTATTTCACAGGGGAACTTGATGCCAGTCCGTATGATGTAGACCAGTTTCCTGTTTGTAATATTCCCGATGACGATGACGATTCATTGACAGACGGTAATTTATTATTGCTTTTTTCAAATTATTCTTTTACAATTTCGAAAACCATGTGTTATATTTGTAACAAAATACAATGATATCTCGGCTCTAATCGCATTGCATACAAATGATAAAAACACTGTCTGTCAAATTAAGTACTTTTGGGAATATGACCTAAACTAATCATCCATAGTTGCTTCGTGTCGCACTGCAGTAGAATGTCGCGGTATAACGATATAATCATTTAGACATTTCTTAATAGCCATTTGTAGTATAATCAAAGTGCTGAAGGCACTGCAGTTGGGACGTACTTGAAGGATCAAAATTAACATTTTTTACCATTTCGGGGGCATATAATTCAATGAGTGAAGGGTGTTGCCGGTTGATGAATATAAACTGCACAATTCAGTAAATGAACAGTAGTTGATACAATTATTCTATGACACACATGTTCAAATATAATATTTAGGTTGCATGTACATTGTACGTGTAGGTCCTTCACAAACCGTTATTGGCCCTTTTTGACAAGAGCAACAAGTGAAATAAGAGCTACCAGAGGAAACTGTTAGCGCGACTATTTTAACACATGACATAATAAAGGGAGACAAAACTATGAAAAAATAATCAGTTGTGATATAAATATATTAAATTTTCTGTAACAGTATCAAGAAAACACTCAAATGGTTAATATTTTTGCATCACATTATATGAATGTGGCCATGTCATTAGAACTTATGATGGCTTTTGTTCACTGCACTTCTCATGCTTATCTCTTTCACTGTATGGAGTTTCAATCAAATTCCTTTAATATTTTAATCCTCTCTCTGAACAAGTATCATGAAATAATATAAACGGAGATAATTAAAAAACTAAGTAATGTAGAATTTTGGTTATTTGACACAGCACTTCTGCTCACTAGTCTCTACAACTGTGTTTAGTTTGAGTGAGATATCATTGAAAAGTTTTACTTCAGAAAACCAATATTTTAAATGTTGATGTATTATAAGAGATGATAATTGTAAAGTTAAGCTAGGAGAAATTATGGTTCTTTAAAAATACACTTCCTTTCACTTGAATGTTTTCGCTGTGTAAAATTTTAGTCAAATTCCATCAACTCTTTTCCAGTATTTCTCTGGACAAGCATAATTAAGTACATGTATTATAAAGGGAGATAATTAAACAAGAGGGCCATGATGGCCTTATATCGCTCACCTTAAGGAATAGATCTTAAAAGTATTTTTCTTTTTAAAAACAAGCACCAGGTTAATAAAATTATTTAATGTCATTTAAAGTTAAGTGTCAAATGTAAAATTTGTTCTCTTTTTTTTTCTTTAAAGTACAGGTTACTAAAAATACACTCCTTGTAGCGTGTTTACATCATGAAAATTTTAACAATTACATCATAATTAACAAGACGAAGTACAAATTTGGATAATACTTCAATAAAAATGGGTCGATGACAAAAATGACCAGGTTGCATTTGTATACCAAAAAACAAGAGGTTGTGATGTTACAAAAATTTCCTACCATTGACCATTAATGTCGAACATTTAACTAAGTCGGTAAACAGGAAGTGGATAAGCGATAGATCTGATCTTAGGACCACGTATTAATGCAGTCACAATACCAAATATCAAGAGGCTGTGGTATATAGTTGCTGAGAAAACTGTTACGGAAATTTCCTTCCATTTTCAATTAATGCCGAAAATTTAACTAAGTTAGCAAACGGGAAGCGGATGAGCCACATACCTAAAATAATATCTCATGGTATGTGACTACATGTTAATGCTGTATACCAAATACCAAGAGGCTGTGATAAGTAGTTGCTGAGAAAATTGTTATAAAAAAATTCTTCCATTGACCATTATTATGAATTTAACTAAGTCAGTAAACATGAAGTGGACGAGCGACATACCTGAAATCAAGTCCCAATGTATGGGACAACGTGTTAATGCTGTATACTAAATATCATAAGGCTCTGATAAGTAGTTGCTGAAAAAACTGTTACGAAAAATGGCCCAACCAATTCGCCTGCCTACCCGTAATCAAGTCTCAATACACGATGGTAAACAGTATTTTTTTCATAAATGTGTATGTAAAAATTTTTCGAAAACAAGTATTATAGTCGTAACAGATATCCCATTAGTGTTTAAATATTAAAATATTTTTTAATAGTGTTTACTCAGGGGTATTATATTGTAACCTAATTTGCACACCAAAATATTTTGGTACTCATTTGCATACGCAACGTTCGTATCCCAAAACATCACTTTGCCTCTGTCCTTACTGTAGAATAGTTGTACAAAATTTTGTCTCATCGAAATCTTTCATAAGTTTCAATAAAAATTTCATTCATTGAAAAAATTAATATTAGCTGATTAAGATGAAAGTTTAATTTACAGTACGGATATTATTTTTACATCCCTCCGGTTTGCGGGAAAAATCATATATTTCAAGATAATTTTTCAAGATTCTGTTTAAAGTGCCCCTGCTCATTTATGTAAAAAATTCAAATGTTATGTTTTAGGCTTTAAACCTCAGTGGAGTTCCTTTAACATGCATGGTCATAGCAAAGGCTATCTATAGAAACAGCTTTCTGTCTTCTAGCTGATAGTTAAGTCATCGTTCTGGTGAAGAATGTGCACAGGGGTTTTAGGGGAAAATATACCTATTTTGGGCTAGGTTAAACAGCCTCTATTCGGCTGTTAAAGGGGGAACACTAGGTGGTGCGGTTAAAATAAAATATGACAATAATGCTCGTTTGTCATTTGTGGGTATGAAGAATCAATCAGCAATCAATAAGAGTTTAGTCAGAAATAATAGGACAGTGCTTCTACCTCAAATGTCTTAATAACACAAGACCTGCAGTATTTGCAGGGGCTAAACTTAACAGCTAAATGGCTCATATTGAGGGTTAAATCTTTTTTTCTAATCTTCCATAGAATATCTTTATTCATTGAATAACTTAATGTATAAATATGAAAGATAAAAATGAAATTATTCTGAAAAAAATAAGATAAAAAATGTTCCCCATTTAATAGAGACGTTACGGCCGTGACAAGACCAACAAATTGTAGGCGTATATGCCGGTTTTCCCTGTAAAGGCAGACATCTGTGTAATATCAATTTGTAAAATCTGTCGGTTTTGCAGATTAGGCTACAGTAGGGTCGAAATGTCTTTGGGGCGGAAGATTCGAGATCTTTCAAATTACTCCGAAATTATTTACGAAAGTTTTAGTCCTCGGGAACGAATTGACATCAATTAATAAACTTATTATTATTATTCATCAAATTCATAACATATTTTGCTTTAAAACTTATCTTATGGGCAAAACAGGCTGATATGCTTGTCAAGTAGGTCATAAAGTAAACCGGAAGATGTCGGATTCATCTAATTACTTTACATTCAGTATAGGCTAAACATATTTCAGAGACATAGATTATCTACATCTCTGGCTATTTCTATTTCAATTTTCATTTTTACAATTATAAACTACAAAATTTATTCCATAAAAATTGTCTTTTTCAAAAATTTCTGGAATATCATACAAAAATATGTGATGATAAGGTACAGATGAGTAAGTTGAATATTGCGAGCCGTCAATCGCTTAAATTATCTCCATTCATAGAATTACTATGGACCATTCATAGAATTACTCGACCTTTCAAATTATATCCGCTACATTTCTAATACCGTAATTCAAGCTAAATTACACATGATTTTCAAAAAATAAATTTCTTATCTCCTCTTCTATTCGCAATAAATCAATGTTTTCAGAAAACAGATCACTATATTTCACTCGCGGCGGTTATGCGTCGGTCATGGTCGGATGATCACTATGAATTCAACTTCCTTGAAAAATGTAAAAAATTGATATAGCATATAATTATAGTGGTCATGAAACGTCACTGCAGTGGGTGTTACCCTGTATGGTTGGAAATTTCGGGTTTGTAAGCTACGTCCCAACTAAAAACAGTAAAGCACATGTCACAGAATTAGAATCAAGATGGTTTCAAACAGATAGGAGTTTGTTTTTGTATTACGCGATGCACAAACGAAATCTTATGCATACCCAAGTATTGTATAGGCAATAGAAACATTGTTACAATTTGCAAAGAAATATCCGTAGTAGGACAAATAAACTTTTATTTCAATAATAACTTCATGTGTATCCTTCTTAGCAATTGTGTGATTCTGATTGATTGTAAAACCAGATTTTTCTGTGTTTCTCCTTCCAGATTCTGATATGCTGCTTGAAATTAAGATAAAGATTAAATCAAAAAAGAAAAGTAAATCTATCTTACAAAAGCTTACTGATTATCAAATTCAGCGAGAGATAAGCGACAGACTTTTCTCCGACACTGATTGTTTATTGCATAGTTCTAGTGAAGGAAGTATTGTCATTAGAATACAAGGATGTAAAAAAGGCTCCATTAAAGTATTAATGAAAAATGGGAAGAAGGTCGCTGTATCTAAGATACTTGGTATAGTTCTGTCGCATCCTGCTGTTGTACATCTTGCTGATAGAAAGACAGTTGAAGTTCTTGAGGTCCACATGGTCCCCTCTCCTCAACACGGACAACAAGAAGGTAACCTTTTGTTTTAAGGAAAACAAGAAGTATTTTTATCTTTTAATAAACTGAATATCATTTAAGATTTTAAAAAAATATTTCAAAAAATAAGAGTTTAAATAAAACGAAATCAAACGGAATTTGAACGTTTTGTTGGTATAATAACTCCACGGATTTGCAACACGTACAGAGGGGTATGCTGAAAAACCGCAGAAAATCCGAAAAAAATTGTCTTATAGGAATACTTTAGTTACAATGAATTATCAATGGTTAGGTTTAACAATGGTTATTAATCTTGAAAAACACTGTAAGGTTTATGTGTTCTAAAAGAACCTGTCCTGTTTCAGTTAGGGAACTTGAAATTATTAACATCAAAATCTACGCAGACGGTAGGCAATTATATTTATACATGCGTAAATACTTGATTAATATGCACAAATATATGCATACTATAAAAATTATATCAACTGAACACATCAATGATCATAATTATAAAACTCTGGACGATTAATGAACATCATAAATTGAGGGTACCGGATTTTTCGATATTTTCATGCGTATGATCGTTAACGTTATTGGTAGTCTCGTTATCTTGGCACAAAATCTATAGCTCAGAAAGTTCTTGTCTAAAATTCTTACTTAAAACAAGAAAAATATTACATACATTCGTATGTTATATAGGTACGATTGCCTACTATCTTCCGTGAAGACTTTTTATGCTTGCTACATGAAAGGTGTTATGTAAAATGAACAAACATGTCATCAGATATTTTATATCTTTAAACATTTTCATGGAATGTAAAAAATCATGGATTTATTTGTAATAAAAATCCATGAATAAATGTATCATAATATTAAAGTTGTATGCCTTCAGGTGAGAAAAAATGATTTCAAGAAAAAAGCAATGCACGACCAATTTACTGCTTTCAAATATAAACACAAAATTACACTCTTCCACTTAACAGACCATATGAAAATCTTGCAAACCCACATAAATAGAGGATATTTGTTTGTTTGTGTGTAAGATGAAATTTTATTTCATCGAGTGGGCTTTTAAAACAGTATTCTCACGAGTGGCGTAGCCACGAGTGAGAATACTGTTTTTAAAGTTCACGAGATGAAATAAAATTACATCTTACACAACAAACAAACAAATTTTCTTTTTATTTTATGCTAAAAAACAAGTTTAAACGAAATTTCCATAATATTAACATAAATATTAAAATCTGTTTCCCCATTGAGAGCCCCATTTCGTGCGAATTTCTCATTAAAAACAAGAAGTCTTGAGCTGAAAAATAAGTCCGACAATCAACATTAAATGACAGTGATATTATTTATTTTGTTTAAAAAATATGAATGATCGCTTGTTTTAATAATAAAAAACAAACAATTCGTGTAGGAGAAAATTCCAACCATCCATCCATATTTCTGTTACCTACTGCGAATTTATATTAGACCTGGCTTTGTTAAATGTAAGCGGCAGCCATTTTTTAAAGTTGTGTATTTCACGGGAGGAAAATAATTTGTGTTTGATTCAGAGGGATATCATTTGGAATTGTTAGTCATACACCTTTTTTAAAAGAAAAGAAAACATATTTGAGGATTGAAACAGACAAAAATTAAGTGTTGACAGATGTGAAAACATGAAAAAAAGCAGCTATGAAAATGGAAGACTTGGAACTTGCTCGGAACGCTGGGTTGGTTTACTTGTTCTACGAGCTGTAGCTGTCATTGCTTTTCAATTTTTCATAAAGCATACGGCAGTTATTACTCGTAGGATACTTTAATATGCCCAAATGTCATCAAGAGCAGTTTGCATGTGGAAGGAATGTATTTTTCAGACTGTAAAAATGAAACAAAAAATTTAGAGACGAAATTTGGTGATTGGAATTTGAATGAATAGAAGTAAGTTTTCTTCTTTTTATTACTTTTGACGTTTAAGGTATTTATCAATTTCAGCTTTCCTTTTTCTTTAAACAGCCTGACATTGTCTGAATTGTCAGCAAAAATAAAATTGAGGTACCACATGTGGAAAATTTTAAAAAAGTAGTTTCGTCATTGAAAAAAGTGAAATTATATTTTGATAATTTTCACTGTGAAATTACCAAATATAATTTTCACGGATAAATCAGTAATCCACTGAAAGGCATAAAATAAATAGAAATATAAACAATAAAAATCCGTTTTTGCTCGAGTATTTCTTTGTTTTCTGAACTCGTAAATCTGGTAACCTGTTTATAAAAAAACATAGCCAACACGGACACGATCTTTTTTCTTTCTTTTTTTTATCTTACAGAGCATTTAAAACCATTCTAATATATTAAAGGTAGAATTTCATTGAAAATCATAGTCACAGATTTGAAAAAATTATTATATATTTACAAAAAAACATCATTATTTCTTATCGATTGATCCAATAAAACACAAAAGATACGGTTTGTAAATATTTATTACAAATCGATATAAAAAGGTATTCCCTGACGCGCCCATATTAGCTATATCTATAATTCCCGCGTCGCGGTGGTGCTTGGGATAATCACGTGATACTGTTTACGATACGAAAATGCTTGGTCCTCATCGGATAGTTTCTTCTGCCGAAAATATAATATGAATTTAATACTTGCAATTCAAAGCTTGTTTGCTACATAAAGATTATCAATTTACTAATTGCAAACCTTTTCTCTGCCCGACTATGTTGATGTTTTGCCATTGACTGAAACCATCACGTGATCAATACACATTAAGGTGTGAACTAGTTTCATGGTCTTAAAATTATGCTTTTAATCGTATAATTAACATATAACAATTTTATTTACAAATGATTTGATAAAACAATCCCAGAATCGTTTAAAATAATTGAAATCATCGAAAAATAATAAATGCATATAAATTGTAAATTTCTGTAATATGACAACTCACCCTCTGAACAAAACCAAAACAAGCGTCTGCTTCTTTACCTAATTATGTAGTTGCATGACCATGGTTTGCAAACCAAATTTAAGAGCTAAAGCTTTTGTAAAAATAATACCATGACCACATCAGATTTCGTACAGATAAACTGTTGACTACAAATTGTAATTAGATCTGAAAGTTGTGTAAAATGTTTTTTGGCAGAAGGTATTGTTAAACAGAACTTAAATATCTGAGCAATTTAACTAGAACGTTAAAAAAACTATCCTGTACACTTTCCTTTACATTTTATTTTATAAATGCAAGAACTATCTCCTGCAATTTATTCAATAACCGTTTTTTAATATTTATATTTTAAATGGCAACAACTATCCTTTACATTTCTTTTTAGAATGGTCGATTAGATTCCAATATTTTAGTTTGTAATTTTGAAATGACAAATGAAAATTCTTCTATAGTTAGTTCTCCCCTATCAATTTTACAGGAAATCAGACTGTTTTAGACTGGGAAAAACAAAACAACATCATTTTCAAATGTCCTATCATTTAAGAATCATTATACATTTTACTGAAGATGTGAAAATTGTAATATATGAAATGATGAAATAAAATCCAAATGTTGTTTACTTCATTTCTAAATTAAATATTTAACTTAAGCTGCTACACAACATACTAAGATGCAATTACCTTTGTCACATAGTATGGCTATGGACCTTTTTACATTACGATTTTTCCATAGGAACGAATGTTGCATTTCGCGCATGCTCATTCTGTGTAGTGCAAAAACGCAATAACGATATATGCAATTTATCATATTTTAAAGCTTTAATAGATATCAAGTAATGCACCCAAAAAACAGTAATTTTGGGATAACTTAAAGCAGTAAGTACTTAAAACGTTAATTGTATGTATAACAGATATATACGAAACTATGAGGGACTAATAATTAAATGAAAAAAGCGCATGTACAAAAGCCATCTTTGTAAGATATCATAAGATAGGTTAAAAGCTCAATTAAATTGACAACAGTGTATGATACTTTAAGGCTTTAATAGACGTGATTCCTTGTTATATCAACCAGAAAACAGTAATTTGGGATGACTTAAAGCGGTAAGTACTTAAAACGTCAATTGATATTTATAACAGATATAATAAATAGTGTTATTTCACTTTCCTTAAAGATTTTGAAAAAAAAAAAAACTATCTAAAATATATTTATGTGACTTAAAAATTATCTGTTTTGCATCACAGTCAAATAAAGGATAAAATCAGGTAAACTGAACACTAAAAATGCATTATCACCGGGCCTGTTCTGACTATTTTCAGAATGTTAATTAACCTCGATTTCATATGTTATAAAAAATATCTTTTTTATGAACTATTTCAACAACAATTTAGTTGACTCCCATTTGAATAAAAGATATGATTCCACATTTTCTTTAAAAAATCTCAATGTCCGTGACCGTAAGCGGCCCACCGTAAGGGAGAATTCTTGAAGAATTTCTTGGCAACAAAGCAATAAAGAATCTTTTCTATATTTGTTTAAAGCTATTTAGAATAATTTTCTACCTTTTACCTTAAACTAACTCGGAATTCTATGAACTTCTTCTATATTTCTATGTTAGACAATGCTTTTTTTGCCCTGGGCAGATTGCGCATGTGCGGGGAAATACTTCTTCCGGTCGATTTTTCATAGCAACGGACCGCGTCGTAAAAAGGTCTATATGAACTATTGAACAACAGTTAAGTTGACCTCTATTTGCTAACAGATATATTTCAACATTTTTTTAAACAATGTCAATGTCAGGTCCGTAATCGTACGTAAGAGGGAATTCGTCTTTTCCATGCATTTTTATGGCAAACTTAGTCACAAGGCTATAAAGGCATCTTTTATTGTTTTTGTTAAAAGCTAGTTCATATTGTCTTAAACTAACTCGGAATTGTCTATGACTTCTATTAGATTTCTATGTAGGACAATCTTTTTTTTTTCGATTTTTCATAGGAACGGACTGCGACGTAAAAAGGTTTATATTCTAGACGATAGGCAAAGAAAATTAAGCTTGATTTTTTCATGAATTGCTATCTATCTTGTTTCAGCAAAGCATTCACAGTTATAGTAATCTATAATCTTGTCATAAAAAGAAAATGCCTAAGACCACATTACAGGTTAGAACTTTTATTGACTCATTTGACAAATCTTTAAAGCGACTGATTTTTTTTCTCATATTTACCCCATGTTATTTTATACAGAAAAGTTTGACCCGAAAACAATTATAAGACGCAACATTGCGTTCTTGACAGAAGAACTAGATGCTATAAAGTTCATGGATCTTGACATATTTACCGATGTTGAAAAGAAAAGTATCAACGAAAATCGACTTTTGTCGCGTGCAAGTGGTACGAGATGTATGTTCGATCTAGCTTTAGATAAATCAGACGAAGATTTAGACGCACTTATTGATGAGATAAAGAAAAGGAAAGAATATGTATGGAATCGCATGTTCGTAACAGGTTTGTCGATATATGATATATCTTTTTGATGAAATCGTTTAAAAATATTGTTTGTTAATATTGCTGCTTCACCTGGTATAATATTATAATAATAATAATAATAATAATAATAATAATAATAATAATAATAATAAAGACTTTATTTAACAAGAGAACTCATTTGAACAAACATATCAATCTTCCATGAGACCCTCAACAAGGAACAATGTAAATTTAACATATTCAAACTATTAAAATACATAAATGGAAATACATACAGGAGATTATCAATTTGTATACATCAATGTGTGATAATCTCTCAAGTATAACGGTTTAAAATGGTTCAGAGATGTAACAGACTTAATATAATCAGGAAGGCCGTTCCAAATACAAGATCCAGAATAAACAAAAGACTTGCGAAATTTTTCAGTATTTGGTCTAGGGGTATAAAGTTGAAAATCAGATAATGAACGCAATGAACATCTGACGATAAAATGAAATTATTCAATAAATAGAAAGGCGCTATATAATTCATTATTTTAAACATCATAATAGCTTTTTGAAAAACAACCCTCTGTGAAAAGGTCATCCAGCAAGTTCGGCAGAAGGAGTATCATAATCTTTGTCTAGTATTAGTCTTGCAGCTCTCAGGTATAACACATCTTTACTCAGTATATGTATTCTCCCCGACCGGAATGCATATCTGTCCCATCGTTTATCCATCCATGTCCAGAGGACATTAGGAAAGAAGGTTTGTGTACAACGTGACTACACGGTTCATTCTTTTGGTTGGTTCATTTTGTACAATGACGATGGGGTTAAAAATCAAAGAAAGGTCAAAGGAATATTCCCAGCAACTGGCTTAAATTTATCGAAACTTCAAAGAAGCTTTGCTACTTAGAGGTCTGCATATTAATAGCATTTTCCGCTTCAACATTTTTTCTCAAGTTTTCTCAGCAACATTAAGCTGGAATATCGAATACCGAAGTCTTCTAAGAAGATATCATATAAAGAACATGTTAAAGTTAAATGTTTTTTCACGTAGTTATACCTTTTTGTTATTTTTAAAGGTGTGATTTTAACCGGACTTATTCTCAATAACCACTAACTAGAGTTCGTGGAAAAGTACATACATTCTGAATTTACTAATTGTTACTTCTCTCTTCACTTTCCTGTTCTCCTCATGTACTATCTGGAGAGCATCCACTGTTTCCAATGAATGCAATGATGCATTTCTTTAGTGTCTGTTTTAAGATGTATATAATATTGATCTTCAGTAACTTGTAACCGAGTTTTGAAGAGTATGTGAAACTTAAGCATGTGAACAATTTTTAAATTGTTTTAAATGTTAACAAGATTGAAATCGCTGTGTTTAGGTGTTATATTTCAAAACTTCATTCTTCAAGCAAGCATTATAGATTGACCGCAATTAATGATTATAGTACTTATTTAAACCAAAATCGATATTTTTTCTTATGTATTATCTATATAAACTACTGTGGCAAATGAATGAACCTTCATCAAAGAAAACAGTAGTTCAGTATTATGAATTGGTTATAAATACCCCTAACAAGTTACATGACAGTATATAAACGGATATTTTCTACTGGGCTATATAACATAAGCTGTTAATAATTTAATACTAGACGTAAGCATTGTAATATTTTATTTTATTTTACAGACGACACAAAAAATCCAAAGGATGCTTTGACCTCAAATTATGAATTTCTTCTTGAAAATGTATGTCCTTCCGGTATAATTGTCCCATGTTGTCAGAGCAATTTACTTCGTGTTGAGAGATTTACTACTGGAGGAACAAGGTCTCTGATAACAAAATATATTTTGCACGACATAATGAAAAAGAGTCATCTGGAAATTAAAATCTTTTTTCATATACTTTCGACGTTTCAACCGGAAATGATCTTACCTGTGGGAGGTAGGTTATTACTTTTATACCATAGGTACTTTCTTTCCCTTTTTGCCGAAATCTCATTCACTGAATAAAATCTGATTTTCATGGAATAGTTAACACATTTTTGTTTTGTTGTAGTTCGGCGTGTAATGCAAAATATAATTTCGGTTTATAACACACAATTGAAGTATCACTACTGTAGTAGTACTATCATTCAATTACATTTTAATTTTCTTATCATGTAACTGTTATACATGTAGATATGTAAATACATTTTGTATTTCATATACATGGTGTGAGACAAATTTTATCCAATTTCAGTTAGAAACAGAAAAAAATCTATCTTCCTATTAATTCAATACGTTTGTACTTAATTTACGTGATTGAACTTATTTTACGCGTGTGTACTTAATTTAAACGTTTGTACTTAATTTACGAAATGTGAGCGTGACATTGAAATTACACTTAACATATAGTGTCAATACCCATGCGTGTTTTACTTAAGTATCTACAACTAGATAAATTATCCAAATTACGATCAAACCATTGTCTTATTTCAATTCAAATACTTTTTTTTTTTTTAAAGCAAAAATGGTTTTGAATGATTATATACATGTATAAACACGAGTTCGCTATTTGTAAATGGTGTTGCACCAAACGAGACAGAAAATGGCAAAAGCGATGATCAGGAATAAAAAGGTTAAAAACTGTTTTATGTATTCGGGGTGCAATTTGCAATTACTGTAACAACAGAACAGGAATATAAAACTATAAAAATGTATATGTGCGTGCGTGTGTGTGTATGTATATGTGGGTGCGTGCTTATAAAATAAAGCCGAATAAACACGATTCTTTACAACTGCACAACTATTCATAAATAATTCTGAGAAAAAAATATTTTAAAATACTTTAAAGTTTAAAGTAAGATTTGTTGATATCCACAAGAAATAAATATAATATAAAACAATTGCAGATGTTTTGACTGAAGACAAAGTAAAAAGCAAAAAGTTAGAAGATATGTCTTCATCAATAAGAATGAAACCAGTAACGAGTGTTAAGCCACAAGAAGGTATAGTATGTGTGGGTAAATATACGCTTCGATGGCAACATACATGTTCTTTTTATCACATGTTATAAATAGTTGTAGGAGAAAAATATTAATAAAAAATATGTAAAATTTTAACAAATAAATATTTCATCGCATTAATGTTATATTTGATTCTGTTTCAATACGCTGTATCTTAACTTAGTGCGCCGATTTCATCTAGGCACTTTGTTTTTATTGGATGTATATGTGAATATTCTGTTGTGGAATGTGCGACCAAATAACAATTATGATAAATAAATTCGCCTAAGGTCCAGGGTGGTCACTGAAATTTTAGAAGAAGCGGCTGGGCTCTTTACGCATAAATGCGTCCAAGTCTAATATTACTAAGGTGAAGTTACGGCAATGATACCAGTGTAACAAAGTAGAATGTCCTAAATAGAATAATGACTCCCCGTTCAATAATTTATAGAAAAAGAGACTCCTTTGACATAAAATGCTGACTACCTTACAATTTTACCACAGGCGTTCGGCACATTCAATTCAATGTTATACTTTGTTTACTCGTGATAATTTTGGAAATTTCGTTGGCACAAAATATGTCGACCTGGGAATTTTAAGGTAGCTTTTCACGTTTGATAATTAAGTTATCGTAAATGAGGATAGATGGCTTAATATTTTTAACGGTGTAGTATCATCATACATAATAAACTTGAACTGACCCTATGTATAATGCTTGTTTGCGCATGTTCCGTATTTTTAGTGAATATCTAGGATCACATATTAAGGCTTTGCAGAATAAATTTATATCTTGTGCTGAACACTATAGGCAGGACTGATTTGAAGAAAATATGAATGCTAGAGGCATTTTATAGTACAAGTAATATCTTGAGTGTTTTAACCTAATACGGGTATGCTGAAGACGATGAGGGTGGATACCAAGAAAATAAAATTGACCTTGATCTTCAAAAGGTCAATTCAAAATGGCCGCTAAAAATACTTAAATAGGTCATTAAAACTATGATACAATATGATGCAATAAATTATTCTTGTCAAAATCAAATGATTATTCAATATTCTCTAAGTTTATACAATTATTAAATTAATTTATAACAAATTTCTAGTAATATATAAGGTTAACAAGTAAAAATCACCCAAAAACAAGGTCATAAAGGTCATATATATTTTTTATTTTGCAAAGCATGATTATTAAAATCATGTAAGTTAAAACTTCATTTCGTTATAATATTTTTATCATATTTAAGAATTTAATTTACTGAATAAATTTGATACTGAAGCTTTGAAGGAATTGTACTGTGTTATGCAATAAAGCTCTCAATAATTTTTTATATGTAAATATTACATCATACTCATGAATTGAGTGCCCATTCGTTATATGTACATATGCCAGTATTTGTCACAGTCTGAAACATTGGTTTGGTTAAGTTGTTTAGTCTTTTAATATGTTGTTTTCTGATTTTTGTTTTTACTGCTCAAAAAAGTGATAAAGGCTTTGTCGGTCTTAAAAATAAAAACGATTAAAGGGTAGATTGAAATAAATTCAATTATTAGCATTTCACATTAGAAATCGCCATTCAGTCGGGTTTTCGAAAAAACAAATCGTGAAAAAAAAAACTCATTCCTGAACAAAAGAGCTTATGTTCCTTCTCTTAATAGAAATAGTCCATATATTGTTTACCCAGTAGAAGCCCACACACTGGATTCAAGGTTTGAATATGAAGAAAGTAGTTTAATTCTATAAAGCTAACATGACAAAAATATGGCGGATGGCGAGCACAATAGGGGTCCCTTTTTGAGGTTTTTTGTCTTTCAATTTGTTATCATGTGGATTTTGAATGGCTTATGGGGAGAAATGGTTGAATCTTGTTAATTGTATATGTCGCCATCCAGGAACAGCAACAATAACAAAACATCTAGGTAAGGTAATGTAAACCAGTGACTTGTAAGAAAATTAGGATTGACTGGGTTGGAGATCACTCAGGAGACATTCTTTTTGATTTTAGTGCTTTTATGGATTCCACTGTAAAATACTAAGGCTATGAGCGTATCATGCCATGATCTCATTTGACTTTGAACCTAGTTTGGTCAAGGCTATCGGTAATTTGAGCTTTGGTAATTCAATAGCAAATGCAACTGCAACGCTTTCATTTTCAAATCCCACAAGAATCAGCTAAAACGCAATTGAGAATCTTGTGAATATTTAAAGTTTTTGGCAAACAGGTTATATGCTTGAGCTGAGAAAGTTGTTAGCATTTATAAGCGTGGCTTGTTTTAAAACAAGTCTATTAGGACAAGTTAATCTATTACGGGTGGCTTAAAATTAACATTAGTGATCCCAACACAATCAATGAAGCCATCTCATCGGTCAGAAAATACCGACAGGACTATTTGTTCATATTTTTGGGGGGTAAATGCAGAAAATGTATGGTGGTTAGGGAGTAGTGATGGAGTAGTGGTGGTAAGAACTGACAAGCAATCATACGATCATATCAGTCTTCTGATCACTCTCCTACAACTTTCTTTTATATGGGAAGCTTGCTCTATAATGTTGCCGTTGATGCTGAGTGTCTTGGGGACTTAGCGATAGTGGTGGTTATGGTAGCTATAGGAAGGGCTATGTCCCAGTGAGTGATGGTGGGGGAAGAGTAGTTTAAGAGTGGTTCAACTTCAGACCATTTAGTAATGTTGGGAGTAAGGATAATTGCAAGAAAAGCAGTGCCTGAATTATAACAGTATACCCAGTGACTTAGTGGATCATAACATTTAGAAACAAATATCTCAAATTTTACACGTCTTATTGGTTGAAGTAGCCATAATCAGACCTTTGGCAAATTAATTTAAAAATTAGTAATTAAGACACAATTATTTCTTATTCTTTTACAACAGTTACAGTAAATTACTCTAACTTTTCTCCAGGGATTGACAGAATATCATTAATTTTTCATGAATAATTATGATAACTTCTGATTACTTTCTATTGTTTGAAGGTAAAGGGCAATTGTAGCCTGGATATGCATGTTGTAGTTAATCTGTTTGGCTGACATCACAGTAGAACACTTTGTCGTAACCAACTTTGTGCAAGCTTCAAGTACAAGTTACTGTTATTAAAAAAAGAAAGCCAAAACGTTTGCATAATATAATGGCCTCTTTAATGTAAATTATTCATAAATTGCGTGGAAAAGGATTTCTTGTGATGAAAATAAAACAAACATTTAGCAGAATTGGAAGTCATAACCATGACATCTCATTCAATGACAAAGTCACAAGGCGATAAATGTTGCTGCCAACGAAAAAACTTTTTTTCTTAGTCTGGCCCAAGGGTTCGGATGTTTTTGATTCACTATGAGTTTTATAATATGCATTATTAATTAAATGTGCAATATTGGGCGCATTAGCACTTGCAATTCAGAGCTGATGCATTTTCTCTATGACATTATGGATAGAAAACTCAGCCATTATGAAAAAACACATCCATAACGAGAAAAGTCGGCCGTTATAAGATTCAAACATTCTGACTGACTGTTTGACATGGCCATTATGAAGCTCATGCTAAACATTTAAAAATCCAATGCCATTTTGTTATTTATAATAATTAAAGTCTCTTATTTAGCTTGAATCCTTTGGCTTTATAACAATGTCATTATGAAAACAAACTCCAATCATTGACATCATAGTAACACAGCTTTTCCCTAATGTTGTTGCTTATGGGTCAATAAATAAAATTTGTAAGTCGCAGGATAGGGCATTTTAACTAGGATCAAAATATAATCCTTTAGATGCTCATGCAGTTCAGCTTTTAGATATGTAGATGTGTATTTAGGTGATGCATTATTCTCAAGATGAAGCCTCATTCACTGACACCTGACTTGGAAACCAGTGCATGCATGGGAGGATAGGGTTGTTTGACAGTGATAAATCCTTTAGTGAAGCAAAATTAAATCTAAGCTGATATATAAGTGTTATTGGTTTTAAATTTCTAATGACAATATAAATCATCCTACATAATATTTCCTGAAATTTAAAATCGTAATAAGTAAGTTGTATTGGGCAGCTCTGATGAGTAAGAGTAAACTATTTAGAAATTTCTCAGGTGGTTAGTCAAGTTTAAAAACCATGTTGAAAGAAATACTGGTATATAGTGTTTTGCAAATATAAGTAGGAATCTGAGTAGCCACTCTATATCCTTGCATAAAGTGCCAGATAAAATACATGAAATATCTATATATTTAGCAGATAGGGAAGGGAAGAATGTAGTGTTCGCTGCGTAAACCCTAAATAAAGTGATGGTTCAAAGGAGTAAGGACTTTCTAGAAATTTTATCTCTTACATTATAGTCTCTTATGTTAAAATGCCTTAAAATAGTCAGTACTATCTTTAATATTACTACTATATTACTATTATATTGGCATATAGAAAAATGTCCGCCATCTTGGATTTTTCGGCCATATTGGATTGGTTTTTTAAATTCTGTTTTGGTGTCTAATATGTTTTTTCCTTAACTTGCTTTGTGACAAATTTCAGGTTTTTCCTATCTTTAAAAGTTGTATTTGATAAATCATCCATTTCATAAATTTGGCGGTTCCTATATTGGCCTTAAGAAAATGTCCGCCATCTTGGATGTTTTCGGCCATATTGGATTGGCTTTTTTTAAATTCTGTTTTGGTGTCTTATTTGTTTTTACCTAAACATGCTTTGTGACAAATTTCAGGCTTTTCCTTTCATTAAAGTTTTATTTGATATATCATCCATTTATGATAAAGAAATTTGGCGGCCATTTTAGTGGTCATTTTAAATGGCCATTTCAATGGTCAAGATCAAGTTTTTCAGTTTGGTATCCACCTTTATCGGATCCAGCATACCTTAAATAGGTTAAATACACCAAGATACCACTTGTACTACAAAATGCCTCTAGCATCTTATAGAGAGCCAAATTCTCAAAATCAGTCCTGTCTACTAGTCGAGTTTTATTTTACTTCATTGTATCAACGCACTTGATTTAATTTATATTAGTTATTGTCTATTAATAAACGAACATTACAACAAACGGTTACTGAAAGATATATATATTGTGCTATGTTTGCACGTTTAAGTATGAAAATATGTCGAATTAAAAAAAAAAGAAACTGCGAGAGCAAAACGTTGACCGTTTTATGGGGAATACGCTACGGCGAGTTATAAATCTTGTATATATTTTATATATTAAACGGGTGCTGGATTATAATTTTGTTCTTGGTGATCAAGGGGTGAATATTTTATGATAATTTGACCATTATTGGCATGGCAAATGTTCCGAATGCCTGTGCAATTTACGAAATCATTTTGTTCCTACCTCTAATCATTTTCTATGAAAAAGAAATTCTATTTGAAAGACCCTTTATGAAACGATATAAAATAGTGATACCCTGGTGATTATTTTATAGAAAAACTGATTCCCTTTTCAATTAAAAGGGTAGAAATCTATATCTTATGAACTATTTTTATAAAATTCATCAGCAATAAAATTATATTGGTTCCATTATTATATGGTTGATTCCCGGAAAAGCTGTAACATAGAATGTTTCTGTAATTTAACACAAATGAATAATGTACTTTTACAGAATAAAATGTTCCGGAACATTATATTATTGCTATTTTAAGTAGGTTTTTATTTGTTTTGGAATGATTTTGTGCATGCACCATTCGCTTTTAAAGCGCCTTGTATAATATAGTTTTGACCCCTTTGTACTTGTCCAATGAAAATCAGTATTTCAGTATTGTACTCAACAAGGTATAATAATAACCTTATTATATTTAGTGTACAATTCTAAAATGACTAATATAACTAGTTATACTTATTAAGAAGATAGCAAAATATCATTTTATAAATACATTTAGTTGTCAATTAAAGTGAAGTAATAAATGTGTCAATTTGACAAAATGAAACATGTCACATAAATCAGATTTAGAAAATAGACAACACAATGGATATTTAACGATAACACTGTTCTCGGTTTAATGTAGCAATTATTTTGTAATTAATTATAGTTTAGTTATAAATGACAAATATCAAGTTATATATTTTTACTTAGAAGGTAATGGTAAAGATGTCAACTTCTCAAAAGAGCATCGAATGAATTTCTTTGGTTTTGATTCGATTTTTTGTCAACCCCAAGTATACAGCCTGATAGGAAAGACAGATGTTAAATCTTTACTTGAAGCTATTAACTGTCAGTTGGACAAATCCCCGGTTATTAAGCCAAAATACAATTAATGCATACAATTAATGCATTGACCTGGTAGTGTGGGAACATACGATAGGTAAAATCTTGGTATATTTCCTCGCAGCTAATTACATTACGGCAATAGAGGTTTTCTCTTTTAAATTATTTGATAATTTCTTGTTGTATGCAAAACAGATAGCGAATTACAATATTTAGGGCGTCAAACATTTTAAAATTATAGATAACAGAGAAAGTGGCTACTGGTCCCTGAACAGAACACCCGTCATAAAAAGAAAGAAAATTGTCGAAGATAATGGTGAGTGTTATATTCTATAAACTCTAAAGCATCTTAGGAGCTGTTTTATCCTTGCTTTATTTTTTCTACATATGCTTGAACACTTCATAAATACGTATATTAATATTCCAATGTCTGCAGGGATGTCAGTTTATGACAAATATTGTTCGGATGCCAGTATATTATCTGTTTTACCTAAATCAAGCATGAGTCCAATACTTGTAAGAAGCCAATTAACCATACATGCTAGCCAATGAAATGGCATAATTAAAGAGAAAAATCTAATCACTAAAAAAACGATTAGTTTGTGTTAGTTTCCACCGTGCATATCCAGTAACACAGGAATATGCAAGTAACGTAAAAGTAACGCCGAATCTGTGCAACGCTATTGCCAAAACGAATAACACAGTAAGTAAACGAACCAAAATATTTTATTTCTGAAGTGAAATAGCGCATACGGCTGCTATCACATACCAGCATTACAATTTTTTTTCAGGAATATGTTTACTTTTTTAGATCATTCGTGAGAAAGTCAACCTGATTACCGTTTGAAGGTGACTTTTGTGTTTTGTCACATAAATATGTGTACATTTAACACATTTATAACTTTATTTTTTTATGTTCTGTATCCCTAAGACATTTGTCAAACTACAAATGTCGTATAACAATAGAAGGAAGCTAGTAAAATAAGATTTAGCGACTTTTAATGAGAAAACCGCCGTTGCTTCAGTTCTTCATTCACGAACTCAGCGTTACCTCGTAAAAATGTTCTCAATTACGTTTTATCTACTAAATTAAGTGTAATATGACACGTGTAGATTGGAAAATGTCTCAGTTACACCGAATATAAAAAAATCATAAAGTAATATGTACGTTTTTGTATGTAAAGATATCAACGAAACTGAAAATCGCCATCAATACGCTAGTCAGGTCGTCATTTTCACGAATGATCTTATAAAACAAGCAATTATCATAGTATTACGGCAATCCATAAGTCCCCTACCGTTAAGAAGCCCAGCAACATTCTGAAGGGCCATTGACCATTCAATTATACCAATTGAATGAATGGCATGAATGAACTTAAATCTTTTTAGTTCTTAGTTTCTTAGTTTGTCTGTATCATAGTAATGTGTTAGGTTTCCATGAAAAGTCAGGAAATTATGCTTATACAACAGATAATCAAAAGGTCCAATTTGTTGGAAAAGTTATTTAATCAGAAAACAGTTTTTAAGAACAGACGGACTGAAGATAACTCTAAAATTAATTTTTTAAACATCCCTACAGAATGAATTAATAAGAAAAAATCAAAAGTTTAAGGAGGCGGTAATCTTGGAAATATGGATGCTAGATTGATAAACGTCGTCATATAATTATGTTGTGGGAGTGTGAAGTAAACCCTATTAGGAGTGAAGAAGTTGGAGCGAAATATACCAATTTCTCGAAAAAAAATAATTTCAAAGGGGACATCACTCTGGAAATTGTCTTGCTAGAGTATCAAACCTTCTCACAAATGATTTGAGTGATAATAAGAAACATATATATGAAGTTTGAAGTACATATAGATACATTAAGAAATAAAGAAGTTATTAAAAATAAAAAAAACATTTTTTTCCATGAAAATTCTAAGATCAAGGGAGGTAATTCCGATAATTTATGTGCTAGAGCTGTAAACCTTGTCACATTTGATGTGGTTGATGACCAGAAACTTTATAGAAATATTTGAAGTTTTAAGTAAATACCGTACGAAATAAAGAACTTACAGTGAAAAAGCCTAAAAACTAGAATAAGAATTGTTGACGATGTTGCCGACGTATGGTAAGTATGACAGCTCTCAATATTCTCCTCAAGATTAAAATGATGTGTATGATTTCCATACTACCATCTATCTATATTTTAAGTTTCATTAAAACATTTTCAGTACTTTTTGCACTAACACTAGATCCAGTTTATGTGTTAAATTTCCCATAGTTTCAGTCTATTTGTTGCCATAGCAACCTGAATTTTCAACATAGGAAGAAATAAAAAAAAAGACGTGCATAATCTCCATACTGCCATCTATCCACATATATTAAGTTTCATAAGAATATTTTCAGTATTTTTTGCGTTATCGCGGGATCCAGTTTTGTGGACGGACTGACAGATGGACAGACAGACGGACGGACGGAGGGTAAACCTAAAGTCCCCTCCGGTTAAACCGGTAGGGGACTAATAAACATTTTCACGGAGATATTTTTGATGAGGTTTAAAGTATAATGTCTCAGCAATCGTATGCGCTAACTCATTTCTTCTAATTTTATGTACAATAAAAAATATTCGTCCATTTACTTATCGCGGTGCTCGTTTTAGCCACTAATTTGCACATTCCTGCGTTACTGGATATGGACGGTGGCTTCTTTGAAAGAAAAAATTCTAAACATAAACAGACTGATAAAAAGACAAAGTGCGAATCATTCTACATAGATAAAAACAATTTTATCTATCATCGGTAATAAATATTTCTTTAAAATAAAATATGTTTTCAATTCTGCATGTCTAGCAAAAATGTTTATTTTAAAGTATCTTAAATAGTCGAAACAAAAAAGCTTTGTTTTATTTTTGTAAAGGTTCTAGACACAACGCACAAACAACGACGATTGGTCAAACTGATATGAAAGGTTTGTTTCTTTTTTATTTTTCACTCAGCTGTTTTAAAAGATTCATCAGGAGGTTCATCTGAAACTGATGATTTTTAAGTCTTTTGGCTAGTAGAACTTATCTTTACCCTTTCTCTGAAGAAGTACTCGATATCATTAACTGGTGAATAAAGTAGAAGGTGAATATGTTGTGTTTTCAATCCAATCAAAAGGATTTTCTGTCAATATGAGCTTGAATGATCCCGTTGAATGATTATTCAAACACTCCGCTGCTTTTCATCGGCGGCCATTGAAAGACATGTGAAAAAATAGATATTGATCAAAATTTGACCTTGTAAAGAAAATAAAGGTTGTTAGTTTTCTTTTAAAAATCGGAGAGTCTAATGTAAAATTTGTATAATATTTGTATGCATTGATCACCTGGATAATGTATTATCTACAGTATCTGACATCGTTCATGTCAACTTAGCTGTTGACATGAACGATGATCGTTTAAAACAATCACATGAGAAGGCCCAATTAAACCCAATCCACGATTTTCCAATTGTTTCGATGAGTTTTTTTTTTAATTAACAATGCCTACATGTACTGTTGTATCTTTTTTTAAAGTTTTGATTTTTTTTTTTCAAATAGATTTATTGATGTTTAAAAGACAAATCTTGTTGAATTAAATAAGCATGATAACAAGGGACACTCAATTATTGTTACTGTACATACAAATTCAAAGAGTAATTATTCTTTCATTGTAATCACTTTTTTGGTTAAACCAGTTTCAACTGGATTCTTAAGTGCAAAGTATGTTTTTTTTTAAATTTTACATTTGATTGACATGCAGATACATTTTGTTATACTTTTTTTCAGACGAGGAAGGCATAGCTGGTTTACTTAATTGAGGGCTGATGACTTAAAATATTTTAAAGTCTTTCTTCCCAGGGATCACTTTTTCCAGATATTGCGATTGACAGTCGCTGTTTGAAATAATTACATGTAGTGGTAATCACATATAAACCCATTAAGACGAGTTGATGTAACCACGTTAAATGTCAAGCAATGTATATAAATTGTATGATTTGGAGTGAAAATAACATTGTAAAGACAAATATGACAAATGCTGTGTAAGCGTAAAATGTCATTTCATAAACAAAATGCATTGATCTAAGAGCTGTTGTATAGAAAATAAATTGGAGGGCGACTTTATGAAACAACTTTAAGTAATTATGCAATTAATGCAAAGCGAGTGTTTCTTGACACTTTCATTCTGTTCCCATTTTCAGTTACTGTTTACTATTTATTAGTCTTACAATTGTACTTAATAAATGAATTTCCATACGTCTTATTGGCGGTCTTTGATATCTGGTCATACGCATACTAGATACACTTTTAGTTTTGTTGAAGTTGCTAATTTTATGCTTTTAAATGAACTATACCTGTGATACCGATATTTATGACAAACTACAAAAGTACTTTTACACTATTTTATTTTCTTTTTAATTTATTAAGAAATGTGTAAGTGTATGTATTCAGTCATTTGGACAATAAAATGACACACATAAAACGACATGAAATTCCAAATGATAAATTGTCCGATCCAAGAGAAAATGAACCTACTCGATTTGATTATTTGTTATATTTTTCTGATATTTTTAAGGCATTTTCAAAGCACCAATTGTAAAGCTTTACATTTGTCATCGTAGGTTGTTTTGCATTTTTCTTAATGCATCTTACTTTCCATCAGTGTTTTAAATCTTTTTGCTCAGTGTTACAGAATACAATATAGATCTATGATATCTCATCACGATAATTGTGTTATATATTTAATTCATATTATTCGACTTACTCAGTGATAGCTCATCATTTAATTGCCGAGTAGTTTTCTCTGAAAGCTTAACATAAACATTTGAAATGTTAATTCTGTCTGTGATATCTTAGTCAGGTAAATAGTTTTAGTTTTGGTTTTCTATGTTATCTTGATATTGAATATTATGTTATATCTGTTGATTTTGATATTTCAAAATAAAATCACTTGATTTATTTACAGTCTCTGATGAACTTTTAGAACCAAGTTAACTCCATTTTTTCTTTCCAAACACTGGAAGGACCCATCAATTCATTCAGCCAGCAACTTTCTAAGTGCCAAATCAGAAAATGAAACAGGGTTCTATCCAGGAATTTCTGAAGGCATGTTGCAAAAATATATTTTATAGGCACTTGCCTCCGACAGCTTATAGGAAAGAGGAGAATATATTTGCAATATCAGCTAAAATAAGTATCTGCCAGTTTTGCATTTATGTACTACATGTACTACCTGACTTATGCATTAAACAAGAGGGCCATGATGGCCCTTATATCGCTCACTTGACTATGAAGGCTCAATCCCATTAAATTTGGGCTGTGTGACCTAGTGTGACCCGAGTTGACCCATATGCAAACTTGACCTAGAAATCATCAAAACAACCTTTCTGACCAATTTCCAGGATAACTCGACTTAAATAGTAGCCCCTAGGGTGTTAACAAGGTTTATCAATAATTGGGCTGTGTGACCCTGTTTTTGACCAGGTATGACTATATTCGAATTTGACCTAGAAATCATCAAAACAATCTTTCTGACCAATTTCAAGAATATTTGGATAAAAACTGCAGCCATAAGAGTGTTAACAAGATATTTCTAACTCCTGTGACCTAGTTTTTTTACCCGCGATCATAAGAACAACCTACCTGATCCATTTCCAGGATATTTGGATCAAAACTGCAGCCAAGAATATTTACATTTTTTCTATCTTTAGCTCCTGTATTAGAGAAGACCCACATCAAACTTGACCTAGAAATCATCAAAACAACCTTTATGGCAAATTTTCAGGATATTTGGACTGAAATAGTAGTCTCTGAGTGTTAACAAGGTTTTTCTGTATTTGGGCTGTATGACCTAGTGTTTGACCCAAGATGACCCATATTTGAACTTGACCTAGAAATCATCAAAACAACCTTCCTGACCAATTTCAGGATATTTGGATCAAAACTGCAGCCAAATGAGTGGTAACAACGTCTTTTTATTTTTAGCTCCAGTGATCTAGTTTTTGACCCGAGATGACCCATATTCGAACATGACCTTGAAAATATCAAAACAACCTTCCTGACCAATTTCGAGGAAATTTGGACTGCAACATTAGCCCCTAGAGTGCTAACAAAAAAATTCTATTTTTAACACCTGTGACCTAGTTTTTACCAGAGATGACCCATATTGAAACTTGACCTAGAAATCATCAAACAATTTCCAGGATATTTGGATCAAAACTGCAGCCAAAATAATGTTTACATTTTTTCCCTCTATTTTTAACTCCTATGACCTAGTTTTTGACTCGAGATGACCCATATTTGTTCTTCTCAAGAAGACTCATATTTGTTCTTGACTTGTATTTCATGAGACAAACATTTTGACAAAGTTTGATTATGATCCTATCAAAACTGTGACTGCTACAGTGTTAACAACCCAAATGTTGACAATGCACTACGCACAACGCACAACAACTGACATAGCCCCATCACTATAACTCACCTTGACCATGTGAGCTAACAGCTTACACTTTCAAGTATAGTTAATGTATGACTTTTAGATGTGTTTACAAAATGGTCACCAAGTATAAAGACAATACACCAAAGAACTTAAAAAGTTATGATCAACATTAATGGAAACACCAACATGACTTTAACAACACCTTATAAAATGAACATTTCTCCAAAAATTAATGCCTCCAGGAAAATGCCCCTTGTTACACAACTAATCAAGGAGTCCAAATTTCATGTTAATGCAGCTTGTTTAACAACTGTGCCTTGTCATGATAAGCAAGTATTCCAAGTTTCTTGTTGATATCTTTTAAAATATTTGAATAATCCGTTACATTAAAGTTTTTGCATGACAACGGCGAAGACAACAGCCATGAAGCAGCAATTTAATTGCTTGTCTTTTACTTCCAAATGGTTCAAGTGAACGATTTCACCTAAGTGAAGTATATTTGCAAACATTGCTTGCTTAAGTAGATGTTACATGCTTAAATTAATATGGGAGCAAATCAGACATATTCTAAATTAAAACAAGAGCACCGCTAGGCGGAGCATTATATGCCCGAAAGTGTTTTTTTTTAGTAAGGCTGAAGCATTTGTAAGACATGGAATTCGCTGTTCATCCTATAAAAAAAAGCTGTAGGTTGATTAATACTTAAGTTATTAATAATGACCTTAACCTTTGACCTTGTGACCCCAAATCAATAGGGGTCTTCTACCCAATATGGATAATCATCCTATGAAGTTTGAATATCGTGGGCCAAATGGAACTTACGTTATGCTCAGGAAACTGTTTTTGGTTTTAAGGTAATTGTGACCTTGACCTTTGACCTAGTGACCCCAAAATCAATAGGGACTTTTGCCCAATATGGACAATCATCCTATGAAGTTTGAGTATTGTATTTTTAAATTTTACATTTGATTGACATGCAGATACATTTTGTTCAGACGAGGAAGGCATAGCTGGTTTACTTAATTGAGGGCTGATGACTTAAAATATTTTAAAGTCTTTCTTCCCAGGGATCACTTTTTCCAGATATTGCGATTGACAGTCGCTGTTTGAAATAATTACATGTAGTGGTAATCACATATAAACCCATTAAGACGAGTTGATGTAACCACGTTAAATGTCAAGCAATGTATATAAATTGTATGATTTGGAGTGAAAATAACATTGTAAAGACAAATATGACAAATGCTGTGTAAGCGTAAAATGTCATTTCATAAACAAAATGCATTGATCTAAGAGCTGTTGTATAGAAAATAAATTGGAGGGCGACTTTATGAAACAACTTTAAGTAATTATGCAATTAATGCAAAGCGAGTGTTTCTTGACACTTTCATTCTGTTCCCATTTTCAGTTGCTGTTTACTATTTATTAGTCTTACAATTGTACTTAATAAATGAATTTCCATACGTCTTATTGGCGGTCTTTGATATCTGGTCATACGCATACTAGATACACTTTTAGTTTTGTTGAAGTTGCTAATTTTATGTTTTTAAATGAACTATACCTGTGATACCGATATTTATGACAAACTACAAAAGTACTTTTACACTATTTTATTTTTTATTTATTAAGAAATGTGTAAGTGTATTTATTGTTTATATGTATTCAGTCATTTGGACAATAAAATGACACACATAAAACGACATGAAATTCCAAATGATAAATTGTCCGATCCAAGAGAAAATGAACCTACTCGATTTGATTATTTGTTATATTTTTCTGATATTTTTAAGGCATTTTCAAAGCACCAATTGTAAAGCTTTACATTTGTCATCGTAGGTTGTTTTGCATTTTTCTTAATGCATCTTACTTTCCATCAGTGTTTTAAATCTTTTTGCTCAGTGTTACAGAATACAATATAGATCTATGATATCTTATCACGTTAATTGTGTTATATATTTAATTCATATTATTCGACTTACTCAGTGATAGCTCATCATTTAATTGCCGAGTAGTTTTCTCTGAAAGCTTAACATAAACATTTGAAATGTTAATTCTGTCTGTGATATCTTAGTCAGGTAAATCGTTTTAGTTTTGTTTTTCTATGTTATCTTGATATTGAATATTATGTTATATCTGTTAATTTTGATATTTCAAAATAAAATCACTTGATTTATTTACAGTCTCTGATGAACTTTTAGAACCAAGTTAACTCCATTTTTTCTTTCCAAACACGGAAATGACCCATCAATTCATTCAGCCAGCAACTTTCTAAGTGCCAAATCAGAAAATGAAACAGGGTTCTATCCAGGAATTTCTGAAGGCATGTTGCAAAAATATATTTTATAGGCACTTGCCTCTGACAGCTTATAGGAAAGAGGAGAATATATTTGCAATATCAGCTAAAATAAGTATCTGCCAGTTTTGCATTTATGTACTACATGTACTACCTGACTTATGCATTAAACAAGAGGGCCATGATGGCCCTTATATCGCTCACTTGACTATGAAGGCTCAATCCCATTTAATTTGGGCTGTGTGACCTAGTGTGACCCGAGTTGACCCATATGCAAACTTGACCTAGAAATCATCAAAACAACCTTTCTGACCAATTTCCAGGATAATTCGACTTAAATAGTAGCCCCTAGGGTGTTAACAAGGTTTATCAATAATTGGGCTGTGTGACCCTGTTTTTGACCAGGTATGACTATATTCGAACTTGACCTAGAAATCACCAAACAACCTTTCTGACCAATTTCCAGGATAATTCAACTTAAACAGTAGCCCCTAGAGTGTTAACAAGGTTTTTCGATATTTGTGCTGTATGACCTAGCTTTTGACCCGAGATGGCCCATATTCGAATTTGACCTAGAAATCATCAAAACAACCTTCCTGACCAATTTCAGGATATTTGGATCAAAACTGCAGCCAAATGAGTGGTAACAAGGTCTTTTTATTTTAAGCTCCAGTGATCTAGTTTTTGACCCGAGATGACCCATATTCGAACATGACCTTGAAAATATCAAAACAACCTTCCTGACCAATTTCGAGGAAATTTGAACTGCAACATTAGCCCCTAGAGTGCTAACAAAAAAAATCTATTTTTAACACCTGTGACCTAGTTTTTACCAGAGATGACCCATATTGAAACTTGACCTAGAAATCATCAAACAATTTCCAGGATATTTGGATCAAAACTGCAGCCAAAATAATGTTTACATTTTTTTCCTCTATTTTTAGCTCCTATGACCTAGTTTTTGACTCGAGATGACCCATATTTGTTCTTCTAAGAAGACCCATATTTGTTCTTGACTTATATTTCATGAGACAAACATTCTGACAAAGTTTGATTATGATCCTATCAAAACTGTGACTGCTACAGTGTTAACAACCCAAATGTTGACAATGCACTACGCACAACAACTGACATAGCCCCATCACTATAACTCACCTTGACCATGTGAGCTAACAGCTTACACTTTCAAGTATAGTTAATGTATGACTTTTAGATGTGTTTACAAAATGGTCACCAAGTATAAAGACAATACACCAAAGAACTTAAAAAGTTATGATCAACATTAATGGAAACACCAACATGACTTTAACAACACCTTATAAAATGAACATTTCTCCAAAAATTAATGCCTCCAGGAAAATGCCCCTTGTTACACAACTAATCAAGGAGTCCAAATTTCATGTTAATGCAGCTTGTTTAACAACTGTGCCTTGTCATGATAAGCAAGTATTCCAAGTTTCTTGTTGATATCTTTTAAAATATTTGAATAATCCGTTACATTAAAGTTTTTGCATGACAACGGCGAAGACAACAGCCATGAAGCAGCGATTTTAATTGCTTGTCTTTTACTTCCAAATGGTTCAAGTGAACGATTTCACCTAAGTGAAGTATATTTGCAAACATTGCTTAAGTAGATGTTACATGCTTAAATTAATATGTGAGCAAATCAGACATATTCTAAATTAAAAAAATAAATGATAACTGCAAGCTCAGTGGCGTTTTATTTTCATAAAGAAAAAATAAGTTACCTCCTTGATACCGAAACTTCTAAATTGGGTGGTATTGGCATCTTGAATGTCCATATAAAACATGACTGAAACTTGTACACACATATATAAAATTGCTTTATTTTTATTAAACAGCATTACACTATGATATATCTAAAATATAAATAAAATATGTGAAGAGATTGTAAAATCTTGGTTTTAGATAATGATATAAAACTTCCCCTTCTCCAAATTGTTGATGCACAATGAAACAACTTGAACTTTGTGACCAAAACAAATATATTCTCAAAAATGATTTATGACATAGAAACAGCGCTGGAAATCCTACAGCCAGGTTATCCTTAAAATGTTATTTAAATATGGTCATCATTCAAAGAAAGTATAATCAAATTTAATAATCACTGGGAACTACTGTGCAATCAACTTTCTTAATGCTTGAATTGCTTAATCTTCATGGCAAGAACTAACAAACCCATATAACGGAGATGCTTCTCAATGGCTTAAAAATTGTTTGTCTTCAACTAGCCCAACATATACATTTTAACTGTGTATATATCAGAATGTTATACATGTAGTAAATACCTGTCTGTAAAAGCAGGTATTCAGCAAATAAAAATCCTAGCAAAATTGATTAAAATCTTTTGCAAAGTTAATCGATTCATTCCAATATATATTAAAATATTTGTTTCAAATAGTTTGAAATTTCCATAAACTAAAATAAAAACATTTCACACTAAACACCACTAACATTCCTAATAAAAATATTGCAAAGTTTTCAACGTAAGATTTTAAAATGCCCTAGAATATCAATAAATATATAAATCAAAATGGCATTGATGTCAGGTTGGTATTTTCATTTTATACTTGAGTGATTGTGTCTGACTTCAGTGGATGAAATCTAACAATATTAAAGTTTTCCTTGTGAATACCCATCACAACTTGTGTCATGTAAAGTCGTCCTCAGGATTGTCAACTTTCTCTTCCACAGAGTGGTAGTGTTCTCCTAGTCCATATGCATGTCTGTAATATCTGTAATGATTAACATTTTGAGAATAAATTTTGAAATATATGTAAGTAAGTATATTAAAGTAAGTACCGAAAATTATCATTAACAAAATCCACTTTAGAATGGGGGGCATAAACAGAAAGACAAATCAAGCCATCAATGTTTTTGTGGTCATCACAAAAACGATATTTGATTGGCTAATGTTGACTTTTACCACATTTATTTTCCAATCAAATACTGGGCTGCTAACACTCCTAATTTATTTAGAATGGTTTCCTGTAGCTGCATATTCATACAGCTTCATATTCATACAGAAAAGGTTACATGTATTTATGTGGTAAACTTCAAAGATTTTGTGAAAGACCAACACTGGTCTAGAGGCAATTTTAATCAGTTTCAATGTCTATGAAATTGTGGAAGTACCGTAAAAGTACTTATTTCTGCGGGCTTAATATTCTGCGATTTTTGTTAAAATAAGGGGTTTTAAATTTCTTCGTATTTTTTTTCTGCGGTGTTATCATTCTCGCATTGATGCGTTTTATTTCTGCGTTTTAACTATAAGATATTTATACAAAATTAACCGATAAAAAAAGACAACATTTCAAGATTTGATAATGTAACATTACTTCCACGACTGATAATGTGTTTCGTCGTAATCAATATGTATCGGTATATGCACGTGCATATGCACGAAAATAACATTTTAATACTGTATTTGTATAAATATGAAGTGTGAAAATAAAAAATGGCAAAATCGCACGTCGACTAAATATATTGTACGGATACATAAAAGGTGTATTTATAGCGAGTGTAGGACAATAGCACCCCCGGACGAAAGCCCCCCCTTCTAAAAATGACAAGGTGGACAAAAGCCCCCTCATGAAATTTCCACATAGGACAAAAGCCCCCCCCATAAAAAAGTAAAGGTAGGACAAAGCCCCCCCCCCCCATTGTCCATCAAATTTACATTTAGTGTAAATGAATTAATGGGTGAGAAGACTATGGCACAATTTCTGTATGCCATGTCACAATGTATCAGACTCAACTAAATGTGAACTTTTTCTGAAACTGAACTGTAGCAGAGACTGTGAGAATAATTTATCAATAAAGTGTGCTTTATTTCATCCATGTGCTCTTCATCTTCATGTTTGTAATATTTTTAAGCATGCATGTATTAAAGTTGTGTTTTTTATGTGTATAAAAAAACATAGTGTTAATGATATTAATTTGATCCCTTTACAATAGTGATTAAACATTACTACTCTTCTGACGCTTATTGTGTATATGAAAAGCTATGAATTCAGTATTACATGTATGTATTATTTCATCTGTTATCATACTTTGTTATCACTTCAATATATACATTATTAATAAACATTAAAGCGGCACGCCTGCAGATTCATCCTAATTTTCATGAAAATTTTGAAAATGTATTTAAAGGTAAAAAATTGTGAAATGAACAAAGAAATTACTTGACACATTACAATCGGCACTTAAAATCCACGTAAATTACCAAAAAGAGGTCAAAATATGCATAAATAGCCCTTACTGCGTTAGTAACGCAGTATAAATATGGTGATAAATACTACAAAATACAGTCATTAATTGCACATAAGGTATACACTATATGTAAATTTGATGGACCATGGGGGGGCTTTTGTCATACCTTTACTTTTTTATGGGGGGCTTTTGTCCTATGTGGAAATTTCATGGGGGGGCTTTTGTCCACCTTGTCATTTTAGAAGGGGGGCTTTCGTCGGGGGGGGGGGGGGGGGAGGGCTTTTGTCCGTATCCCATTTTTAGTAGGTTTTAATTTTAATGAAAATACCACACAAGGGCCATTTTTGCACCACCTGTCAAACTATAATTATAGTTTGTTGTTTTTTTTATTCACAAAATTTTTTATTCACAAAAAAGACCCATCAAGCTTGAGGTGAGTGAAAATCATACAAACATGATAATTATTTATTTCAACAAAAAGGACAAGCAAAGTAAGTTTTTTTTAAAAATATTTTGTTCATGACGGATACATAAAAAATCCCATCTACAAAAGCGGATAACTACAAGTGGTATTGTATTTATACTATCCCCCGGTAGTTGAAATTCGACATAAACAAGGGAAGGCTTAATTTTCTGCGATTTTTAAATCTGCGGTGTCGTTATGAACCGCAGAAATAAAGTTCCCGCAGAAAAAGTACTTATACGGTAATTTACTCTGCGCTATGAGTGTTGTGTCCACATCCATTTCTCTAAGGAAATGGACAAGCTGTTTCTCATGTTTTTATAAACAGATTTAGGCAGAATGTGGTTAAACCGTTATTTTAGCAGAGTAGTTAAGGTTACTGACTTCAACATCACTTGCCCTTCATGGGCTCACTCAGGAGCCCACTTAATGCATTCTGCCTGTTATAATGTACAGTGGACCACCTGAGATCTTCCTCCAGAAAGACACCATTTAGTGTCAGTGTGTAACTTAAAATCTAACAACTTTAGTTACAGCTAAATATATGTATCAATATCACTTACCATTTCATGCAAAATATTATATATAGAGAGCCAATGAGTAAAATCACTGAACCATTATAAACATTTAAAACCAACAAGATTATAATTGTCTTCCTTTTTTTTCTTGGTTCAGGTTTAAGTCACGCTGTAAGAAAAGTTTTCAGTTTTAATGATGGAGAAAGACGTCTGTACATTGTGTTTGACAGGAGCAAACACCTGTAAAGAACCATCAACCTTCCATTAGCAACATGTCTACATTTGTCAGTAAAAATTAATTGATTTGTTCAATTATAACAAAATCAGCTTGACTTACGTTAAAACTAGTGGATTGCCACCATAATGTTCTCCAGTAAGTATTGATGGGCCTTCAGATTGAACAACTTCTACAGGTATCCGTAACACATTACACAATGCTTGTATCTGCAATAAACCACATCATATCATTAACTCTGTATCACATGGTAACTTACTATACTATATAGTTAATAAAATATTATCCAGTCAGGTATGTATTTCTCATTGCTGGTTAGGTTAATAATAAAAGTATAATATTTATGTGCCTTGGTAACAGACCAATTACAGGGCTAGAGCTAAACTTTTTTTTCCACTTTCAAATTTTTGACAGTACAAGAAATCCTAACTCGCAACAAGAGCTGTCGGTAGAACAGAACGCTCCACTATTCTTAGTGCTTGATAGTAAAAAAAGCCTTGATTAAAAGGTAAAACTTTCTCAGTAAAGAAAAAGGCAAAATTTTTCTTTAAATCCATATTACAGTTATAGGCCTTGGAGAGAGTCATATTATGCTCTCAAAGAAGAGTATAAATTTTAACATGTTTCAAAGCCTTATGTCAATGAACTTTGAAAATATTTGAGGTATTACAAAAACTTTAACGTAAATTCTAAGTCGAACAAGAGCTGTCGGTAGGACAGCAACGCTCGACTGTTCTTAGTGCTTGATAGTAACAAAAAATGCTTGATACAGTTACCTCCTCCTGTTTACAGGTTGGGGTCATGATGGTGAACAAGTGTGCAAAGTTTCAAAGCCATAAGTCAATGGACTTTGAAAATATTTGAGGTATTACAAAAACTTTAACGTAAATTCTAATTTGAAAAAGGGGCATAATTCTGTCAAAATGCTTGATACAGTTCCCTCCTCCTGTCTACAGGTTGGGGTCATGATGGTGAAAATGTGTGCAAAGTTTCAAAGCCATAAGTCAATGTACTTTGAAAATATTTGAACTATTACAAAAACTTTAACGTAAATTCTAAGTCGAAAAAGGGGCATAATTCTGTCAAAATGCTTGATAGAGTTACCTCATCCTGTCTACAGGTTGGGATCATGATGGTGAACAAGTGTGCAAAGTTTCAAAGCCATATGTCAATGGACTTTGAAAATATTTGAACTATTAAAAAAACTTTAACATAAGTGGTTACACCGAAGCAGACGCCGACACCGACGCTCGGGTGACTACAATAGCTCTACTTATTCTTATGGAATAGTCAAGCTAAAAAGGGGCATAATTCTGTCAAAATGCTTGATACAGTTACCTCCTTCTGTCTACAGGTTGGGGTCATAATGGTGAACAAGTGTGCAAAGCTTCAAAGCCATATGTCAATGGACTTTGAAAATATTTGAGGTATTACAAAAACTTTAACGTAAATTCTAAGTCAAAAAAGGGGCATAATTCTGTCAAAATGCTTGATACAGTTCCCTCCTCCTGGCTACAGGTTGGGGTCATGATGGTGAACAAGTGTGCAAAGTTTCAAAGCCATATGTCAATGGACTTTGAAAATATTTGAGGTATTACAAAACTTTAACATAAGTGGTTACGCCGATGCGGACGCCGACGCTCGGGTGACTACAATAGCTCTACTATTTGAATAGTCGAGCTAAAAACAAAACTGAACTTACATGTTTTCATAGCATTTAATAATAAACATCATGATGCTGATGCATATATCTGTATGTGTTTATAGTGAAATTGCTATTTTGTATGAATTGCCATTGGAAGTGACATTTCTTTTAACAAAGTTTTATAAATTTATATTCATTAACTATCTGCTACATTACCAAAAGTTTGCAGGTGTGAAGAAAAGTTTCTGGCATTTTTCTATTTTAAATTGTATTTCCCTTCTTTTTTTGCTCTGGATTAAAAGCAGTACAAATGTATTTACATTTTACTCATAGCAGACAGTATAGATTTTTGTAATCCATATATGTCATGATATACTAAACGTCACTCTAAATCAATAAATGCCAGTCTTTTAGATGTACTAGTACGAAATACAGTCTGTCATTCTGGGATATATGTTTGTATTTTTTTAAAAGTATTTGTAAACAATTAATATTAACTAACATCTATACTTATTAAAACATAATCAAATATTTTTATTGTTTAAGAAAAGTTGTGTAAGAGTGCACATAAAATCATCTGTATAGTAAATCATTATCACAAAAGTGTGCAAACTCCACAACCTAATTATTACCTCCAACTGTCCTCCCCATGCTGGTGTAGTCTCTAAATCATTACAGTAAGCTTCAAAATCATCTGCAATAGAAGTTTATATGAGCCGTGCCATGATAAAACCAACATAATGGGTTTGCGACCAGCATGGATCCAGACCAGCCTGCACATCTGCTCAGTCTGATCAGAATCCATGCTGTTCGCTATCAGTTTCTCTACTTGTTATAGGGTTTGTAAGCGAACAGCATGGATCCTGATCAGACTGCGCGGATGCTGAGGCTGGCCTGGATTCATGCTGGTCGCAAATGCATTACGCTGGTTTTGTCATGACGCAGCTCATATTATAAAGATGTGATACAAAATTATATCATCCTAAGGAATTCATTCATTACAGTAAAACCTAGAACAAATGTTTTTTTCATATGTACAAAGCAACACAGGACTTATTTAACTTTGTTTGTTCACTTTGTGAACTAATGCATGTCGTATTTATATTTGCAGAAGTTTGAATGATATCACTGGCACATCTCAACAATTTATTTGCTGAAAATAAAGTATCAACCATTTTAAAGTTCCAGTCAACACTCAAACATTAAAAAAGTAAAAAGTTAGCTCATAAATGAAGATATGGCTGGTAAGGTATTTTGGTATATAATCAGGATTAATCTATTATATCTTATCAGTTACTGAGAAGTTTCACTGAGAATACAAAATTAGATCTACAAGTGCTTCTTTTCTGAACAGCAAACTCATATCTTAATCACTAATAAAATATTTACATGTGGTATTTATTGTTTCTGTTCTATCATAGATCATATTCAAAATCAAATAAAAATATCAGTTAAATGTATAAACTTTATATCTGAACTATTATTGCAAAAAATTGATATTTATTGATAATACATCATTACATGGACCAATCAGGTTTAAAATAAATTCTTTAGTTAATGTACCTAAGAGTATATTATAACAGCTTTGTTTTTAATACACATGAAAATAAAACTAGTATTACATGAATGTCTATATAAGAAATATCCTGGAGTTTAAATATTATACATGTATTATACCTTGTGTAAAGCAGTCACCATTATCTTTAGATAGAAATGGAAGAAAGTCGTCAGCATGCTCCCTCATGTACTTAGCAACTTGAGTCCTCAAACTGTCCACACTACTCTGTCAACAGACACAACATATCAATATGTTATTCAAGTCCATTTTAATCAAATTTGCATGTCATGAATGCTTATGTATTATATTAAATTGTCATCTATTTTAGAAAACAATAAACAAGACTTTTTCCAGCATTTTTGGAACACAAGTCTTTTAACACCCTTAATATTAGAAATGTTAGCAGCATTTTCCTAAAAACTAGGAATTCATGTTTAGTGGCTGGGGCAGTGATCATTCAGAACATGGGTTTGAACCATATTCCATTCACAACCACATTCCATCATAGGAAACCAGTACAGGTTAGTTCCAACAAGCAGACTCAATACTGGTTTAAATCAGCTTCAAGCTGTTATCACAAACAAGCTAAATGAAATACAGTAAACTCCGCTTACAACAAACTCATCGGGACATTCAAAATCTGTTACTTATATCCGGAGTTCCTTTTAAGCATATAGCGAATTAGTTCCTTGTATCAGGAGTTTTTATAGCGAACAGATTTACATATAACGAACTGTTTGTTTACCAACGTCTGCCATTTTGAAGAGCATTTGATTAAGAAAAAATAGTTGTTTATTTCTATTTTAGACACAATATCCGAAAGCGTACTTTTTGGAATTTGAAAATCCTTTGGTATTTCAGTTTTAATTTTACTCCCTTTCTCAATTTCACATAAAACATCATATTCAGTACTTTTCGTTTTCTTTCCATTATTAAGAAAACCAAGATTTTCGATTTTTCTTTCCTTTTATATAGGGTTAACGCACGTTTTTCCGTGTTATAACGTCTGCAGAGTCCCGAGGAACGGTTGGTGCCCGAGCCCGGTAGGGCGAGGACTCTAACAGTTCCAAGGGACTCTGCAGACTTTATAACACGAAATAGATTTCTTTTCATTTAAATTTTAAATCAAGCATACTTTGTAGTTTTCAATGATTTATACAAAACGAAAGTTGAAAATGCGGGATCAATTTACGGATAGCCGATATTTTGGAGTTCGTTATAAAAGTTTAATTTTCTGTACTTTTAACTAAATTGGGACTAAGAAATGAGTTCCTTATAAGCGATAATTCCTTATAACCGTGTTCGCTATAACCGTATATTTTTATATTAAATAAAGAAGGGCAAAATTTGGGCCAAAATAAATTGTTCCTTATAACCGGAAGTTCGCTATAACCGTGTTCGCTATAAGTGAAGTTTACTGTACTGTTTAACTATGACTGGAATTTGTCTAATAATAAATTAAGCAAAATAGTTTTCAATTAGAGCCTGGTATGTGTAGTCAGATTACAACTACACTTCAACAACACTAAATTAGCTATTGTCAGTACAGTACTAAATGAATTATAAGTCATGCAACAACACTAAATTAGCTATTGTCAGTACAGTACTAAATGAATTATAAGTCATGCAACAACACTAAATTAGCTATTGTCAGTACAGTACTAAATGAATTATAAGTCATGCAACAACACTAAATTAGCTATTGTCAGTACAGTACTAAATGAATTATAAGTCATGCAACAACACTAAATTAGCTATTGTCAGTACAGTACTAAATGAATTATAAGTCATGCAACAACACTAAATTAGCTATTGTCAGTACAGTACTTAATGAATTATAAGTCATGCAACAACACTAAATTAGCTATTGTCAGTACAGTACTTAATGAATTATAAGTCAGATCCATGCTGTACATTGTTGATTCTATCAAAATCGTAAAATTTAGCACAGAACAGTATAGAGGTTGTTAGAGGCTGGTTTGGGATGCAGAGGGGCCTAACTTGGTAACATATGAAAGTTGTTAATACTATAATATAGATATTATATAATACATACTGAGATTTTTCTGTCCTCCAACTGATGGGCAACTGCTGCATATAAACTAAAAAATATAAAAAATATCCAGATATAGTTAGTCTAGAAACGGAAATGTTTAGAGAATGATTTACATTTATCTCTTTTCAAGACTCAAACAGTTAATACATAGCTATCACTGTAGCTGCTGAAATGGAATGAAGCTATGGTTGCTAAGCTGACTATGGTTGCTTGTAGCAATACTGCTGAAGAATTATTTTTAGCACAAGAAGGCAACTGAGAAGAACAACCAACATTCCAAAAGCTAGCTGGAAATGTTCTATTTAGGAATGCAATGCTCTATATAATCATTTGAACCAAAAGTGGCAAGTGGTATTTACTTCAAAGTCAGAGACCTTAAATGCTTGGTCACCAGATTCAACTGTCTGGATGAAATAACCCATTACATTGTACTTTCATTATACTAAGACCGGGGTCATGTATTTGCTAGTATTGCTATTAGTATAAATGCATTTACAATGATGCTGGTTTATCTGTGATATCTAAAATACCATTCAAAATACCTTATCATGCTAAAACTATAAACATATTACACAAAAAACAATGATAATTTATTCCTTATTCACATGTCAGTTATCTTATTGGTAAACTTAAGGAAAAGTTTCTACCAAACTTACCAATTACCATCAGAGGGAATCTGAAAATACAAATGATCAACATTGTTATTAAATGAAACTACTCCCAATGTCATGAGAAATTAAAACCCAATGTCATGAGAAATTAAAACATGTACAGGGAGGTAATCAATTAACTCATATAAGTATTCATAACTAATTAAAGTTATATAAAGTTATTCATAAACTAAGATTAATGTCAAAAAGGCATTTCAATGTTCATCCATATTAAAAACTCTTATTTTGGTGAGATTAACACCAGTACATGATAAACCCAAAAAACGTTTTAATGTAATTATAAATATTTTCCTTTTCTAAACCTACCATTACATTTTTAACACAAAATCATCTTTGTAATTACTCATTACTTTGTCAAATTAACAAAATGGACTCTTGTAACTTCCCAAAATAGCTTAAATGAGTTTCACAAACACTGTAGATGATGCCTTTATCACAAATGATATTCAACTTTGGTACAATTTGTTCTATACTGCTCTATTTACAGAATGGATATTTGCTACATTCATAATTATATAAGTACTATATGCCAGCAAGCAGAATTGTTTTTGGATGTATTCATATTATACAGCATACTTATAAGTCTATAAAATTACCAATACCAGCCCACCTAACATGTCTTCTATATATGACCTGCATTAAATTCATAACTGTCCAAAATTTAGGGCAAACAGTGTTAAAATTAATAAGAGTTGTCAAAATTTGTGGGCTAGACAATTCTACTATCGCTAGTGGCCTCTTGAATATAACAATTACTGTATTAACAGTTAGTCAGACATCATGGAAATTTAGGCTGGTCAAGCTCTATAATAGAATCAAAAGGACTGTTCAAATCACCACTAAAACATTAGAATGCTGAAACTAACCTCATGTATCTGTAGACCTCTCTGTTTAAGGACTGACTTTATTTTCACAGCTTCCATATGTCTAGATGATGTCAGGTTCTCTATCTCTTGTTCTCTTATTCTCTCTTCCCTCTCTTCATCCTTAGCTGCTTTCTTGTTCTGTACATAAATGTATCATGTTTAACTTGTATAGAAATAAAGCAAACAAATAAAGCAAATAAAATATTAAAGGAATGTAAAGAAAATAATTTATCAGACCTTATTCATTAGAATAATAATAGGTCTCATATCATAGGTTTGTTGTATTTTGATAGTATCATTAATCATATATTATATGTATCATAAAATGCACATGTAGATATCTATTTCCAGAACATTGTGAAAATATTGAAGGCATTTATTTACCAGGAAGGGAAGTAAAGGAAATTAAGGGAAAAAAAAACAACAGAAAAAACAGACAAAATTTAACCACAAATAAGAATATTTATTTATACAAACTACAGGAACTTCTTTAAAAAAACTTTCTAGTGTTTTGTACACATATATTCTTAAATAACGTTTTATGCCAAAAACAAGAAGTTAGACTAAACTGCGCCCCTAAAATAAGAAATCAGACTTGTCACTTACCCTTCTTTTCTGTGCTTTACTTTGTTTCTTTGGTTTTGCTGATTGTTGTACCACTTCATCTTGTCCATCATGGTCCTCAGTGCTCAATTTGTCCACTGAATTAACAACTTCTTCAATTTCAGCATCCTAAAATGACCAACATCTAAGAGATCAGAAAGATACTGCAATAGCATTCACATGTATTTACAAGTTGTCATAATGAGAAAATTGAATGAGTGAAGATTATTCTTCAAGCTGAATAGAATTATATTATGCGAGCCTTTTACAAGCACAATATCATGTAATCAAAGAGTTCAATGAATTTAGTTATGAGCTTACATGAATATTCTATTTATTACATACATAAATAAGAACTATTTTTCATTTAAAACAATCACTTTTTCATTGACATGACTAGTGTTACTGTGTAATGCCAACAATGTGCACTTTTTAGCTACATGTATGTCTATATAACTTAAATGATATCACATCAAATATATGCACGACCGTGCCATACTATTTTTACAGAGTCATAAAAGCTGTGATAAAATGAAACACTGTACACAAGTTAAAATGTTTTTCTGGGTAATTTCCCATATATACATAAATGCCCCTATGCCCATTTAACATGTGACATTACACTCATTTACATTGAACTTCTATTGCATTATATATAATTTTCATAAATTAAATCAAACTTGAAGTCACAAATTTTTCCTTTATTACTGTCATTGCAAAATTATGTTCACACATCTGTACATCTTACCATTGTGGGGTTAACATTATGTACAATATCACACTAAGGATGTGATATTTATAATGAGGAAATGAAAGATAACAGATGATGGGATTATTTCTTTCAGTAAACACCATTTTTCCAGATGTGATGTAGAAATTAGAAAGTACTAACTTCCTCTACAATATTATTGTCTTTAAGCTCTGCCAGTTCCTTCTGATGTTTAGCAGTCAGTTCAGCTTCTAGTAATGCAATCTTTTCTGTAGTTTCTTTCTTTTTCTTTTTATCTCCCTTGGTGACACCATGCTTCAATTTCTGAATTTCAGCTAAAAATACAAGTTACACAGAAATTTCATCAAAAACTTTGTAGAAAATAATTATAAAGTATTAAGTCATAAAAATATTTATGAGCCCTAGCCATACATGAGATAAGTACAGCTAGAACTTTTGGCTAGAACTATGGGCCTTATGGCTAGCCACTTCCTAAAGAAATCAATATATTACCTTTTAATTTAGTAAAACAATACAAACTTGTTAATTTATACATGATTGTAGATTTCTTTGCACTTTATTTTGATGTTAAGTGACAGTAAACTGACATTTAGCAATACTATAAATAGAATTTTGGTGATTTCCGTGAATAACAGAGAACATATAGTATATGAGTACATCTATAACTGCTCTGAGATGGTGACCATGCGACACCATACTATTCGCTGTGACAGATACATGTATCATTGTATGCTAACTTGCAACACAGGAAGTGCAAGAAAGGTAAATAACATGTCATTTTACATTAAAGCTACTTAATTAATTATAACCTTAATTTTATTAACTTTTATATTTTAATTACCATACTACGGTACTTAATTAATAAAGGAGAGGTACATATGATGTGGATCTACAAATTCCTCTTGTTTCTCAACATTTCTTGACAAGACTGTATGGTAAAAGATACGCCAGCATCCATTATTTGACGCCTTGGACAAGTAAGAATATAATGAGCTGACAACTTCCCTACTACTGAGATTATGCAACCACATTTCAGGAATTGGATCTAACAACTTCATTATAAACAAGAATTTGTAACAGAGTTACCAACGTCCCCCGCCCCGGGAGTTTTATATGAAGCATAAAATTGTGCTATTTCAAAAGATTGAGGTATGGACCTCAGGACATTCAGTCCAAAATTATGATCAATGCTAGATCTGCAAATGTAACAATAAATTTGTTAAAAAAATAAAATGAAACACGGAATTTAAAAATCTATCATGTTAAGCTTTGACCTCTAAGTGTGAACTTGACCTTGGAGGTAGGGGAGCAGGTGTTGTGCATGACATAACGTCTTATTATTGTGACTATTTCTGCCAAGTTATTTCAAAATCCCTTGAACTATGAAGAAGTTCTAGATTCAACACAAAATATACCCTATAATAGACTATGTTAATTTTTGACCTCTAAGTGTGACCTTGACCTTGGAGGTAGGGATGCAGGTGTTGCGCATGACACATCCTCTTATTATAGTGACTATTTGTGCGAAGTATTTTCACAATCCTTTGATCTATGAAAAAATTATAGACCTGACACAAAATATACCCTGTAACAGACTATGTAAGTATTTGACCTCCAAGTGTGACCTTGACCTTGGAGGTAGGTGACCGGTTTTTGCGCATGACACATCATCTGATTATTGTTAACAATTATGGCAAGTATTTACAAAAGTCCTTCATAGATAAGAAAGTTATGGACTGGACACGACATATACCCTCAAATAGATAATGTTGACCTTGAATGAACAAGTACGACCTTGACCCTGAAGGTACGGGTCTGGTTGTTGCGCATGACACATCGTCTTATTATAACAAACATTTGTGCCAAGTTATCTCAAATTCCTTTGATAAATGACAAAGTTATGGACCGGACACGAAATATACCCTGTAACAGACTATGTTAATATTTGACCTCCAAGTGTGACCTTGACGTTGAAGGTAGGCAACTGGTTTTTGCGCATGACACATCGTCTGATTATTATGAACAATTATGGCAAGTATTTACAAAAACCCTTCATAGATAAGAAAGTTATGGACCGGACACGAAATATACCCTGTAACAGAATATGTTAATATTTGACCTCCAAGTGTGACCTTGACCTTGAAGGTAGGTGACTGCTTTTTCCGCATGACACATCGTCTGATAATTGTGAACAATTATGGCAAGTATTTACAAAATCCCTTCATAGATAAGAAAGTTATGGACCGGACACGAAATATACCCTGTAACAGACTATGTTAATATTTGACCTCCAAGTGTGACCTTGACGTTGAAGGTAGGCAACTGGTTTTTGCGCATGACACATCGTCTGATTATTATGAACAATTATGGCAAGTATTTACAAAAACCCTTCATAGATAAGAAAGTTATGGACCGGACACGAAATATACCCTGTAACAGAATATGTTAATATTTGACCTCCAAGTGTGACCTTGACCTTGAAGGTAGGTGACTGCTTTTTCCGCATGACACATCGTCTGATAATTGTGAACAATTATGGCAAGTATTTACAAAATCCCTTCATAGATAAGAAAGTTATGGACCGGACACGAAATATACCCTGTAACAGACTATGTTAATATTTGACCTCCAAGTGTGACCTTGACCTTGAAGGTAGGTGACTGGTTTTTGCGCATGACACATCGTCTGATTATTGTGAACAATTATGGCAAGTATTTACAAAATCCCTTCATAGATAAGAAAGTTATGGACCGGACACGACATATACCCTCAAATAGGCAATTTTGACCTTGAATGAGCAAGTGTGACCTTGACCCTGGAGGTAGGGGTCTGGTTGTTGCGCATGACACATCGTCTTATTATAATAAACATTTGTGCCAAGTTATTTCAAATTCCTTTCATAAATGACAAAGTTATGGACCGGACACGAAAGTGTGACGGACGGACAGACGGACGTACTCACAAAATGGTACTTGTGTGACTTTTCCTTTGATCTTTTTGGCCATTTTTGGTCACACAAGCCTTAAAAAAAAGACACACAAGTAAAACGGAATGAATAGGATCAAAGAGAATTTACTGTTACCCATTGTTCTCCAAGTCACACAAGTACCTCTGGGTTCGTACGGACAGACGTCCGGACGGACAGACGGAGCCTATTTCTATATCCCCCTTTTTTCTTCGAAAAGGCGGGGGACAATAACTACAGGATTTATGAGGACGATTTGTGTCTATTGTTAATATCTAGTGATGTAAGAAGTGTGTGGTTGTTATGCTCTCATGAAGACCAAGTAATTAGACTTGTCAAAGAGACATCAAGATAATTTTGGACGGGCAATGTCCTTTTCAAAGTACAACCACAAACTGCTTAATTCTCCCAACTAATTAGACTTGTCAAAGACACATCAAGATAATTTTGGACGAGCAATGTCCTTTTCAAAGTACATCCACAAACTGCTTAATTCTACACAGACGCTAGCCCAACTAATTAGACTTGTCAAAGAGACATCCAGATAATTTTGGACAGGTGGTGTCTGGTTTGACAGTATGAAAAAAAAAGTTTGTAAAATGGGTCAAATCGTTCACGCCAAATTAATTAGGCTAGCTCTCATGATGATGTGTATATATATATAAATACTTTTACATGTTCAGATAGTTTAGCTTTGATAGTTTATTCATATAAGACGTGTACAAAATGCACATGATCACAAAATACATGCATTCAAATAAAATAAAATGTATTCTTCAAGGAAATAATGAATAAAATTAATGTATATATCTTCAAAGATCTTCTCTTTAATTGCATGAAAATGCGTGACAAACCACATATTAACACCTACGATAATTGACGTGCCATGTATACAATAAATATTTTTAACACTATCAAATAAGTTTGCCGAAACCATAACCTATTTTGTTATAGTATTATACAAGATAAATTTATCGAACCTGTATTTCGACGAAACCACTTTCACCCCTATATAGTTCTGGCTTCCATATAAAACTTTATATGTCGCTTTTATTTTGATGTTGTGCGACAGACAGTAAAGTTATGGGTCAACCCTATTTGCAAAGGCTACCAGGATTTTGGCAGTTTGTGTGCAGTACATAAAAACCTTTTAAAATCACCCTTATTAATCAAATTTGGCTCAAATAAAAATACCATTTGATAAAAAACAAATCAATTCTGAATCAATTCATGTTTTGTTTTTAAATGAAACTTCAATGAAATTGTGTACCCAACTATTTAATATGGAAATATGTAGAGAATGTTTACCAATGCCAATATAGAGTCTGCTTTCAAATGAAATCTGGTGGGACTTAAGTTTTGGGAATTCTAGCATCTATTTTTAGTAACGGACCATACACTATTTTTACTAATTGTACAATTTTAAATTAATCCATGAATCATCACTCAAAACATAAATCCAACATGTTTTTGGTACAATGTCTGTTGTTGAATAAATACACTGTTATTCATAATTGCAAAGCCAAAGCATTTGGGTCACCAAATGTCATGCAAAGGTATCCGAACCTAAACTCTCGCTAGTCACGTGATAATTAGGGCAGCAATGGTGGCGAATTTTATGAAATGTGAACCCACTGATAAACTATGAGGCATTATTTCATCAATCTTACGTTCTGTGTTCAAAAATATAGACTGAAGTGTCCCAAATATATCTAACTACCTGTATTAAAATAGCTTTTGTCCAGATCACGAAAATTTATTGAATAACAGCATGACATTATAAATATGTCAAGGTTCTGGTTGACTTTCCATACGGGATTGGCTTCAGCGAACAGGTCTAGCAGTACTATAAAACCTGTTCACTGAAGTCTCTTTTGCTGACCCCTATAAAACCTATTAGCCAAAGTCTCAAGTAACTTTATATATGACCGCCTCTGTGGTCGAGGGGTTAGAGTAAATGACTTCTAATCCAGTTACATCTGTGGCGTGGGTTCGATCCCCAGGAGATGCTTTGGTAGTTTAGCACGGAGGAAGGTAGTCTAGTACTGGTGTAACTCTCCAGGAACGATGGTTAGGAAACTACCCGCCTAAATGACTGAAATACTGTTGGGAAAAGGCGTAAATGAAACAAACAAACAAACAAAAAACTTTATATCTCTCTTTCTCTCTTTTCAACAAAAGTGATAGGTATACAATTATGTTTCAGCCACTTGCTTATGAATTGAAGATTTCAGGTCTATGAGAGACGATATTACCCCACCCACTATTTAATTCATTGACCTTTTCGAAAACCTAGCTAAACACCGTTTTCCGGTACGTTACCGTTTTAGCTCTGGGGAATTACACCAAATGAAGTACATAACACAGTTACGTGATATTTCTATTTTTCTATCATTATTTAACCGTTTAAGGTGAAAAAATTGATGTTTTTGAAAATTATCAATATTCCTTTAATATCTATTGCAAATTATTCAAAAAAATAAATTATTTATAATGAAAATCAATAAAATTCAAACAGACGTAGTGGAATCTTCCATAATAAATAAGGTTATTTTCTGCGTTAACTTGTGTATTTACTTTATTTTTTGTATGGAATTATTCATACAATGATATTTAATTATTTTTTATAAAGAAATAACTGTTTTATTTCAATTTAATTTAAAAAAAGGCCGAAAACATCGAGTTCGCTATTACACTCCATTAGGTGAATTCCCCAGAGCTATGTACAGAAAGTACCGGAAAACGGCGTTTAGCTAGGTTTTCGAATTCGTGAATGACAGGCGATATTACCCCACCCACTATTTTTGCCTATACCTGACACATATCAACCATTATAACTTATAAATAGTATTTATCACCGGATGAAATTTAAAGGAAAATATTCAAAATGTAGTGCTTTCATAATCTTAAGCACCTTGGAGATCCTTCTTCTCTTTCCTTTGACGTTGTAGCAGTAGTTCTTCCGAGTCACATTTTTTATCTCCAAAGTCGGCCATCTTCTTATGCAGCTTACATCAATAGAAAAAGTAAAATAATTGTCTCTTATTTCACGAAACAAATAATTGTTCACAATCTTTGTTTTTTCAAAAGTTAACACGATAAAAATTATTGATTTAGAATATCGAGTCTTAATGATTTAAAACCCTTTTATTCTTTTGTTTTCACTCTATGTTGTAAGCATTTGTACACCAACGAGGATAATTTGAGAGCCTCTGAAAATGGTATTGTTATTAACCATACAGCTTGTATATTTTGTTAAAAGTACTTAATACGATACATATTAATTGTTTTACTTTACAGGTGATACTTACAAGAATTTCATGTCCAATATTTCTGTACTTACAAGAATTTCATGTCCATTATTTCTGTATGATAATGAAAGATCTAATATTAATACACTTGTTACTATATATTATAGTAACAAAGTTGCCTATGATTTCAACTGATTATGAGTGTCACGTGACGTATTATGAGTTTGCGGCCCGGGGCCGAGAACTAGTTATCAGCCCGCAGAACATGTGCACGTGCACAAATTGAAACAATGACGTCAATCTCATATTTTACGTCATGAATCAGATAACTGTAAATGTGAAAGTAGGTTGACAGCACATCGTATTTAGTACAAACACATTTTTGTTACTCCTGAAATTCGAAGAAAACTAATACGACAAATTCAATCCGAAAAAAGAATGAAAATAAAACTTGCTTCTTTGAACACACAAACACTTTTTGAAACAGTAAACATCTCCGTACAGAACACAAGAATTTCAACCAAAGAACTTCAAAGTAGATTTCTATTTGTTGTTGTTGTTTTTTTGTTTTTTTTCTTTTTTAAAAATGCTACTATTAGATCTACCAAGTGTATTAAAGACATTAATACACGTCAGAGTAGGGCCGGAACGTGATAATCGGCCCGCAAAATGAATAATGGACCCAAGGGCTTTAGCCCTCTCCTGCCGTGTATTAACCTCTTATTCATGATTTAATTTGTCACAAATTAAATTTTGTGAGACATCTGATAGAGGTACAAAAAGTTATCTAGACTATTCTAGACTAACAAAAATAATGTTGTTTAATTCAAGCCACTGGACTGGTCTTTTTGCCAAGAATTTTGATATAGCCAAACTGCTTATTCTGAATAAACAGGACCAAACTTGCCCTCAGAAAGTAGCATTAATCCCCTAGAATAAACACTGCTGGTGTTTGGTTGCCTTTTTTTAAGTTCAGTTCAGCCACTAACACTGACTGCATCTAAAGTCACAGAGTCTATCCCTTCAAAATGTGATATCCCAGCGGGATAAAAAACCCTAATATTTTTACCCTCCTTTGACCCTTATCCAAATTTCTGATATCAGAGTTTGAATTCCTGATATTTGTCTTTCAGTCTACTCTAAATAACAAATTTCAATGTAAACAAATCAGTACCTGTCTATAAAATGTAAGCTGCACCTCTGGTCATTTGTGATAATATAGTATCTGTCCATATCCTGTATGATAGTGGATTAAATATTGTGTAGCTAATTGACTGCAGGGTGATGTAATTAACAGTTCAATGGGATAAATGCCCCTTGTTGTTAGCTGAAGTTTATCTTACATGTTAACTAAGCATGTATCACCTTTCACATTTTTAAAAGATTTACAGTTTAAACGCTGGGATTTAATGTATTTTTGGCATTAGCACAAGCTATGTCACAATGACCATGTAAATTAACATGTCTGAATTTGTTCATATAATAAAACTTAAAAAGTTGGTGCCACCTTTTATGTCCTTCAATTAGTGCTGCACTGATACATGTAAAGATTAAAGATCAGCCAAATTTATCCATTAAACTGGGTCATTTAAAAAGCTATTTGAAGTTGGACAAAAGCATGTCTAATTCATTTGTTTTTAGCAAGTCGGTAATATATATATTACACATTTAGGAATTTAATGAATTATACATTTTTCAAAGGTCTTATTTTCAAAAATGTAGATTTAAAAAATACCAAAAAACTTCTTTTATTGGTCTAAAAAAATTGACTCAATCTTTTTTACAGTGTGAGCAAAATTACTGTGTTTTGATCATGATTAGTTTTTCAAGCATGTTTTCAAATATACATTTTGTATCAGATGAAATTACTTGCCAGTTAAGTACTTTTTAGCTCGACTTTTTTTTTTTTTTGAAAAAAAAGTAAAGGTATTGTTATAGTCGTGGCGGCGTTGCCATTGCCGTCCGCAAACTTGTACCTGGATCATAACATTTTTAGTTCTTGGTGTATTGTCTTCATACTTGGCCACAACAACCCTTGGGCGAAGACCTTTCAATAAACAAGACTAAATTTGACCTTCATTCATAAATGACCGTGAACTCTTCAAGGTCAAATGTCTAAATTTTGCTTGTTCTTGCTATTATTGGCTGTCTCTGATCTTTATTTTCGGCAAGCAGATACTATTCTCGGGCGTAATTTAAGGCCATACGCCCGTTAACGGAAGCCCTGTCTCTTCAAACTTGAACATAATAATCTTCAAGGATAGTCCTTAAAAATAACCAGACAGACCTTGACTTTCATTCATAAATGACCTTGACTTTGAAGGTCAAATTATTGAAATTTTCATTTTTTTGTGGCTTTTATTGGCTGTAACTTTGTTATTTTTGAATGGATTGTCTTTAAACATGAAAATAATAATCTTCAAGGAGAGCCCTTAAAAATAACCAGACAGACCTTGACCTTCACTCATAAATTACCTTGACTTTGAAGGTCAAATTTTTGAAATTTTCATTTTTTTGGCTGTAACTGGCTGTTACTTTGCTATTATTTATATATATATATAAATGCGTTTATATAATGTGCGTATATATCTTTTATTTTCTTCTGTAATACACATGCGGATATACAGTTGACTTTCGGTAACTCGAAATCTAAGGGACTGGGCATTTTACTTCGAGAGAAACGGAATTCGAGTAACGTGGATCTGCCGCCATTACGTTGACATTTGCACATGCATATACATGTGCCTGATTGAATATGCAAAGAAGTAGGTTTGTTATAATAATTGTTGATAGCAGTAATGCTGCAATATTTAACCGTTGAAATGATGGTAAATCACTAACAACTACAAATTATAAAAGAACAAAAATATATTATTCAATAACACATTTATTTCAACAACTATTTATGATTTATCTAATATTTGAAGAGAATTGATCATCGGTCATCGGACGAAAACAAAAGTAGCAACTATCGTGAATCAGTGGTACATATTAATGTATGCAATATGACGGAACATTAATTATACAAATGTCATTTACATTGATAGGCTGTTTTTTGACTAACACCTGTCAGACTGGCATGAGTCAACTTTCTTTAATAGTGCTTAATTTCAATTAAACTAATTAAATTTATTTATCTAACTGTTAAAACAAATTAAGTCCTGGAACCGATTAAAGCCACTTTTACGACGTGTTGATAATACATGATGACCGGCAATTAAAATTACTATGAAACGTGTGAATCACGAGTGACAACATCTCACATTAATGTTGCCGACCTTTTATCAAGTGGTTGTTTTTAACTCTCGACTTATTGAGATGAAAATATGTTGGACTTTAATTGACGGGACCAAATTTTCTTTTCGACTAAACAGGAGTCTCGGTAAGTCAAAATTTGACCTAAGCGGAGTTAAAATACAAAGATAAAGAAGGAAATTTGACGGGACTTAAGAAATTCTTCGACTTACACGGAATTTTGAGTAAAGCGATTTTGACTTATTGAGAGTCAACTGTATATGGAAATGATTCATACTTTCACAAAACTTATGTGACAAGGCAGACCGATAAATTTATTGAAAGGAAACATTAAGATTTGTTCAAACATTTCTTTGTTTGCTTTTAGAAAAAGTAAAAAGTCGAGCATTGCCCTTGCTCGGCTGTGGCTCTTCATCACATTGATTATGAAAATGCTAAAACTGGCATTTTCCCTTCCATGTTTTGATTTATTGAATGCCTGAAAAGACACTCAAATAAAGTTCAAAATACGATATACATGTATATTATATGCAAACTGAAATTGATGAAATGTAACTGTTTTATACATTATGACTTTTGGCTATAGATATCATATGATTGACATGTTCTTTTTTATGCCCCCGCCATGTAATGGCAGGGGCATATAGTGTTACCCTGTTCCGTCATTCCGTCCTTCCGTCATCATCAGTTTCCGTTCATTATCTTAATAACCTTTGCACATATTGAACTCAAATTAGACATATAGATATGTCATGAGAAAATACAGGTCAAGTTCGAAATTGGTCATGGTTAGATGATTTTTGGCAGAGTTATGCCCCTTTTACTTTGAAAATAATATGAAATTTTCAGTTTCCGTTCATTACCTACCCAACGGTACAACACATTCAACTCAAACTTTACATATGGATATGTCATGAGAAAATACAGGTCAAGTTCAAATTTGGTCATGGTTCGATGATTTTTGGCAGAGTTATGCCCCTTTTACTTTGAAAATAATATGAAATTTTCAGTTTCCGTTCATTAACTCCCCAATGGTACAACACATTCAACTCAAACTTGACATATGGATACGTCAAAAAAATGCACAGGTCAAGTTCAAATTTGGTCATGGTTCGCTGATTTTTGGCAGAGTTATGCCCCTTTCACTTTGAAAATAATATGAAATTTTCAGTTTCCGTTCATTATCTCCCCAATGGTACAACACATTCAACTCAAACTTGACATATGGATATGTCATGAGAATATACAGGTCAAGGTCGAATTTGGTCATGGTCGATGATTTTTGGCAGAGTTATGCCCCTTTTACTTTGAAAATAATATGAAATTTTCAGTTTCCGTTTATTATCTCCCCAACAGTATTACACATTCAACTGAAATTTGACATATGGATACATCAAAGGAATGTGCAGGTCAAGTTCAAATTTGGTCATGGTTCGATGATTTTTGGCAGAGTTATGCCCCTTTCACTTTAAAAATAATATGAAATTTTCAGTTTCCGTTTATTATCTCCCCAACAGTATTACACATTCAACTCAAATTTGACTAATGGATATGTTTTTGGAATGCGCAGGCCAAGTTCGAATTTGGTCATGGTTCAATGATTTTTGGCAGTGTAATGCCCCTTTCACTTTGAGAATGATATGAAATTTACAGTTTCTGTTCATTATCAACCCAACAGTGTTACATATTCAACTCAAAATTGACATATGGATATGTCAAAGGAATGCGCAGGTCAAGTTGGAATTTGGTCATGGTTCGATGATTTTTTGGCAGAGTTATGTCCCTTTCACTTTGAAAATAATATAGATACATCTTAGGAATAAGCAGTTTAAGTTTGAATTTAGTAGTGGTTCAATGATTTTGGACAAACTTATCTTTCCTGAATGTTGGAAAAATTTTGAACTTTCAGTTTCAGCACTCATACTTTTGTGGAAATGTATATAGCCATTATTTTGGCTACAAATATGCAATATGCTACAGTTGACTCTCGATAACTCGAAATCCAAGGGACTGGGCATTTTACTTCGAGAGAAACGGAATTTGAGTAACGTGGATCTGCCGCCATTACGTTGACATTCGTACATGTATATACATGTACCTGATTGAATGTGCAAAGAAGTAGGTTTGTTATTGTTGATAGCGGCAATGCTGCAATATTTAACCGTTGAAATGACTGTAAATCACTTACAAATACAAATAATAAATGAACAAAAATATATTATTCAAAATTTAATACATGTATATTAAAAGTGAAATATAAACACAAGCATTCGTAGCAATGACATAAATGCAAGTTTGTCAGTATCCATCAGTACTGCACATGCTTTTAGTACGCACTCATGGTAATTCATTACAATAAAAGCACAATAACACATTTATTTCAACAACAATATATCTAATGTTTGAAGTAAATTGATCATCGGACGAAAACGAAAGTAGCAACTATAGTGAACCGGAAGTACATATTAATGTATGCAATATGACGGAAAATTAATTATAAAAATGTCATTTACGTTGAAAACACACATCAATACCTAGGCTGGTACAATTAAATTAATTAAATCTTAATTTACTTATCTAACTGTTAAAACCAATTAAGTCCTGAAACCGATTAAAGCCACTTTCACGACGTGCTAATAATACATGATGACCGGCAATTAAAATTACTATGAAACGTGTGAATAACGAGTGACATCATCTCAACTTGATGTCGCAGACCTTTGATCAGTCGGCTGTTTTCACACTTCGACTAATTGAGATGAAAATATGTTGGACTTTAATTGACGGGACCAAATTCTCTTTTCGACTAAACAGAAGTCTCGGTAAGTCAAAATTTGACCTAAGCGGAGTTAAAATACAAAGATAAAGAAGGAAATTTGACGGGACTTTAGAAATTCTTCGACTAACGCGGAATTTTGAGTAAAGCGATTTTGACTTATTGAGAGTCAACTGTATTTTCAAAAGGTTAAGACTGAATAATTTCAGTGCCTTGAACATTGTATAAAAATGGTTTGTGTTAACATTGAAAAGTTTTAAGGGCTTTGAACTTAGAATGAAAAAAATAATTTGTGCAAACAAATTTGGAACTAAATATTATAACATTTGAAATTTTGGCTGCATGCGGGGGCATCCGTGGCATAATGACACATTTCTAGTTTTTGGTAATGTTGTTCATTTAACCATGAATAAGATCATAAAAATCACAAAAAGTATTGTCTTTTTCAGAGTAATATAATATAGGTTCTTTATACTGAATGTGCTAAAGACACTTTAAAATTTGAAATGCTAAAAATATCCAGTTAAATTGAGCCCCTAAGGCTAAATGCAACTGAAAGTCAGTTTTGGTCCATTTCAGTTATAACATGTCATGATTGTATGCATATGGCACAGTTAAGTTTTACCTTACCTTTCAAAAAAAGTAAATTTATATACTGTTTATGACTTCAGCATGGTCGTGTAAAGGTGAAAACAACTGCGGAGCAACAGGAAGCAAAAAGGAAAGAAAGAGAGAAAAAGTTAAAACTATACACAGGGGCGACACAGATGATCTTTTCTAAAGTATGATAGTTTATAAGTAACTTTGCACCAGTCATTTATAACCCCAGCCCCAAATCTCTATGGAATAATGGTGGATAGGAGAGAAATGAGTTTACATTTTACTTTCTATCTCCCCCATACTGCTGGGTAAATCCCATTGTTTTGCTTTGGCACCAAGAAACAAGGTATATGTCCAATGTGGGGCGTCCGTGGCCGAGTAGTTAAGGTCGTTTACTTAAAACCACTTGCCCCTCACCGCTGTGGGATCGAATCGCGGCAGGGACTTTGGATTCTTTAGTGTGAGGAAGCTATCCAGCTAGCATATGGATCGTCGGTGGTTCTAATCAGGTGCCTGACATAAGGCACAGAAAGGCACCTGAGGTCTTCCTCTACCAGTAAAGCTGGAACGTCGCAATATGACCTATACTGTGTCGATGTGACGTAAAACCCATAAACAAAAAAAATATGTCCAATGTGCCTAACTGTTAACTGGGGGACAGGTGTTGGCTGCCTTAACCAGTAGTAAACAAATATGAATGTTCCTGCTTATATTCTTTTATGTGTAAATTACAGAGGCTTTGGTTAAAGTTAATTGATACTTATACATGTATAATAATTATGGAATACTTCTTGACAAGAATGGGTTTTTATTATATAATATTTGGGAATTTTTTGTGAAGACTATTTGAAAATTCCATATGAAATGTTTGAGAGAAAGAGAAATGTAAAGATTTATTAGGGTTGTTAAAAGCAGCATGATGTTCTTCAAATAACATACATGTACTAGAATATTCATACAGTTAGTATATCATTATGCTAAGTGTATCATTATGCTAATATCATTGGTTTCTTTTTGTTGTTATCATTAAAAAAAATTATTGTTTTCATTAAAAAAAAATTTGAAAGTTCTACTTTCATTGAAATGCTTTAAAAATTTGCAGAAAAAACCCTTTTTTTAAAAAAATTCCCTGTTGTTTTTTTTTTTATCAGAGAAAAAAAATAAAAAATTGATTGGAGAAGCTCTGGGAAAATAATGGGAGAGATTTTATCTATTTTAAACCCCCCTTTTTTTTTCATATGGAAACTCAGAAAGAGGGTTTTTTTAATTTTTAAAAATTTAAAAAGTTAAAAAAATACCTCCTTTTTTGTTATAAGGGTTTTTATATTGTTTTCTCACTTTTAACTTTTTGATTTTTGTTTTATGCGGCGCAGTTTTAAAAGCCCGGGGCCTTTAAAAGGGGCAATTAAACATATTTGGGGGGAAAAAGCTTTACCCATATAGACAAAGAGGAAAAAAAAAAGGGCGATATAGAATATAGGGTTTTAAAAAGATGAAAACATAGTTAATTAAAATTTAAAACTAATAATTTTGGCCCTTTTTTAAAATAATTAATTTTAGAGGGGGTAATTTTTTAATAATTTAAAAAAAAATTTTGTTTATTTAATTTGTTTCAAATTCTAAATTTATGTTTTTTATTTGAAATTTTAAATTTACCTTTAAAAACTTTTTAAATTTAAACCCGTAAAAAAAATGAAAAGTACGTGCGGAAACTGAAAAAGGGCCAAAAAATGTTTTTAATTAATTTGGGAAAATTTTGCATTTCGCAATTTGCGGACATTTATAAAATTTTAGGGAAAAAGCTGAAAATTTAGAGGGAAAAAAAAAACCGGGGAAAAATATAATATTTGTGTAAAATTACAATTTTTTTTTTTCAAAAAAATTTCAATTTTTCTTGATTTGTAAATTTACTTTTTTGGGTTTTTATATTGCACAAAATTAAATTTAATAAAAAGCCAAAACTTTCTTTTTTGTCATTATTTTGGGAAATGGGCGACTTTGTTTTTTTTTTGAAAAAATTAAAATTTTCCGGGGAAAATACACCGGGTTTAAAAATTCCCCTTTTATTAAAGCCCTTACCCAATTTAAGTGTGGGGAAAGACTTTGTACCCTTAATTTAAAATTTTTATTATTTATACCATATTTTATTTTAAATGAAAATTTTGAAAAACCCCGGGCCAATATGCAATTTTTGAAAAGCCGGCCCATTTGAAAAAGAAAGGAAACCCCTGAAAAAATATAATGTATTTGAAACGGGGAGAAAAAGGAAAAAATGTTAGGAAAAAGTTATGAATTAAAAAAAAAAATTGGCTTCTACCAAAGCTATATTAATTTAAATTTTTAAACCAAATTTCTTTAAAAATTTATATTTTTTAATTTTTTTATTTTTTTTATCCGGGTTAAAGGGAAAAAAAAAAACCCTTTTCATAAAAACCATCAAAATAATAAGTTTTCCCCGTGTTTACCTGGGGTTTTTTTGATTAAACCCCCGCACCCACATTGTTAAATTTCCCAAAATTCTAATCTACCTTGTACAATTTAATTTTAAAATTTGGGTACCCGAAAAAGCGGCAATTTTAGACCTTTTGTTTAAAAAGGGAAAAAGGGTTTAAATATAAAAGGGGAAAACCCGCTGACGAAAAAAAATGGAAAAAGCGGCAAAAATAGAAAAAGTTTTTTAAATAAAAAAAAAAATTTTGGGTTTACCATGTAAAATTTTTTAATTTTTATCAATTAATTTTTTTTTTAATTTTATTATTTTTTTTTTTTTTATATTTTATCCCTTGTAAAAAAAAAGAAACTTTTCTTGCTAAAAAAATACCAATCAAAATAAAATTAAAAAAATCCACGTGTCACTTGTGTATTTGGGGCTTTCACCGCACCGGGCCTTGGGATATTTCAAAAATTAAAATCTACCCCTTTTCAATTTAAAAAATTGGGTACGAAAATGGGGGAAATATAGAAAATTTTAAAAAAAATTTAAAAAAACGGACGATTTTTTTAGATAAAAGAAGGAAAACCCCCGGGAAAAAAAAAAAGTTTTAAACGGGGGAAATAGGAAAAAATTTTTATTAAATAAAAAAATATTTTGGTTCTACCCTGTTTATAATTTAATTTATATAATTAAATTTTTTTAATTCATAATTTTTTTAGTTTTATTTATTTTTATCCATTAAAAATAAAAAGAAAAATTTTTGTTAAAAAACCAAAACAACTAAATTTAAATTTTCCGTGACCTGTGTATTTTACTTTTCACGCCCGACATTTTTATAATTTTTGGTAATCATAAAAACTACCCTTTTTACAATAAAAAAAATGGCTACAAAAAAATGCGGAAAAATATGACATATAAATGAAAAAAAGGACGATAAGATATTTGAAGGGAAAAAGTGACGAAAAATGTTAGAAAGGGAGAAAAAAAGAAAAAATGTTTAAATAAAAAAATTTTGGCTTTTTACCCTGTTTTTATAAAAAATTTATATCAAATTTAATTTCTTTTAAATTTATTTTTTTATTTTATTTTTATTTTTCCATTAAGTTAAAAAAAAGAAATTTTGCTAAAAATACCCCAAAAAAAATTAAAAAAACCCCGTGTCACTGGGGTATTTTAACTTAAAACGCACCCAACTGTAATTTTCAAAGTAATCTACATTTACCCTTTTAAAAATTAATAAAGTGGTAAGGGAAATTTTGGGGCGGGAAAAATATGAAATTTTGTGAAAAAAAGGAAAAAAAGTTAGATATAGAGGGGAAACCCCGGGGCGAAAAAAAAAGTTGAAAGGTGGGGGAAAAAGGAAAAATGTTAAAAAAAAAATAAATTGGGGTTCTACCCTTTTTTTTAAAATAAAATTTAAATTTTATCCCAAATTTAAATTTTTAATTTAAATTATTTTGTTTTATTTTTTTTTTCCCTTAAGAAAAAAAAAGAAATTTTGCTTAAAAACCAATTTAACTAAAATTTAAAAAATTCCACGTGGGGCATTGTGTATTTTTATTTTAAACACGCCCACACTTGTATAATTTTCAATAATAAAATTCTTCACCTTTTACAAAAAATAAAATGGTACAGAAAATGCGGCCCCCAAAAACCTTTTAGTGAAAAAACGGACGAATAGATTAAAAAGGAAACGCTGAAATAAAAGAATAGAACGGGGAATTTGGAAAAAATGTTATAATAAAAAAAAATTTTATAAATGTTTAAAATTGTTTTAATCTTAAATTGTTTTTTAAAAATAAGGGGATTTTGTTAAAAAAGGGGAATTTTTATATTTTTAAGCTAAAATACATATATTTAAATTGTTACATTTTTTATTATTTGTATGTGTAAATAAAATTAGACCGAAGTTTATTTGCTTAAAAAAAAATTGAATTTGGGTTTCATTCTTTATCTTGTTTTTGTTTCCCCACATAAATTTCTTTACACTAAACATTATCCCATTTTATTATAATTATTTTCAACAATTTATTTTTACACTATATTATAGCGCCCGCTTTTTTTCCCCTTAAAAACTATATCGTCGCCCTTTTTTCTCTTTTATATTTTATTGTCGAAAATAGGGGAAAGACGGACAGGGTTTAAACAGGGGAGATTGTTGACAATTTTGTCGTTTTAATTTTAACAAAGTGGTTCCCTCCCCCAAAAAAAGTTACGTGCAATTTCCTTTTTTTTTTTCAACGACCATTAAAATTTTAAAAAAACCCTTAAAAAAAGAAATTTTTTATAAAAAAGCGTGTTTTTGGCCCAAAAAAAAAGTACAAATGTGAATGAAAATTTTTATCCCTTTTTTTTTTTTAATGTGGGCAATTTGTATCTTCTAATTTTTTTAAAAAATTTTTTTAAATTTTCCCTTAAATTTTAGTATATGAATATATTATTCTTTATTAGATTTTCTAAAAGTTATCCGGGTTCCCCCCTCTCATCTTTAAGTTATCTAAATTTTTATATCGTCCGCTTTTTTCCCCCATATCGTTTAGACGGAAAAAAAAACGGGGACTGCTTCTGACCGGGGGAAATTTTCGCTGCCGTTATTCTAAAATTTCCCCCAAAAAGGAAATTTTTCTCTAGTAAAATGCCGAACGATTAATCGGGAGGGGTTGTTCACAATTATATAATTACCGTTTAAATTTTCAGCACGTTTGCTTATATTTTATTTAAAAAAAAACAAACGGCCTTTTTCATTCTATTTATATCAATTTTTTAAAGATTTAAAAAATTCTTTTACAAATTTTGATTTTTAAAAAACAAAGGGTTTTTAAAAGGTTTTCCCAAGGAAAAAACGGGGGTTTTTAGATTGGAGGTTTTTTTTTCGCGGGCGGCGGAAAGGGCGGCCGGGGGGAGGGGGGAGGCGGGGGGGCGGGCGGCCGGCGGGAAACAATTTTTTTCGTGCGCAACTCCTCCTACATTTCTCAAATGTTTTTGACCAAATTTTACCCGAAACTTTGTTTAAAAGTTTTCCCCCGGCGCAATTAAATTTTCGGGGTTTTTTTTGATTAGAAATTTTTTTGACCTAATTATGGCCCCTTTTTTTTTTTCCCTTTATTAAAAAAATTTAAAGGTTTAAAAAATTTTTTCTGTGGCAACTCCCCCTAATTTCTCAACGGGTTTTGACCAAAATTTCTCCGGGAAACCTTTTTTTTCAAAAAATCCCTGCAATATATTGCAGAGGTTTTGCCAATTTGGATATATATTTGACCTAATTCATGGCCCTTTGTTTTTTTCCTTATATAGAATATATAGTGAACAATTTCTTCTGTGCGCAACTCCTCCTACATTTCTCAAACGGATTTTGACCAAACTTTCTTTAGAAGCTTTTTTATCAACGTGGCCTGGCAACATATTGTCGGGGTTTTTGTGATTGGATAATATTTGAACCGCATTATGGGCCCTTTGTTATATTTTTTCCTTATAACAGAATATATAGAAAACCCAATTTCTTCTGTGCTCAACTCCTCCTACATTCTCAACCGGATTTTGACCAAACTTTTCTTAAGAAGCTTTGTTATCAAGTGCCTGGCACATAATTGTCGGGGGTTTTGTGATTGGATAATATTTGACCGAATTATGGCCCTATGATATTTTTTCCTATATACAGAATACTATAGTGAACAATTTCCACAGTGCGCAACTTCTCCTACATTTCTCAATGGATTTTGACCAAACTTTCACAGAAGCTTTGTCATCAAGTGCCCTGGCGCTCACTAAATTCCCATGTTTCTTCCAAGACATCATTCAAGTATTTTTTAAAATTAGTGAACATACTTTTCTTGATATCGCACAAAACCACCACCGCCAATATTGTTGACAAAAGAAATGACAAGAGACGCAAAAATGCAAAAAATTAAGCAAAAAATAAAGTACTGTTTACCTTTCTTAAAACATTTGGGAAAAAAAGGCGAATAGACAACATAAAATTTCTCAATCATTTTTGTTTGAGGAATATTAAAAAAGCCATAATTCCTCCTAAAAGTTCAATTAAAAACAAATGCCCCTTCATGACAAAGCTTCTGTGAAATATTTTGCTGAAAACCTGGTTGCATCGCATTGCGATGTTCCTTGTTTTATTTTGCGAACAAAAATTTTGTCCGCCTACTGCACATAAAGACAGACAAAAACAATGCCAAAATGAAATACATATCCTTAATTACATATCAGCTGTTGCCAATTTAGTACCATCATTGTAATTCTAAAGACATTCATTTGATCCATTTTGTTTCATATATTAGTTTTCAATATTTAGAAAATTCCGAAAATGTGTCATATAAATATAATATAAAAATTCATTGACATTCAATCATAAATTACTTTAATATTTCTCCCAAATTGCTAATTTATTATATTTTTTTATATATTAAAGTATAAATCCAATTACACATCATTTTTATAAACTTCATCAATGCCCAAAATCATCACCAATTAGTCTACACTATATATCTATATCGTCCGCTTTTTTCCTCTTTGTCTATATTGTCAGCGTTTTCCCTATATGTTTATATTGTCCGCTTAAGGCGTCCGCGTTTTAGACAGGCCCGTTTTATGCTCATATATCAACCAAACCATTACATATATTTAGGAAACATTTGTTTTTGTTTTATGATCAGGGTTTTGAAAGTCCGGTACAAATCAGTTTACTATTTCGCCCCTTGTCTTATTCAGCATTCTCATAATATAGAGAGAAAAAACACCCTTTATGGTATATCTTAAAATTGTTACTTCATTATGTTTAGGCCATAAGGTAACTCTGCAATTTATCAATGCCATATTTACAAAACGTACTTAGAATGTAACTTAATGTATGATATGGCAGAGCTCCAGATAGCGTGCGTATAAGCGTAAAATACGCATAGAAAATCTAAAATACGCATCACTTTCAAAATTCGTGCGTCAAAGTTACGCACAACAAAATGAAAATACGCTTGTATGTCAAAATTTAAGCGTAAAAGAATAGAAGTGTAAACATTTAATATTCAGAAAGAGGATGTTTTGAGCATAAAAATACAATATATTTCCTTTTTATTGCATTGAAAACTTAAAGTTCTGTTGTCAACAACGCATGTTAAAAACGAAAGTAGCAGGAAGTACAGAAGGGAGGTAACTCCCGTAGAACCTGTGAAATTATTGATAAAGTTTGTGCCAGATAATCATAGTAGGGGTTAACATAGTATTAAGTTTGTTTAAGCATCTATTGACATGCTTATGTCTCAATATAAACAAAAAATTATTTCAATTTCTTTCACTTTTGTTGTTGGAACAAAATAACATGTTTTTCACCTGCAGTTTTGTACTCAATATTTTCGTACTCAGTCTACAGTTACGGACAATTTTCTCTCAGACCAATATTTTTTTAAGGACAGATAAAAATCTTGTTTATTTTTCTTTTATTCTAATTTCAACTATAATTGTTCAAACTGGAGCACATGATAAGGTACATGCCAACAGAAATAAAAAAAGAAAAATATTGACTCCTAGAAAATAAATTAATTTCAGGGCTTCCACTAGTGGAAGTTTGGGAGTCATTTACTCCTTCAATTTGGCATGTGACTTCCGAAAATCTTATACTTTTCCTTCTTTACTAATATAACGTGACTTCCAATATCAGAGATTTTGAAGTCTTTGACTTCCAAATTTTGAAAATGGAAGCCCTGATAATTTTGCTGTGTATCCTAAACTTGAGTTCCAGTATACTCTGGAAGTCTGACTTTACAGGGCATGTTTTGTATTGTTTCACATTGAATCAGTATTTTATTTTTAAAGGTTTTTCAAAAAAATGAAAATAAACAAACAAACAAACAAAAACAAATAAGTTTAATTTGTTTATAAAAAATGCAAAATGCTTTTTAGACAGATTTTACCCCTTAAGTTTTTCAGATTTTACATTTTACCCCTCACTCTAAATTTTGAGGGGTAAAAACCCCTTGGCCTAAAAAAATTATCTGGAGCTCTGATATGGTATCCAGTAATAGTAAAATAAGTTTCAATGTGGTATTGTTTAGATTATTAATTTTGAAAACAAATTTATCATAATTTCATTATATTTAAAAAAAAAATTCCAATAGTTTATATTTTTTTCGTCATTATCAGACCAGAGGATGAGGTGCATGAGTTATTTAAGGGAGAGTTACAGTTCTTGGAGGCTTGTCTTAGGTTGAATCCTAAATCATATGGTGTATGGAATCATCGATGCTTTGTCATGGAAACCATGGCAAAACCTGACTGGAAACAAGAACTACAACTCTGTAATCTCTTTCTGGATTATGATGAGAGAAATTGTGAGTAACTTTTCTTTATGTTATAAAGTGGTCATGTTATGGGTAAATGAAACGAAACAGTGTGTAGATATCAGTAAATTGTTGTAAGATTATACTTAGTTTAGGAAATTACTGAAATTAACTTGGCAGCTCATAACATTATATGTTATAAATAAATTTGTTCCCTCTTTATTTACCTAAGTGTCTTGTGGCCTTTTAAATAATATAAAATTCATGATGAAGTCAGAAATCCAACAAAAAAGTTAAGTTACTGCCTGAGCGGACACTATAATGTTTTTCTTGGACCACTAGAATTTAGCGTTTTGTAAACGAGATGGATATTTTATGCAATAAAAAAGCAAACTGCCAACAGTTTTCAGTAAATTAAAAAAAAATAGCTATTAAAAACAAGATTTCCTTCCTAATGTTGAACTTTTATCAGTAAGCTCCAACTTCACAAGCAACCTTGAATATAAAAATGAACTAAATTAAATGTGAAATTCTGTTATGGCTACAGAGAGAGACCTATTTTTCTTGGTCAACTGCTTATGAAATTGACAACCTTTGCAATATTATTGGTTGGTAGCAACATTGATGAACATTTTGTTTTGTGGAGTTGATTTGTTAGGTTAAATCATCAACATGACTGTATTTTTCAGTTCATTGTTGGGACTATCGAAGGTTTGTTGTCAAGAAAGCTGAAATTTCTCCAGAAGAGGAGCTTGAGTTTACCACTAACAAAATTTGTAACAATTTTTCCAACTTTTCATCGTGGCATTACAGAAGTAAACTTTTACCCATCATTTATCCTGATGATAGTACGTCAGTGGGTGTTGAGGAAGGTGTACTCATTAAAGGTAAGAAAATTGATACATGTACATCACTGTCAATACTGTTTTCCAGACAAGTAGCTGGCCTAAAAATAACTTTCCTGTTGTCTGCTTTATTTAAGTGTATGATCACATAAACAATGAAATTGTCTAAACTCAAAGCAGTTAAGTTCATTTTACAAGTTAAAGCACTGCATTTATGATATTAGATTTAAATTTATATTACAGAATATGAGACAGTTCAGAATGCATTCTTCACTGACCCAGATGATCAGAGTGCCTGGTTTTACCACAGGTGGCTGCTTGGTAGAGGTGTGTTATAATAGTCTTACAGTTGCCAGTTAAGATGAGGTTATGTCGAGTTGAACCTTCATAGTTTACTTAAAGAGTGGAATATTCCAAACTGTACTCAGGCAGCCAGTGTTGGATCCTTATTTCATGAATATTAAGAGGATATTTTTTTTTTTTTTGAATGAAATATGGAATATATTTTCACAAAACATGATAAAATGCCACATATTTTCACGAGCCAGGATGGCAAGTGAAATTATGTGGCATTTTATCATGTTGAGTGAAAATATAAACCATATTTCACAAAAAATGAAAAAAATAACCTTTTTATTTAATTTTATTATCAAAGAAAAAAACCGCCTCTGTGGTCGAGGGGTTAGAGTCGATGACTTCTAATCCAGTTACCTCTCTGGCGTGGGTTCGATCCCCGGGAGATGCTTTGGTAGTTTAGCGCGGAGGAAGGTAGTCTAGTACTTGTGTAACTCTCCAGAAGCGATGGTTAGGAAACTACCCGCCTATATGACTGAAATACTGTTGAAAAAGGCGTAAAATGAAACAAACAAACAAATAAACAATCAAAGAAAAATGATTGCAAACCCCCTGTGCTTGCTACGCACCTGCAATTGTACAGTGCAAAGTAATATAATTATTGTCTTGTTTTGCAAGCAATATTTAGGGTTACATTGTGACGTAACGTAAACAACTCTAAAAACGCCTGTACAGTGTTAATGACTGAATTAAAGATATTGATGTTCGGATTGATTTTCTTAGTTAGACCATTTTCTATCATTCTAGATAGTTTTCAAAACGAAATGCAACAAAGAAATGCAACAAAAATTTGTTTTGTATTTATCAGATTTTTCAAACAAAATGGCGAAAGGAGTCCTTTAAAATACATATTAGTTTTTACTCCGCCAAGTTTCGTATTAATATTTCATATTTATTTTTAAAAAAATATGAAATATATTTGACTGATATAGCACCATATTTCATAATATGATCTATTTATATTTACAAGAGAAGTAATCAAAATTAGCATTTAACACTATTTTCACTTTAACCAAGTTACAGGCAACTTTTGATTACATACAGAAATAAATTGTACTAGACAAAATCAGTCTAAAAGTTGTAGAAACATTTGTTGTATAACAGTAATGTTATCTTCTGCCATGCAAACCAAAAATATTTAAAGAGTAGAAATACTTTCAGAAGTATATTGTTTTTCTATCCAGCCTGCTTGTACATCTGCGGACAGCTTGAATAAAGGCCATAATATCTTTGAACACATCATTCTTCAGGACAAGAGTTTTGTTTTTATGCTCTTGATTATGACCTTGACCTTCCAGAATAATTGGCAAACAGCCCGTGCATAAAACTATAATGGCCATGTCTTGGGGGATAATTGTTTTTAGATTTCGGGGACTATCAACTTAGCTTCTTAAATAACAAATCAATTTTGGATAGAGAAGTGGGGGGACAGTCATTTGTGTTTAATGTGTTGTATTCATCAGAGGTAATGTTTAAGTTGATGTTATTTTATCATCAGGTAAGAGGAAGACTGGTGTAGGGTGTATGATGGTAGACAGAATAGAACAGAAGTTAATGATTACAACAACACAGCCTATACTGGTATAGTTTATCTTATAAACAATGTCACCCTTGGTGATAAATAAGAAATAGAAATAAGCCCTGCTTAGATACAACATCACATTTATCACCATTGATCTGTAGGTGATGCAGGAATTAACTTGGCATTAAAACATTATTGCTTGTATAAACAGTTTCAACAATGAAGATCCTTCAGGCGCAATGTAAACAACGAAAATACATGGAAATTCCAGACTCTAGTTTTATTGACTATGAAAATGAGAAGTACAACAATATCTCTTGTCTTGGTCTAGCTCAATCAGCAACACTATGCTGCTTCTTCTTTGATAAAATAGAGCCATATTCATGTACATGATTCTATCAGTATTAAATACAAAAATAACAAACTTATGTAACCAGTAAAGTGACAGGCCAGCCTGCAAATCCATGCAGTCTGATTGGTTTACTTCTTAGTTGTATAATTAATATCCTGTTATTTTGTAGTAGCTTGAATAAGTTTCCTTATACAAGAAGTTCTAATCTGATTCTCACTCTAACCTGAAAGCACAGAGGAGCATGTGAGGTCTTCTTACTCCAGTAAAAACTTTGCAACTTTGAAGTGGAAATTTTTGGAATCTCAAGATGGGATTGTATTTCATATTTGCTTTTCTTGTCTTTACACAGATATCACCTTCAACATGTGAAGTAGATGTTAGTGTAAATGGAGAAAGAGTGGACGGTGTTTGGTGTACAAACAAGAATCACACAGATCTGTTCTCTCATATATGGATATCCTTTTAAATGATTCATTGTGGTCGAGTGGTTACGGTTGTTGACTTAGAACCACTTGCCTGTTACTGCTGTAGGTTTAAATAACAACTGTGTATTGCTAGTCAAGTATATATACTATATGATTCTATCCATGATAGAATTTTACAGTGTTGCTTTAAAGACATTTTGAATGAAAAAATAAGAGATTAATGTCAAGAATGACGTTAACAACACTTTAAAGTTTAAGTTAAGCTGAAAAATAAATGTCTGAAAGAAGAACAGGGAAGTGAAATGAAAACAAGACAAAGTTATAACAGTGAAATGGTAATTTTTTGAGAAGGTTTTATGTTATAAAGAGTCATTTAGAATTTTATTTTCCATAAATAAAGGTGTGAATGTCTATCCAGCGATCTTAGACCAACAAACACTGATACATATTGTCAAAGGTCTGAAAATACTTAATGAATATCTGAATTGCAAATATGTGAGTAATCTTGCACCTTACTTAGTTAGAGACTTCTATTTACTTTCTTTGGAGGAAACTATCCAGCTAGCTTACAGAACATTGGTGGGTTCTATTAAATGCTATAAATTTCATTTTAGTTTTTGCATGAATATACACGTAAAAGGGCAGTACTTATTGCGAAGGAAAGAAATTTCATGCTGGTGAAATTGGCGTGACCTTTAATAAATCTAGAATATTGGTAAAAAAATTTGTTAAATTTTAAACAAAATTAACTAATAAGATTATATTTGATATATTTCTGAAACTCTTTAGATGAGGCACCTACAGCTGAAGATGTTAATTTTGCTGATTGAATGGTTTCTCACCGCTGTCCAATCCCACATAGTATTTTTTATGTGAGAAAGCTATCCAGCTATTATAGAGAAGTTGGTGGTTCTACAGGGGAACCTATTAATGTCTGAAATAAGGCATGGAGGTACACATGAGGTATCTCCCTGTCAGTTAACATAAACAGTAGTCTTGTAATCTTAATATTGTTTATGTGAGAAAGCTATCCAGCTATTATAGAGAAGTTGGTGGTTCTACAGGGGAACCTATTAATGTCTGAAATAAGGCATGGAGGTACACATGAGGTATCTCCCTGTCAGTTAACATAAACAGTAGTCTTGTAATCCTAATATTGTTTATGTGACTTGAAAAAACCAACAAAAAAGACAAAACAAAAAGGAGAAACACACACTATCTGTAAATACAAAAGGATTTCTTATTTTTGACATGTATTTCCTTAACATTCTATACATATTTAAATCGAAAGATTCGGAGCCATGGATTCCCTCCCAGGAATTAGTAGAGGTGACGGTAGCTGCCGGAGGGGATGACTGGGGGTCCTCAGATAGCATCGAGTTAGAACCACTGCAACAGTGCCATTGGATCTTCTCCCAGGAGGAGCAAGGTTCAAGATTTAGGTAGGTGGACTTATTTGTTGGTTTAAAACCTGATGTTTCACTGAGCAAACACTGCCTAACACATGCAGATATTTCAGCTATCTTGTAAGCATATTCCAATAATCTTGTAAGCATGTTTTAGTTATCTTGTTAGCCCCATACTTTTATAGAATAGAAGAATGCAAAAAGTTAGATTCTTTGACTATTGAGTAGACAACTAGTGTGTTATTAAAGTTCTTACAATTATCTACTGTATTAGTTACTGTATCATAATAATTGTTTATTAATAATTTCACAGTAGTTGTATGTGATTTATTTTTTTATATTATATAAATATTGACAATATTATAAGTAATTAAAGTTACATAAGGAATCTAAATTAACCATAATTAAACAACCATGTGTGCTAAATAATAAAACATAATAACTGTATAGATATTTTGTTATTACCAAAATAGACTTGGGTAAAAAAAAACTGACAAAACACAGACATTTTAAAAATTGATTGTAGAATGACTTTGAAAATTTGATTTCCAATCTCAGTTATACAAAGGCATATCTCAGCATAACTACCTAAAAGTGGTAATTTCTAAATTGAACCTTCACATGCAGTTGTTACTTTGCATACCCAGAAAATGAGTGTAGTATATTAAAAGTATATTTTCTGCTCTTTGTGTAAGTGCTGCACCTCTTGTTTTTACACCTTCCAGACAATGCAGCATGTACCTCATCAGTTCTAGCAATAATTATTTACTGTAATACAATAATACTTTATTATGTTGTAATGATAATTATTTACTATATTATATTGTGTAGAGATGAATTAAGTGCAGCTACGACAGATACATTAGAAAGAGAGCTGGAATCTATACAGGAACTGTATGAGGTGGAACCAGAAAATAAATGTTAGTGAACAGGTTTTCTACCTTTTCCTTTGCCTAATGTCTACAGAGAGAAGCTTTTGTATTCAGATTAAACATAATGAAATATTTTTATTTCATTTTTGCAAATTTTCTTTGTTTTAAAAAAACTTTAATTTCTGTTTTCTAATTGAAAAATGCTGTGTTCTTTACATGTGTCATTTAGATATTTTTTGTGGCTTAACTGTGTATCAAAACATATCGACTACCTGATACAGAAAATACTCTACCCTGCAGCTCCCAATACCGGAGTTACAGAAAATACTCTACCCTGCAGCTCCCAATACCTGATACAGAAAATACTCTACCCTGCAGATCCCAATACCTGAGTTACAGAAAATACTCTACCCTGCAGCTCCCAATATCTGAGTTACAGAAAATACTCTACCCTGCAGCTCCCAATATCTGAGTTACAGAAAATACTCTACCCTGCAGCTCCCAATACCTGAGTTACAGAAAATACTCTACCCTGCAGCTCCCAATAACAGAGTTACAGAAAATACTCTACCCTGCAGCTCCCAATACCTGATACAGAAAATACTCTAACCCTGCAGCTCCCAATACCTGATACAGAAAATACTCTACCCTGCAGCTCCCAATACCTGAGATACAGAAAATACTCTACCCTGCAGCTCCCAATACCTGAGATACAGAAAATACTCTACCCTGCAGCTCCCAATACCTGATTACAGAAAATACTCTACCCTGCAGCTCCCAATACCTGAGTTACAGAAAATACTCTACCCTGCAGCTCCAATATCTGAGTTACAGAAAATACTCTACCTGCAGCTCCCAATACCTGAATTACAGAAAATACTCTACCCTGCAGCTCCCAATACCTAATACAGAAAATACTCTACCCTGCAGCTCCCAATACCTGAGTTACAGAAAATACTCTACCCTGCAGCTCCCAATACCTGAGTTACAGAAAATACTCTACCCTGCAGCTCCCAATACCTGAGTTACAGAAAATACTCTACCCTGCAGCTCCCAATAACTGAGATACAGAAAATACTCTACCCTGCAGCTCCCAATACCTGAGATACAGAAAATACTCTACCCTGCAGCTCCCAATACCTGAATTACAGAAAAATACTCTACCCTGCAGCTCCCAATACCTGAGTTACAGAAAATACTCTACCCTGCAGCTCCCAATACCTGAATACAGAAAATACTCTACCCTGCAGCTCCAATACCTGATACAGAATAACTTCTACCCTGCAGCTCCCAATACCTGAGTTACAGAAAATACTCTACCCTGCAGCTCCCAATACCTGATACAGAAAATACTCTACCCTGCAGCTCCCAATACCTGAGTTACAGTAAATACTCTACCCTGCAGCTCCCAATACCTGAGTTACAGAAAATACTCTACCCTGCAGCTCCCAATACCTGATACAGAAAATACTCTACCCTGCAGCTCCCAATACCGAAGTTACAGAAAATACTCTACCCTGCAGCTCCCAATACCTGAGATACAGAAAATACTCTACCCTGCAGCTCCCAATACCTAATACAGAAAATACTCTACCCTGCAGCTCCCAATACCGGAGTTACAGAAAATACTCTACCCTGCAGCTCCCAATACCTGATACAGAAAATACTCTACCCTGCAGCTCCCAATACCGGAGTTACAGAAAATACTCTACCCTGCAGCTCCCAATAACTGAGATACAGAAAATACTCTACCCTGCAGCTCCCAATACCTAATACAGAAAATACTCTACCCTGCAGCTCCCAATACCTGAGATACAGAAAATACTCTACCCTGCAGCTCCCAATACCTGAGTTACAGAAAATACTCTACCCTGCAGCTCCCAATACCTGAGATACAGAAAATACTCTACCCTGCAGCTCCCAATAACTGAGATACAGAAAATACTCTACCCTGCAGCTCCCAATACCTAATACAGAAAATACTCTACCCTGCAGCTCCCAATACCTGAGATACAGAAAATACTCTACCCTGCAGCTCCCAATACCTGAGATACAGAAAATACTCTACCCTGCAGCTCCCAATACCGGAGTTACAGAAAATACTCTACCCTGCAGCTCCCAATACCTAATACAGAAAATACTCTACCCTGCAGCTCCCAATACCTGATACAGAAAATACTCTACCCTGCAGCTCCCAATACCTGAATTACAGAAAATACTCTACCTGCAGCTCCCAATATCTGAGTTACAGAAAATACTCTACCCTGCAGCTCCCAATACCTGAATTACAGAAAATACTCTACCCTGCAGCTCCCAATACCTGATACAGAAAATACTCTACCCTGCAGCTCCCAATACCGGAGTTACAGAAAATACTCTACCCTGCAGCTCCCAATACCTGATACAGAAAATACTCTACCCTGCAGCTCCCAATACCTGAATAACAGAAAAATACTCTACCCTGCAGCTCCCAATACCTGAATTACAGAAAATACTCTACCCTGCAGCTCCCAATACCTGATACAGAAAATACTCTACCCTGCAGCTCCCAATACCGGAGTTACAGAAAATACTCTACCCTGCAGCTCCCAATAACTGAGATACAGAAAAATACTCTACCCTGCAGCTCCCAATACCTAATACAGAAAATACTCTACCCTGCAGCTCCCAATACCTGAGATACAGAAAATACTCTACCCTGCAGCTCCCAATACCGGAGTTACAGAAAATACTCTACCCTGCAGCTCCCAATAACTGAGATACAGAAAATACTCTACCCTGCAGCTCCCAATACCTGATACAGAAAATACTCTACCCTGCAGCTCCCAATACCTGAATTACAGAAAATACTCTACCCTGCAGCTCCCAATACCTGATACAGAAAATACTCTACCCTGCAGCTCCCAATACCTGAATACAGAAAATACTCTACCCTGCAGCTCCCAATACCTGAGATACAGAAAATACTCTACCCTGCAGCTCCCAATACCTGAGTTACAAAAAATACTCTACCCTGCAGCTCCCAATACCTGATACAGAAAATACTCTACCCTGCAGCTCCCAATACCTGATACAGAAAATACTCTACCTGCAGCTCCCAATACCTGAGTTACAGAAAATACTCTACCCTGCAGCTCCCAATACCTGAATTACAGAAAATACTCTACCCTGCAGCTCCCAATAACTGAGATACAGAAAATACTCTACCCTGCAGCTCCCAATACCTGATACAGAAAATACTCTACCCTGCAGCTCCCAATACCTGATACAGAAAATACTCTACCCTGCAGCTCCCAATACCTGAGATACAGAAAATACTCTACCCTGCAGCTCCCAATACCTGATACAGAAAATACTCTACCCTGCAGCTCCCAATACCTGATACAGAAAATACTCTACCCTGCAGCTCCCAATACCTGATACAGAAAATACTCTACCCTGCAGCTCCCAATACCTGAGTTACAGAAAATACTCTACCCTGCAGCTCCCAATAACTGAGATACAGAAAATACTCTACCCTGCAGCTCCCAATACCTGAGATACAGAAAATACTCTACCCTGCAGCTCCCAATACCTGAGTTACAGAAAATACTCTACCCTGCAGCTCCCCAATACCTGAGATACAGAAAATACTCTACCCTGCAGCTCCCAATACCTGAGTTACAGAAAATACTCTACCCTGCAGCTCCCAATACCTGAGTTACAGAAAATACTCTACCCTGCAGCTCCCAATACCTGAGTTACAGAAAATACTCTACCCTGCAGCTCCCAATACCTGAGATACAGAAAATACACTACCCTGCAGCTCCCAATAACTGAGATACAGAAAATACTCTACCCTGCAGCTCCCAATACCTGAGATACAGAAAATACTCTACCCTGCAGCTCCCAATAACTGAGTTACAGAAAAATACTCTACCCTGCAGCTCCTAATAACTGAGATACAGAAAATACACTACCCTGCAGCTCCCAATACCTGAGTTACAGAAAATACTCTACCCTGCAGCTCCCAATAACTGAGATACAGAAAATACTCTACCCTGCAGCTCCCAATACCTGAGATACAGAAAATACTCTACCCTGCAGCTCCCAATAACCGAGATACAGAAAATACTCTACCCCTGCAGCTCCCAATAACCGAGTTACAGAAAATACTCTACCCTGCAGCTCCCAATACCTGAGATACAGAAAATACTCTACCCTGCAGCTCCCAATAACTGAGATACAGAAAATGCTCTACCCTGCAGCTCCCAATACCTGAGTTACAGAAAATACTCTACCCTGCAGCTCCCAATACCTGAGATACAGAAAATACTCTACCCTGCAGCTCCCAATACCTGAGTTACAGAAAATACTCTACCCTGCAGCTCCCAATAACTGAGTTACAGAAAATGCTCTACCCTGCAGCTCCCAATAACTGAGATACAGAAAATGCTCTACCCTGCAGCTCCCAATACCTGAGATACAGAAAAATACTCTAACCCTGCAGCTCCCAATACCTGAGTTACAGAAAATACTCTACCCTGCAGCTCCCAATACCTGAGTTACAGAAAATACTCTACCCTGCAGCTCCCAATACCTGAGATACAGAAAATACTCTACCCTGCAGCTCCCAATACCTGATTTACAGAAAATACTCTACCCTGCAGCTCCCAATACCTGATACAGAAAATACTCTACCCTGCAGCTCCCAATACCTGATACAGAAAATACTCTACCCTGCAGCTACCAATACTCATATCAACTACCTGATACAGAAAATACTCTACCCTGCAGCTCCCAATACCTGAGTTATATTGGAACAGTCACATGGTACAACGTTAGGCTATTAATGGTAGGCATTAAATAAAAGTGTTGTTAACATACTGTTTTTTAGCTCACCAGAGCCGAAGGCTCAGGGTGAGCTATTTGTATAAAGGGGGATACTCCATCGTCCGTCGTCATGGGGCAAAATCGGGCTTCTTCTCTGAAACTGGGTAGGCCCAATTTTAAAAAAATTTTGGGGGGGGTATATCCCTTTTGACAGTCAACTTAAAAAAATTTTTCATTTTTCTTTCAATTTTGGGGTTTTGGGGTCAACAGAGCTAAAATGAAAAACCTTTTAAAACATTCTTTAAATACAGAACTTAAAAAGGATGATCCAAACTGTGTTTTAGGGATTCTTTGGGAAAATTTTTGGGAAAAAAATTTTGAGGAAAATTTTTAAAACACAAATTAAAATTTTTTATCTCTAAAGTATATGTTTCCCCTTAGACATACTAAACTAATTTTAAACTGTATTTGGTTTGGAAATCCTGTAGAAGACAATCTGGAACATAAGAGAGTGAAGGCAATCATTCCAACAGTAAATGTAAATGGATGATCACCAAACTTGGTTCCTATCATTTTTACTATAAAGAAAAAAACAGTCAGTGTCGGGAAACTTTATTACTAGAGAGGCGAGTTGAAGTTGACCTGGACTTGTCTTCCTACAAGTTTATTTGAAAAAAATATTTCTAAAATCACTGAAAAACAGTTGTTTCTGGTGAGCGATTCAGGGCCATCATGGCCCTCTTGTTATACTGTTTTCTTGGGTGATAAAATGTAACATTACAGTATAATTTCAGGGGTGCTATTAACTATTGTGTCATTAATGAAGGCTCTAGATCCATTAGAACATCAAGAACAAATAGAAGAATTTATAACAAAGCTGAAGACAATCGATCCTGTCAGGCTCAACTACTATGAAGACCTCAGTTTGTGCTTTCTTTATTACTATTTATTAATGATATTTTGTAAAGAGATGGTTAAAAAAATGTCAGTATTTTAAAATCTACATATAGAGAAGATTGATAACAGAATTATACATTTTTATTTATCACTTCCAAAACTTTATAGTTTATGCAATCAAAAGCTATATGGCCTAAGAAACATGAGGTTTGGGGAAAAATGACAGTAACAAGTCTGAAGCTAAGAATAAACTTTTTGGCTTAGAAGCAACAAGTTGAGAAAATGAGGCCTGAGAAATTAATTGTATTTTTCTGGCGCAAAACAACAGTTAATACTATGGTTTTTAAAAAATGTTATAAAAATTTGTTCGTTCATCATAAAAGAAGTATAGATTTTATTTTTTTCTGAGGATAATGTGCCTTTAACATGTGGTATTTTGTTTTTTTTCAGGAAGCAAATTTACCATAGAGAATTACATTGAAACAGCTGGATTTTGGTACAAGAGTGATGTCCCTTCCTAATCAAAGTCTTACATGCATTTACATCCAGAGTTATTTTCCTTGGTTGTGAAAGTAGACTTATCAAATAACAAAACTAGACAGTTTAAAGGGGTTTCAGCTGCTTCCAGTGTGCTATAGATATACATGTAGATGGGAACCAGATAAATGATGTGGAGGAGTTGTCTTTCTTGCCTGCTCTTAAACAGCTATCAATTAAAGACAACTGTATCCTTTAATTATAAAAATATTTAGAGTTATAAGATATTGTAAGAGATTACCTTTAAATGATTCAAAGGAAAATTGGTTAGTACAAAAATCATTTAAATCATTTAACAATTCTTGACAAATTTCACTAAATGGGAAGTTTTTGGCTTGCCTGTAAAATGGACCGTGGTTAAATTTATGTTTATTGGTATTCATATGTCAAAAAATTATTGTCATCAAGATAATTATAGTACTCCAGTGCTGATTTTGTATCACTTGCCTTTATGACTGTGGGTTCAAAGACCACAAAAAGTTTCTTTCATTTGAAGTTATCCCACTGGTTACTAAACATTGGTGGTTCTACTCAGGTGCCCATTTGTACAAGAAAATGCACAAAGGTCCTCTCCCAACAATATGTTGTTGTTTTTAGCTCACCTGTCACAAAGTGACAGGGTGAGCTTTTGTGATCACTTTTCGTCCGTCGTCCGTAAACATTTACTTTAAATGACATCTCCTCATTAACCACTCAGCCAATTTCATCCAAACTTCACAGGAATGTTCCTTTGGTGTTCACCTTTGAAAATTGTTCAAAGAATTTAATTCCACGCAGAACTCTGGTTGCCATGGCAACCAAAAGAAAAAACTTAAAATATCTTCTTCTAAAAAACCCAAAGAGCTAGAGCTTAGATTTTTTGCATGAAACATCTTCTGGCGAGTGTCTACCAAGTTTGTTCAAATGAAAGTCCTTGGGTCAAAATTGGCCCCGCCCCAGGTCATTGATTTTCCCTTTATGCAATTCTTTTAATGAACCAAAAGAGCTAGAGCTAAGATATTTAGCATGAAACATGTTCTAATGGATGTCTACCAAGTTTGTTCAAATAAAAGCCCTTGGGTCAAAATTGGCCCCGCCCCAGGGGGTCATTGATTTTCCCTATATGCATATAGTAAAAACTTAAAAATTCTTCTTTTAAAGAACCAAAAGAGCTAGAGCTAAGATATTTAGCATGAAACATCTTCTAATGGGTGTCTACCAAGTTTGTTCAAATAAAAGCCCTGGGGTCAAAATTTGCCCCGCCCCAGGGGGTCATTGATTTTCCCCATATGCATATAGTAAAAACTTAAAAATCTTCTTTTAAAGAACCCAAAGAGCTAGAGCTAAGATATTTAGCATGAAACATGTTCTAATGGATGTCTACCAAGTTTGTTCAAATAAGAGCCCTTGGGTCAAAATTGGCCCGGCCCAGGGAGTCATTGATTTTCCAAATTTCCTTATATGTGTATAGGAAAAACTTAAAAAATCTTCTTTGGAAAAAACCAAATAGCTAGAGTTTAGATATTAAGCATGAAAGATCTTCTAGTGAGTGTCTACAAAGTTTGTTCAAATAAAATCCCTGGGGTCAAAATTGGCCCCACCCCGGAGGTCATTCATTTTCCCTATATGTGTAAAACTATAGCAAAAATTAAAAAATCTTCTTTGAAAAAATTCAAATAGCTAGAGTTTAGATATTAAGCACGAAGCATCTTCTAGTGAGTGTCTTCAAAGTTTGTTCAAATAACAGCCCTGGAGTCAAAATTGGCCCCGCCCCAGGGGACATTAATTTTCCTTATACGAGTATAGCAAAAACTTAAAAATCTTCTTTGAAAAAAACCCGAATAGCTAGAGTTTAGATATTAAGCATGAAACATTTTCTAGTAAGTGTCTACAAATATTGTTCAAATAAAAGCCCTGGGGTCAAAACTGGCCCTGCCCCAGGTGTGTCATTGTTTTTAACTATATGTGTAAAGAAAAAACTTAAAAAAAATCTTCTTTTAAAAATCCCAACAAGCTAGACCTTAGATGTTTAGCATGAAACATTTTCTAATGGTTGTCTACCAAGTTTGTTAAAATAAAAGCCCCGGGGTTTAAACTGGCCCCGCTCAGGGGGCCTATGTACAGGTGAGCGACTTCAGGGCCATCATGGCCCTCTTGTTTTAAATTATCAGAAATTTTGTTGCAGTATCTAAATTCAATTCATTACTTCCTTAACACTGTCAACAGGTATTTCATCTCTAGACGTATTAAAGCCATTGGCACATACTAAACTACTTAAGCTGTATTTGTTTGGAAATCCTGTAGAAGAGAACCTGGAACATAAGAGAGTGAAGGCAATCATTCCAACACTTCACAATGTTGACGGACACATGTACTGATATCTGTCAGTCACAGGCTCTCACAGCAGTCCATGTTTATTTTCTAGGTGTTTAAAGATGATTCTAGTGTTTAATCTAAATTGACCTTAATGTTCCTACTTTTCCATTATAGGAAGCTATTTTGGGATTAAAACTAAAATATTTTTTGTGAATTGTTTGGTATGCTCCTTAGTAAATATAGAATTATTAGTACTCTCTCCTTGAGTAGATAAACATTCTATCTAATGATTCAATTGATGGCTTTTATTAATAAATTAAATTTACACATACAAAAATAGATGGCTTTTATTGATAAAGTAAATGTACACATACAAAAATTGCTGACAGTGGCATAACACTTCATCATTGTGACCTCACTAAATGCTAAAAATCCCTTGTTTTCTAGTGTTGTTAAGTACGAGTATATTGTTCAAGTATCTTCCTAGTTGTTTTTACAACATGCTGCTGGGGAGCCTGAGTGTATTAATGTGAATAACCCTGGTGCTGTTAGTATTACTAGACTTACAAATGATTTTGATAGTTTTAAAAACAAAACTGCTTGTGATAGATATATCTTGTCTAACAAAGTATTTGCTTTCAGTTACCAAAATTAATATCATAAGGTAACAAGGTTTATAGTTCTTGTGAAGTGTTCTTTTTCTCCCTCAATTAGCTGTACAGTTCATAGTGCTAAAACAGTTTTCATTGCATTCCATTTAATATATATATATATATATATAATGGTTCCTAGTTTAATAGTTAGGGTTATATCATGAATAAATTGTACAATTTCACAGGGCTTTGATAATAGTTTCTTCATTAGGGACCTAAGACAGTTTTGATAAACTGATAAATCAGAAATGTAAAAAAGAAGTGAAAAAAAAAATCATAGGGAATACATCATTATAGGTATGGAAAAAAATGTACAACACTTTCCTTTAATGTTGAATTATTTTCCTTGTTTTATAGTAAAATGATGTGCAAATGTTAAAATAGTTGTCGGGCAATCTAAAGTTTAAAATATTTGATTTCTTTGTCCCACTCGCCATATTAATTTTAGATTGTTTCATTTGCTTTAGGCCATTATTTTTTGATATTTCGGTTTACAGACCCGCCGACTCTGTATTTTGGGAAAATGAAAAAAAAAAAAATCTGCCCCAAAAAAAATCTGTGTTGTCTTGAACTACGCTGCTAATAATCCGACTTGTCAAAGAAATGTCGCGGTAAGTATTTTAATTAACTGTTAAACCTACCACATGCCAGACTATTTTACCTACGATTTATACACGCAACCTGTTATCTTTACTTGAGAATAGCCTGTCGTCTGCTAGTTGGGCAAAGTGTTTATTGGTGCATTATGAAAGAATGTCTGTTAAATGGGGTCAAGCCATTCTCACAGAATTATAATTAGGCTTTGATCATATTTCATCAATGCATTGAAGGTCGAAATGCGTAAAAATGTAAAACAACCAAACAAAAAAAAACACGCCAAATTACGTAAGCAATTACATTCAAGGACAGAGCGAGAGAAATCTGCTGCAATTGACAAGATCAGTATTTTCAGATTTAACAAAAAAAATTAGTCTTTAAAAGCAGATTGAATACAGGTTTCAAACAAACAAAATAAAAAAAATGCCCGCACTTACTTTTAATAGATTTTTATGTCAAAAATTGACCCGCTAATTATCCGATAAAAATATTTTCACAATGGGCAAACTTGAACATGACTTTGTGTAATCTTTTCTTGACAGTTTTTTTTACATCTGATCTATAAAGAAATGAGTGCAAGTCAGCTGATTTTCGGCACCTTTGATGATTCAGATTACACAGCAGTGTGTAAACATCAAAGAATGACAGATTCTTTTGAAGAGCTCGCTTGCCACTTGTCATTTTATAAGTCGTTGTGTGTAGATTTCATGTGTGTTTTTAAACAATGACAATATGAGCAAAAGTTTTTTGTGTGTATTTAAACAATCTTTGGAATAGACAATTAGCGATGTATTTAATTTCATTGCTCTAGTTAGTACTATGTATATGTATGCTCCACATTTATAGTTATGAAAACTTTTTTTTTTTTTTTTTTTTTCCCGCCGCCGACCCTACCTTTTTTTGGAAAAAATCAGTAAACCAAAATATAAAAAAAAATTGGCCTTATTTTGAAAAAAAAAAATTAGTATCATTACAATATATCTATGGCTTTGTTTTTAGATTTTTAGAAGTGTTTTTCTTTTAATTTTATTTTTCAAAGGGAAATATTTTGATTATAAGATAATATGTTTAATGCAGGTTTAAGTGTGAATGATTTTGAATTATTATTTTGAATGGTGTTTGTGATTCTTTTACCACTGCTGCATTTAAATATTGTGCAATATAGTAATTTACATTTTTTATGAATAAAGTCAATTAACACACATATAACTGTTGTTTTTTGTATAAACAGTGTACTGATGCAAGTTTGTTTGGGAGGGGGTTTTGTTGCACTGAAACTAAGTACTAGTATATGGAGAGCTCTCCTGCTTACTCCGTTGGTGTCCTTATCAAGTTTTGTGAAGTTACATATTTTAGAGAACTTTTAAAACCCTCTTTTAACTTAGATACATGTACTTGTTTTCCACATATTTGTAAAGGATCTAACCTCAGACACCTGCAATAGTTTGATATGTTAATTAGCTCGACTAATCTTTGATTAGTAGGGCTATCCTACTCAACCAGGCATTTGGGTAACACTTGGTAAAGTTTAGTATGCAACATCATATAATTATCATCAACCATTAATGATATTATCCTTGTAACTTTACACTCTCATTTGAGAGCATAACAGATCACTGTCCAAGGCCCATAGCTCTTTATGGGATTTTGACAGAATAACTTTTAAAAAAATCTTTGTTAATGTTTTGCATGCGGTATCAAATCTTCAAAACTACTGAAGATCTTCACTTGAAACTTAAGTCTTCAGGTCACAACTCAAGGCCCTTAACTCTAGCATTGATTTTGAATTACGGCTGTTTTAAAACTTAGAAAATTCTTCATTATCCAGGCTCTTGTTTTACTATTAAGCACTGAGAATAGTCGAGCACGTTGTCCCTTAGACAGCTCTTGTTCTGTTATCTTTACACAGTGATTTAGTAGGCACATAACTTGACAGGGTCGCCTACATGTCAAGAATTTTAAGATCACGTCAAAAGTTACTCTTATTTTAACCAACAATCAAATTCTTCAGGTTCATAATTTTGGTACCAATATTAAAAGAGAGACCCCCTCCACTTTGATGAAAACCTTATTAAGAATATACATATGCAGCATATGTTGTTAATTACTAATATTATTTATAACTGTGTACTTGTTGGTCAACATGAACAACATACTTGTCAATGTACAAACCTCTCGTACCTTTTTTCAAGAAAACAAATATTCCTTTTTTTTAGAAATTCATTAATATATTAATATTGTTATTTATAAAACTGCAATGTAATATTGACACTTATTTTAGACTTTACTATCCAGTATAAAAATAGCTTAAGCTGTACAGTCTCTTTTATCATTCTCTCAAACAGTAGACAAACCTTTTATAGTTACACATTGAAGAATAGAAAACTGAAAATTTATAAAATTTATTATACATTTGTAAATGCAATATATACATATGAAACTGTATATGTGTATATACAATGGATTTATGGGTGATTTTGATAGCACATTTACTATAAAAATATTGTCTGTGTCTTTTGCAATTCAGAGTTAACAATTGAAAAGCATATAAAATAGACAAATAATAAAAGTACATGTACACAAACTAAAAAAATAACATAATGGTTGTTTTTTAAAATGAATTATACATGTATGAGAAATGGAAATTCGATGTAAAAAGAAAGTTAGATAAACGAATGCAAATTATATCTCTATAGACAATGAAGAAACCAATTATTATTATGTACATCTAACGCCAAACTTGACATCGACTTTTGTTCTTCTATGAAAATAAACGCATAGAATTTTTAAGAAATACAGCGTTTTCATTGGATGACAAATAAAGTTGGACACTAAAGAGCTTTTGCACGCGATCCGGGGTTCTGTAGTGATATGGTTAAGCTATACATAAAAGCATCGACATTAGGTATTTGCATATTTTTGTTGAAATATTGATGAATGATATTTGCCAAGGGAGGTAATCGGCAGACGACTTATTTTAAAACTAAATATGAGACAAAAGTGAGACAAATTGTTATATAACTGATGAAAATATTGTTTCCTGCAGCAATTAAAATCTGAGAAGTTGAAGGGTCAAAATATGCTCGATTAATGTTGATTGCACCACCTGAAATAATAGAATAAAAATCGAGTATAAATGCAGAAAAGATGAAACAATATTATGTCAACTTTTTAATTGTAAATGTAATTTCTATAAAATCCGTCTGTCTACTTGAAAGGCGTTGCATAAAGAGTCTACATGTATGATCTTTATGAATAAGGACAAAAAGCCGAGTATAAATGTATAAAAATTATGAAATGTATAAAAATTATGTGCTTTTTTCTATATTTTAAGATCTCTAGCTTAAAAGATTAAAAAACATTACATATTATAACTGTTGTACAATATAGTCAATACATTAACACTCTACCTTGGAGAACAGAAAAATATAAAGTTGGGCTTTTCTTTCCATCTCCCCCTCTATTAGTTGCCATTACTCGTAACTTGTATATGACATCTATCTGTAGACCGTAAATCACCGCTTCATTACCTACGTCAGCTAACGTAAAATTTGCCGTCCTTATATCGTCACCAACGGGCCAATACATCAGCTTGAAAATAATACGTAACAATAAATTGATTCAAAGATAAAATATACAGCTAATATGAACAAATAAAATTCATTTCCATAAAAATCTATTCCACAAAGAAGTTGGGGTTTTTTTTGTAAAAAAAGGTTAAAATGTAACAATCTTTGTTGGTGAAAGATTTTATCATAAACAAAAGTTATAAGTTCTTCGAGGATGTCATATCCAAACTATAAACTATGTATGTAGTCATTTATGTCTCGCAAGTTTTTCACGTCACTAAAGTTCTAGTTCAGTATACCTTGTAGCCATCAAGAGTGGCCTCCCCTTGTATAATGTTCACACCACGCCATTTTACACGTGCACTGTGTTGGCCATGTGGTAGAATTTCCACAAATTGTGGAAATCGACCAGGAGCTGAAAATATAATATGTTTGTATCATAATAGATTCATAAACTAGTTATCTATCACATTGCAAGGTGTAGTCAATACGTCTGAAGATATTTTTGCAATACTGTCACCGTGAGCGCTATATAAGGTCAGTGGTAATCAGTGCCCGACTCCCAAGTGAAATGTTGGGGGTTAACGTGTGAAATAAGTCACATTTTTACAATATCCTTCGCTGCAATGCTGGGTAAATTGTTGGCTTTTGTTTAGGCTTCGAAATATTTTAGGATGTTTGTCTAGCTTGCAGAGCAGGGGCATTTATTTAGGATTATATTATCTGGCGGAGAATTATAACAATTGTCAAGGTCTTTGCTAATCAGAGGGGCTGGTTGTGTGGTTACAAGTGACTGATGTATTATAAACGAGATTTTGGATATCGTTTTGTACACTGTGGTAACTTGAGTGTGCCAATTCGCCTTTTCGTCCCTTAAATTTACACACACAAACAAGAAAAAAGTGCAAAACTCAAATCACATTATATTCATAAAATAATAAGTACAATGTAATTGTAATTAAAAGCTTATATCCTCTAACTTTACGAAATTAACATAAATATATAATATAATTATTCTGTCCATGCCAATACAGGCACTTTGGCGTATAGTACATGGTGTAAGAAATTCAATGTATTTATAAAATCACGCGAGTTTAAAATTTATATACAACTTCATGCAGGGTTCTACAGAAAATACTCACGTGCTTCGTATGTACTGCATAAATACTTTTCACTAATCGTGCTGATTCCAGCAGAATTAAACACCGTTACCCTCACCCAATAATCTCCGTTAGGATCCAACCCAATTATAGTACCATTGTTTCTCTGGCCGTACGCGAACGTTGACCCTCGCTGTCCACCAATTGGATCATTTTTGTCAATGTAATCAATCTGAAATTTAAAAGTTCCATCACCATTATTATAATATTTATTTGATTCCAAAGCCATTCATTTGATTCAAAATGTTGCACATTAATTCAACTTTAAAACTGGTACAGTTATACAATATATATAGAACTACGTGATAAATTCGTAAAAAAATAACTTTAGAAGGAAATTAGAAACAGGAAAGTTGCTCTGAAAATCCATTTACAAGTCAAAAAAAATTTCTGCAGGTCTGTACTTACTCTGTATCCACGAACTCTACCCTTGATTGCCTCTCTTGTATTTGGTACAGGATCCCAGTTGATTAAGAGTGCAGTTCCGTTTATAGGAGTATAACGTACATTGTTTGGTCGTATAGTCGGTACTTGAAAAATAAAATTTCAATGTAAGTATACAGATTACTATAGGTGACATACAGAAATCTAGGCCTTTCTTTTTAATACGAAACGTCAAGTGGGCTAACATGGAAATCAGGCGCCAGAGGGCACCTAAGTATAGAAGCACCGAAGTTCTGAGAGCTAACTCGATTAAGTTTTTCGACTGAAAGAATCCCTGGCAAAATTTAAATCAATAAAGTAATTAGGCATCAGGGTCATCACATGAAAAGTTTTGTAACAAAAAGATTACAATTAAAAGCAAAACACAACAACAACATTAACATGCTATGGCATGTGAATACGGTAGTTCGGTTATGTTAAAACTAATGCACTCCTGCCCAAAATACCTGAATCCGTACATGCATCTATTGTGTATAATAATGAATTATCCATGTTGTTATTCATCTAATTAAACCCCTAGTTCTTCTGTTGTTTATAAAGAATATGTACATGTGATGATAAGAATATTGCATTTATTCATCAGTCATATGAACTTTTAGACTGCCATGGGAGGGACAGAATGAAAATCAGGCGATCCCTTTTTAATAAGCTGTCCCACAATTCTTTTTAGTGTCCATGTATATTATCTTTATTGTCCATATTTATATTTTTACCCTATAAATATATTTTAGAATATAAACGATTATTTTTCTAATTAATATCCATATATATTTTTATAGTCCATATTTTTCTTATTACCCCATAAATTTTTTTAGAACATATATATTATTGAACAAATTTAAACTTTTTTTATACAATTTTGCAACACTCCACACACAATAATATGCAAATTGCAATATAAATAAAGTAAAACCTACTTCCTTCTGCTGAGTATATGTTATAATAGTCCGACATTGGCCCATAACCCTCCTTGTTATATGCCTGTATTCTAACTTTGTAGAGTAAGTAGAAATTGTCCGTGCCAACTGTCTCGTAATGCTGCGTTACATTACCCACTTCTACCTGTAACCGGTTAACTAGTACATTGTTTGTGTGTTACAATTATTTCTTTCATTTGTGTAAATCAGTTACCTAGTATATCGTGTAATTAAAATGATTTACTTAGTTTTACATGTAAACCGGATACTAGTAATTGGGTAATGTAGCATTACAATTACCTCATACGTACATACATGTTAATAAATTACTACGTGATATAACATTACTTCTACATGTAAATTAGATTACCATTGTAATACTGAAATAATGCGGTAAGACAATTATCTTGATTATATATGTTACTATTAACTGTATTATACCTGTTTATCAATTAAGTTAGTAATGATAAATTACATTAGTAATGATAATTTAGTAAAATTATCTAATGTTACATGCAACCAAACTAGCACACCAAACAATTTTCGTGTTTGTAAACCAATGTGCATTATGTGAAAATGATGATTTTTATTGGTTAAACAATAATGTTGAATTACAATTACCTGTTCCGAACATGCAAATTATTAAATATACATTTTGACCGACTACATTACCTCATTTTACACGGAATGTGTACACATTGTCAGGTACCTATATAGAGATATAGTATAGTAAGATGTGATAATTTTTATTGTCTCATTACTTATTCCTAATTTTCAATATGAGGATTTGTTTTTGCTTTGCATATACGTTACATACTTTAGTTATCACCAAGTTTTGCTGTTTTAAATCATAATAAAATCTATCTTAAAAGCCTGAATATATTATCGGTGGTATCGTTTTGATGATAATTTTAATACCTCATGGAAAGCCTTTTGCGTTTCTGTTGCTAGTTGCCAGTACACTTTATAACCAAATTTGGCCCCGCCTTCTTCTGAACGGGGAAGTGGCTGTAAAGAAACGTGATGCATGAATCATTCTAATATTTCATAAAACACTTGACACTTGCGTTTTGTTATCCTACGATAAAGATGAAGTTCTTTAGTGCGTTATAACACAAAAACTACATTTCGTATGATAAAACATGGGACATCAATCATGTGACACAAAATGTTTACAAATCAACCGAATGTTTCAATTTAAATTAAGGAATGTGCAGATACATCAAATGTTTGTTCATCTACCACTACAGTTAGTATATGTGTTTCAGATTGGTACAAGCGTTAAGACTTTAAACTCATACCGTCCATTCAATCCGGAGAAGACCGACCGCGCCTCCTCCCTTACTTGTAATGACAGGTACTGTCCGTGGTGGGGCTGCTGGTACATGGTATATATCTGAAAAAAGTATGTTGTCTTAATTACAATCCACTTTTATTGTGTAATTTGACATAGCATCGACTGAGTTATGTACAATGTGTTATATTCTTCGGGACTGATCCGACTATTTTGGGGCCGATTGGACCTAAATGAGGTAATTAAGTCTCTATTTAACTCTTTTTATACCCCCACCACAAAATGTGGGGGGGGGGGGCTATAATGGATTAGCTTTGTCGCGTCCGTCGGTCGGTCGGTCCGTCTCCATTTTCGTGTCCGCTTTATAAATCCTGTACCAATTGAAGAATTTTCTTCAAACTTGGCTCAGATGGTCACCTCAACAAGGGGATGTGAAGAACCCATGTTGCCCATGTGTCAGCTCAAGGTCAAACAATCAAATATTAGACAGTATGTCGTGTCCGCTCTGTAAGTCCTACACTAATTGAAAGATTTTCTTTAAACTTGGCTCAAATGTTCACCTTAACAAGGTGATGTGCAGAATCCATGTTGCCCATGTGTCAGCTCAAGGTGAATGTCACATTGGAAGGTCATATATCAAACAATCAAATATGAGACAGTATGCCGTGTCCGCTCTGTAAGTCTTACACATATTGAAAGATTTTCTTCAATCTTGGCTCAAATGTTCACCTCAACAAGATTATGTGCAGAACCCATGTCACTCTATTGCCGGCTTCAGGTCAAAGTCACAATTGAAGGTCAAAAATTCACTTAAAAATTTTCTTAAATTTTAACGTGTATTTGAATATTTCTGGAACTAGAAAAGGTATTTGCTTGAAACTTGAAATATATACTGAAACAAAAAAGAAACTTTCTCCAAGTTTGAATGTAGATATGTTAGTACAGTTTTCAATCCTTTTGAAACATATCGGGCTTTTATACGGGGATTAGCTGACCGATTTTGCAAATAAAACGAGTTTTACAAGCTACTACATGTATATAAGTGTGTCGGGTACATCTAAGTGGTACCCTTGAACAACTGGCACATACTTTGCGAAAGTTTCTTTTTGGTTCAGTATAAATGGGGTGTCACGATTAAGATATGCTGGTCAAGTTTCATAACTCTGTATTGCATTTTAACAAAGTTATGCCCCTTTTTAAGTGTTCAAATTTACATACAATCGAATATAAGACAATATGTCGTGTCCGCTCTATAAATCCTATACTAATGGAAGGATTTTCTTCAAACTTTACTCAAATGTTTACCATAACTAGGCAATGTGCAGGAGTCATCTTACCCTTGTGCCAGCTTACGGTCAAGGCTACACTTGAAGGTCAAAAATTGACTTAGAAAATGTTTAGTACATTGGGAAAATGAAAGGTTATTTGTAACTGTTTCGAACATGATTTGACAATATTTATTTATGCTATTACCTGTACAATTAGTCTTTTTTCACCAAAGATAATTTCTTTTTATGTATATGTATTTGTGCCACTAAAGTTATTCCCTTAACCACCTTTCCAAGTCGTCTTCTGTCAAGGACATTGGTGGGGGTATGAATCGCATTCAGCGATAGTTCTAGTTGGGACTGATTTGATTCATTGTAGGTCATGTATAACTTTAAATATATCTACTTATTATATTTAGTTTGAAAGTGATTTTTGTGTGTATTTGCGTTTATTTATACTCGCCACCGGTTGCCCGTATGGGCGAGTACACCAGAAGAGTATTTTGTCATTTTAGATTTTGGAGGATAGTGCAATTACAGATACAGAAAGATACCCCAGTTCCAGAAGCTTCACCTGGTTCTTTAGCGTGCCAAGTATTTAAGCTCCCATACACGGGACATGGATTTAAAGTATCATCCGAAAGATTAGTTGGCCAGCCCGAGAATCGAACCCACAATGTCGAGATCACAAGTCTCGCGCTCTAACAGATTGAGCTATGCGGGCTGGCTTAATTTGAAAGTGATAACAGATGTGTGCTTTTTATGCTTTTTGTAAAACAGAAACACATATTTACATGTACGTAAGTATTTATTGTATGCACATTAATAGTCATACTTGATTGCCTGCTTGGAGGACCTACACCTTCTTCATTGACTGCTCGAACCCGGAACTTGTACGAATTATAAGGTAGAAGATTTTTCAACTCAAAGAAACGCTTCATTTCTGACGGCTGTACGAGAGTCAAATACGCTTGTACATCTAAAAACATATTTGAATTAAAATAGAAGTTATTGTAAAAATTAGGTCTAAGTTACTTTAAAACAAATTTTAAATTGTATTAGAATCTACGATTATTTTTCTCCTCTGAAAAGTATGTATTAATATAATAAACATGTATATTTTAAAACAATGTTTCTTTGTCTATATTCTTTCATTAGCTCAATGAATTTATATTTCTTGATGTAAATAAAATATAAATTTGCAGCTGGTATAAATAATGTCAAGTGTCAACCTGAAGCCAATGGCTCCCATTCTTTTGAAAATTCGGTCATCGCTTCGATCTCAAAGAAAATAACAGGGTATCCATGGTCAGCACTTGGGTTCCAGGTCCAAATGAGTCGCACGGTTCCATTATTCCCGGTGCCACTTTCAATGTACACCCCTGCAGGTTCAGTGGGCGGTCCTGAATGTATATAAAGTAAAACAAACTTTCCAAACAAAATGAAACGGTTTGTGCACTAAGTGTTATATTTGTCTGTTGATTTTGCTGTATAATAAAGCTTTTGCATGACATGTTAAAGTTTGAAAAGTTAAATCATAGGGTATGTATTGACTAAATTAGAACTTATTAATTTCAACAATAAATGAAGTCAAACGCACACTGTAATCACCGCAAGTTCTGAGAAAGACTAGCTTTCGCATCATTCAATAGTAACATGGACGGCTCACACAGTCATCGTTTACAGTGACTTGGGTTTATTTTTTCAGTGACATGAGCTTACCATTGACAGTGACATGAGTTTAGCTTCAACTGTAGCATGACATTACTTACCTTTGGCAGTGACACGAGCTTTTCTTTTACAGTGACACGAACTTACCTTTACTATTTACATGTGCTTCGCCTGGACAGTGGCACAACTTTAACTTGAATATTGACGTCAGCATCGGCATTTAGAATTGGATTACTTTTGTCAGTGTCATGAGCTTATCTTTTATACTGACATTATCTTACCCATTGACAGGGACATTGGATTTACTTTTGGCACATTAATGAACAATTGTTAAAAAATACATAACAAGGTGGCGTTTAGGTCCTTATAAAATTATTTGGAAAAATAACAAATAAAATAAGTCTATTCACAACATATGATATTACCTTTGACAGTGACTACAGCTGTTCTGGAGATAGCCAAAGTTACAGATTCTGCTATACACTCGTACACCCCGGAATGTCTGTACTGAGCGTTCACAATATACAGCCCATTGATGTTTTCACGCCGGCCCTATGTATGAAAAATATGTCAGAATGCACTTATTTCTTAAGATAAAATTTAAAAAAATCCGTTTCAATTCATAAATTGATACATAATACCGAAAACGACTTATGGTTCACGTTGCTTCCAAAAAGGTTTAAGAAATCATCTAAAATAAGTTTTAGATGTCAGGAGAAAATGCTTATATTCCCCTTATAAAATATTGAAAATATTAATTCATATACATTTTTTTCTTAATATTAAATTCTTACATCTCTATAGAAAGGGTCGTTTTCTGTATTGATCGGTCTGCCGTTAAACGTCCAAGTGTAGGTGAGGTCATAACGCCTGTTGTCGTAACTGGCGTCACAAAACAGAAACGTGGTTTTATTCACGTGAACTGTTTGGTCAAGTGGCGCCGTTTGGATGAAAATACCAGCTGAAAAGGAAATTAATTGCAACACAAGATTTATTTTAAAACATTTTTGTACCATTATACAGGTCATATAAAAACGGTGAAAACCCAAAAAAGTCTAAGCTTGGCAAACCAGAAAAACAATTTAAATAGCATTTGTTTGGAGTGTTTATGGCTCTGCATGTACAACTGATGAAACTTGTACAAATTTGAAAGAATCACAATTTTGATAGACTTTACCCATAACTGAGACTTGTGTACTTGACGTGTCCTCTCCATTTACATTTGATGCTTTACATGTATATAGACCTTGGTCGGCTTTTGAAACTTGTGTCACATGAAGAGTCCCATCAATTAAAATTTCGCGTCTCATATCTCCGTAGCCAATGGATTGTCCGTTATGTAACCATTCAATATTCGGTTGAGGCGCAGCTTCCGGTTGGCAGCGGAGAGTTAGATTTCCGCCTTCGGATGCAACAGCCGATGATGGAAGCGGAAATCGAGCAAAGCTTGGTTTGATCGCTGAAAATTATACCAAGTACATTGTACATGGAATTGTTTTTGTGCAATAATTACATATTGTAAATACCATTAATGACTTGATTTTTATTGCTTATTGAACCCATAGTTTCAATTCTCGACATACTGGCTATAAACCCTGGACATGTCGGAATAAAATGTCAACACAGAACCTCTTAAAATGCAATGATATTTTCATATATGAGTTCAAAAGGTTTGACACTGTCTTTATTCCTTTAAGCAATATTCCGGACCAGTAAACGTGATGGTCATTCCCTATGAAATCTACTTGAAAGAGGCGAATGACTTATTATCCTTTTTATTTGTTGACAAATGAAGCAATATGCTGATGTATATAAAATAACACCTATGTTAAATGTATTTTGTAGAAACAGCAATATTTACATAGTACTCTGAGTTGAGCAGACGACCTAGATGTACCATGTGGATTGTTAGCCTGACATTGATACATGCCCTCATCACGTGATTTGTCCAGATGCTTAATGACGAGGACATTTTCCCTTACTTCTATTTCTCCTGAGACTCCGGTAAGCATATTCCCATTCTAAAGTAAAAACATTATACTATTATAACATTAAAACAGAACGGATTGATCGTGGGTATCAAAACCATAGACACTTGTAATGTTTTTTAAAAAAAAGGCTATTTGTTATTTTTAAATGTTTAGATTTTTAACAAGATAAACTTTTTAAAAAAAAAATATATTATATTAAGATTAAAATCAATTTATATACTTAGACATCGATATGTTTTGGTTTTCAAAACTAAAACAATTTATCAACAATTTTCAGATTTGATTTATTACGTAATTACTAACTTTGAACCATGTGTATGTTGCACGTGGAACAGCTCGTGCTTCGCAACGCCACGTTAACTCACTTTGAACGTCTGCATGGATATTACGCAAAGGGAACACAAAATATGGCTTAGCTATGAATAGAAACACAAGTTGTTAGTACCTAAGTAATATCTCACACGTACCTTTTTATATTTATGTAATTGTTTCAATATTCTGTAACGTATAATTCGAATGTTAAATAAGTCGATATTTTAAATAGATATGTACTGAAAGGCGATATTAATAATATCTGTCATATGTTGCGGTTCGGATAAAAAGAGGTGTACCCGCCAAATGGTTATAATTCTTGGCAAGTTGCTGCCCGAGTGAAGTATATGCAATACATGTCAGATATAATACTATATTCTATTATATTTTAAATTGTTTACCTCAAGAAAGTAATTTTTCATGGAAACTGATGTCATTTCATCCACAACTACATGTATTTTCTTACAATAGCGTATGAATTTACAATTTCATTCTAAACGGCGAGATTACGTAAACCTAGGCACACAGTTTTATTCTAAAAAGCGCCGAAATGACGCCATTTTAGCGCAGTTCATTAAGGCGGATACCCTCTGAGACAGATATTCCGATCCGAACCATAAAATATGACAGATATAGTAAGTCTAATATGCAAGAAAAAAAGCGATATTGGTTGCGAAATTTTCATTCGAAAGTTGTTTAGTAAGCATTTGAGGGGTTTGTAAATAGTAAACATTTGTTTACCCTCTAAATCTAGAATAACCGACTTTGAGACAATATTTGGATTTCCAGATAGTTTTACCACTTTACACGTGTAGTTGCCACTATCTGCAAACTGTGCGTTCGGTATAATCATAACACGGTCATCATACATGAATCTCGTGCCCGGCGGGAAGTTTTTTCCCTCACGTGACCAACTGTACTGCAGAGGCAATCTGTACGTAAAAGAATCAAAAGTACAAACATTAAAAAGTGTCTCTTTTATTTTCTGGACAAAAATGAACAGAAAGTCATTTAGCGTACATGATTTTGCTTTGAACATAGATCATTTGAAACAGAAGTGGCAACATCACAATCAACATAATCAATTTTATAAACATAAATTATAACAGCGATCTCATGTCTTGAATGATACTTTTTTTTATTTCAATACAACTTAAAATCGAATTTGATAACAAAGTACTTCCATTTATGGTAAAGTTAATATCAGTCCGGTTTATCACGTCTGAGCTGATGATTCATGTTAATGGTACTATAGTATTTTGGAAGGATCTGTTTATAAACCGTCAGACTTACCTTCCGTATGCAAAACACTCAAGCCGGACTTCATGACCGACCAATGGAGGCTTGGGATAAACTGCGATAAAATCCGGATGAATGATAGGTCCGTAATCCAAAGCTGAAATTATAATAACGACATTTATTTCACACCGTTGAAAATGTAACTAATGAACTACAGCGAATACATTATACTGAAATTACAAGGAATTCCATAAAACAATCAGGAAATGATTTTTTTTTACAATAAATGAACTCACGATTATTGCTGGCTACCCGCAATTCTATAGGTCTACTTGTTCGACTCGGCGGCTGCGAGGTCGACAATCTTTCTCCTACGCGTGGAACCAGCGTCACAACACAGAAATATTCACCGGCATCTGGTTCCTGTACTTCTGAGAGGTAGAGATTTCCATTGGCAGATATAAAGTAATATTTGTTCAATTCAGGACGAATAAAGCTCCGAATATTGTCTTTATACCAAGTGTATGACAGTGCTGGAAAGAGGAATATAAACATGAGAAAAATAAATGACAAAAAACACATTTCTTTAAACTAGTTTAGCTCTCCTTTTGTGTTTTGATAGCTTGTTCATGATGTATTTTATAGCATATCTCAGTGACATTCTAGTCAACTTCCTGGACTTACCATTGCTAGAGTGGAAGACGACACATGGTTGGGTACTCAAAGGGGCCCAAGCCCACTTTCATTGTATTGTCAGACAGACACTCTAAAATCTAAAGGACACTTTTCGGCATTGGTATTTTAAGGTAACGGTAGGTTGGGCGTTTATAAGAAATGTAGTTTTGTCTTATTATTTGTCGTTGCTATAGATTGTAATATCACAGTATTATTACTGTATATTTTACATGCTTTCATATCATACCTGGTTTAGAATTAGGAGCCTTGCAACTGATAAAAGTTCCTTGGCTAAGCTTTCCCTGGACAAAGCCTTGTCTGTTTGGACTAAATTGGTTTAAATCTGGAAAAAAAGATAGATATTGTATCATTTATCATTTCAAAGTCAATGATGTTGTCAGAATTTAAACAACATGTACACTTAGTATCTGCTTACCTATGTACATGATGTTTATATCTTTAGAGAATATCAGGGAAGGTTACTAGAATCTCAATTGCAGAGTACTACAAGACTTACCAATCATTGGACATTCGTATTTACAACGACATACCATATGCAATACGTATATCACTTGATTTAACGGATAGACACTTCACATTTTGCTCATGGAATTTTACAATTAAAACAGTTAGTGGAAAAGTCAAATTTGAAGAACTTTTTGTTGCTACAGTATATGTGGACGTTTACTTACAGCCAAAAGATATCATGACAGGTGCTGACACAATGGTTCCCTGATTGTTCTGTGCTCTACACTCGTACACACCCGCGTCCTCTCGTTCATTTGGTGTACTTATTGTCATGCGACCATTGGCAAACGTGTACCGGTTGTTTGTTTGAGATGTTATCTGTAACAGTTAAACAGTTTTGACAGACACGCCACCGTATTACACTTTATAATTACCTCATGCGCAACTTTCGTCTGTCGTTCTTAATAAAACTCGGAGTCTGCAAAATATTCAATTTAGTGGGTTTCTTTTAATATAGTTCTTAATGCAACTTACAATTTATAAATTAGTGTTTCAATATTATACGATATCATCATAATATCGGACATACGAACAATATGAAGCTTTAATCCAGGTGAAAGACTAGTATTATTATTTTTGGTTGAGTTTTACGCCGCACCAACAGTATAGGTCAATTAATTATTCAAATTTGCTGTATCATTGTTTTCTTGTTTTGTGTATATGAGGTTAATGTACTAAGTTATCACGAGTATTTCACACTATTACCATTTTGTATTCAGAAGACTGTGCGTTTTTAACGAACCAGTGCAGTTCTGGTTGTGGATAACCAGTGGCGACACAGTCTACAACTAACGGCATGAGGTTACCAACGACAACCACGTTTTCTATGTCGTTAAGGAAAGAAGGACCCTTTGGGACATGGTCGGCACTGACATCTCCTTCTCCAAAAGCTGAAAAAGGACTATAATATAAAATACAAGTATGTACCATCTTCTTGATAATGATAATCCTTTATAATTCGGTCATTTTTCTTGAATAAAACATTTTTCATTTTTTAGTATTATATATAATAGAGTATTTTTTAAATGAATGAACAGTTATAATGTTTATTATCAAAGAAAAGCAGATATTAAGAGGATATTTTTTCGTTTGCGTGAAATATGGAATATATTTTCACGAAACATGATAAAATGCCACATATTTTCACGAGCCGGTACGGCGAGTGAAAATATATGGCATTTTATCATGTTGAGTGAAAATATATACCATATTTCATAAAAAACGAAAAAATAACCTTTTTATTTAATTTCATTATCAAAGAAAATGGTAACGAATTCCCGTGCTTGCTACCAACTGCAATTGTACAGCGCGCAGTAATTTATGCGTAAGCACGCGCTGTTTGGCGCTACATTGTGACGTCATGTAAACAACTATTTAAACGTCTGTACAGCGTTAATTACTGAATTAAAGATATTGGTGTTCGGATTAATTTTCTTAGTTAGACCATTTTCTATCATGCTAGATAGTTTTCAAAACAATATTCAAGAAAAAGTTGTTTTGTTTTTATCAGATTTTTTAAACAAAACGGCGAAAGAAGTCCCTTAAAATAAATATGAGTTTTGACTCCGCCCACTTTCATATTTATATTTCATATTTATTTTTAAAAAAATATGAAATATATTTGACTTATATAGCACCATATTTCATGGGTAAAATTAAATAAAATGCCTTAATCATAAATGATATCACACAGGTTCATATCTGCATCTGAAATAATACAAATATAAAAAAATCATATTTGAGATGTGTGACCTTGTATTTGACCCAAGATGATTCATGTTTAAACTTAAGCTAGAAATCATCTAAAACAACATTTCTGACTAATTTCCTGGATATTCCATTTAAAATTGTTACCTCTTCTAAGAGCGTTAGAAAGTTTTTTTCCAATATTTTAATTGAAACAGTGTTTACAATATTTTATTTCTTCATATTTTGGCTGTGTGACCTAATGTTTGAGCTAGAAATCATCTTAAACAACAGTTCTGACAAATTTCCAGGATAGTTGGGCTGAAAATTTTAATAAGGGTTTTCCATATTTTGGCTGTGTGACCTAGTTTTTGACCGGTATTCAAACTAGAAATCACCTTAACATCCAGCCTGGCCAATTTTCAGTTATTTGGAATGAAGCACTAGAATGTTAATTTCAAACATTTTTCGGTGTATACGATAAACTTTATATCAGCTTAAAGGAAAAAATGATTTCGGTCGAATGCTGTAGAATTTAAGATATTTTGTTCGCCTATGCCGTAACAGTTTCCAAGGATACGCAAATGACGTCAAGTTCAAAAACGGGCTTTGATGGTCAACTTTGACGTTGTGTGTACAAAAATTGGCTGGAACTATTGGAATAAAATTAACGGAATCTAATCAGAAATGTAGTCAACATTTTTACATGCCAAGACGCTGCTCGAAAGTTCGCAAAGTGTCGCGTTCTACCAAGATTTTTTTCTATATTTGGCTAATGTGACCTAGTTTTTCAATCGAGATGACCTATGTTTAAATTCGACTGGCTAATGACTTGAAAGTTTGGTTACAAATGAGGCAAAAATGTTTTGAATGGTAACGAATTAAATATGGACCGACGACCGACGACGGACGACGGTTATTCAACAATCTTAAAAGCTCACACTGAGCCAGCTCAGGTGAGCTACAAGGGGGTCGTAGCGCTAGCTTTCATTTCTTTATAAAATCAATAAACTTATAATAAAGAAATTACGAACCGAAGTCTCTGGTTTGTTGTATAAGCCTCGGTACCTCACTTTTTGGAATTTCACAGATGTAATTGAGCTGGTCTGAGCCCGAGGACTGACTCCATCCATACTGTCTAGTAGCAGCTGAAAAATTAAATCACCATCCAGATGCAGACAGTGAGTAATGAGCATAGACAATAAAGATGCCTTTGAAATTGTCTATTAAACGCCAAAGATTTCTTCTGTGTAGAAAAAAAAATAGTTTCGCAATTCATCTCCAAGTTGTTGTTTTTACAATATTTCACACTGGTAATATTATAATAGTATCGCCGTTGAATTAAATAAAATATTTCAATTTTGACGAACAATAATAATGAAATAATTGTTACCGGAAAACTTATAGATGACTTTGTCATTTCGTTTGTGTATTTGTATGGGTTCTATAATCCAGTATGAACCACTGGTCACAGTGTCATTGGAATAAGTCCCGTCCCCATTCCATTTCACGTAATCTCCTATACGCTGTCCGCTCGTATACCACTCTGTAACGCTGTTAAATATTATATAAAAGTTTAATTTTTACACAACATGATTACAACAGTTCAACAGTCTAGAAAAATTACCGGGATATTGAATTTGAATAAAGTTGTTTTTTCTGTACCCTGCCATATTTGAGTATTTGGTAATGTCCTGGTTTGGTTTAAATTCGGATGTATACTGTTCTGTGTAGGAACACTGACATTGAGAACCTGGTCATGCACCACTGGTCACACAGGTTTTCATTGCTGTACACGTGATCGTATAATTATTATCCAATCCTGACATAATAATGACCATCTTCTAGGGAAGTTGCATTTTATCACTTTACAATTCTGGCCACAATGTTAAGTATGTACTAAATATGCGACAAACCCAAACATATTTAAAAGGAAGTAAATGGATAATTACCTGAGTTTTCCGTGACGCTCCAAATACTGTGCTATAAAGTTATGTTCACCTATATCGTTCACACTGACCAATGAACTACCTTGGCCCTTTAAGGAATTAAAAAAAACAAAAACAAAAAAACATTCGCTTAAGACCATCTCGGAAAATAAATACAATTATAATGAAATATGTAAGACAAATCTGGGCAACATTTTACTTAACATATAAAGTTAGTTGTTAATGTAAACATATACTCGTAGTGTGTTCGTATATCACATGGTACCAGATTCTTTAAATCGTCTTTATTCAGAGCTTAAAAATGCAAAAATCGACATAATTTGTTAACCCCGGAGTGTGTTCGAAATTAGAACTTAGAATATATTTAAGTATATATTTTTTAGTATTATAATCGTGACATTTATATGAGTTATCAACATTTCAAAATATGATAACAATTATGTTACCCAACATGCGGTGGCTGCATCATCGTAAACTTTAGCTTCTTCAAAAACAAACTCGTAACAACTGTCACCGTGGGGTTCCCATCCCAGAGGACATCCTTGAAAGATAATTAACATTGTTTGTATACGTTATTTACATCGTTCTCTTTTGCTATTTTCATAGCTACCATTTGGTTAGTACTGCAATAGTTGAGTAAATTAAAAGTCTATAATTTCACTAAATTATAAGGAGACTTCTTTTATGCAGGTCTTTTTTTAACGGAACAAATAGGCCTGCACAGGCACTAATTAAGAGTCAATAGGTATCCATGAAAATGATGTAAGTAAAGTAAACAAAGTATTATAATTTTTGATTTACATGGTAAGCTCAGATTTAAATTTATAATACATAAAATATAGGTCAACTTACCTAGACCGAGTATTGTTTGACAAATTACGTTATTTGCAAGAAATAAAACAAATGAGCAGACGATGAGTGGAAATAAATTAGACATGCTTCAGCATCGTTGTCGTCCTCCAAAAAATCAGAGAAGGCACGCCTGTGGTCAATCTGTCCAAACAGCCACGAATATATTTCTCAGATCTGTAACCAAGATAATACATAATACAGTTTATGACTTCATTAGTAAACGTAAATTACAATGACACTAATTCAGTTGGGTAAGTCTTTACCAGTATACAACAGATTTGACAGTATTAGTTGGCATGTCTATGATTCAGCTCAAGCGTCTTACTTTACACACTGTATGTTAATTCATTTTAATTTCGTTCAAGTTTAATACTTATCTAAGAATGTATTCGTATATCTTAAATGCGTCACATGTTAAGAGAAATTCATTCAATTTGTTTATTATAAGCACTTAAATGGACTTCAAACTATCATAGTTTATTACATGCTTTTCGATGGTTTATAGAAATATATCAGTGAATTAAAACTGGTAATTTCACTGTTTGAAACAGTGAAATTATCAATTTGATAATTTCACTGTTTTGAATTTAAGCCCCTTACGTTGTTTCAGGTAAATACCAGCGTACACAGAACTGGAAACCAACTTAATACAGTGACGTCGTAAATGACGTCACGTTGTATAATTATTTGGCGCGCTATTCATTCAGTATTAGGTAAAAATGTCCTTTTTAACGTTTGTTTGCATATAATAAAAAGAAAATTTGTTTAGTTTAGTGTAAGATCGAAATATATTTCACCTCGTGAACACCAAAAGTTCACATTTCACTCGTGGCTGCGCCACTCGTGAAATATACCTTTTGGTGCTCACTCGGTGAAATATATTCCAATCTTACACTGATCTTAACAAATATCCTCTATATCATCGAAATTATTAATGATCGAATTGATTTTATAAATGAGCATAAATCTAATTATTCTACTTAAATAGTAAGTAGACTAAACAGCCTTTTATAGTGTATTTATAATCAAAGTGCAAAGCCAAATAGCACATCAGTGCGTACAAAAAGTTCATAATCATTCCAAAAGTATCAGATATTTATTCCTATATGTTTGAATGGTAATGTTTTAACATATTTTCCCTAAAAGATAAGAGTAAACATCAAACATTTCAATAATTTATAACTTTTACATATTAGAAACAGTATGAATAGTATTTGATTTATGAGATAACTTGACCTGAAAATCGTTGGGCTTTACCGGCTGTACTAATTCCACTACTTTACATGTATTTACTTTCTAAATAATGCTTTTAAACAAACCTGTTGCTTTTTTTTAGCACATCATCGAATATAATCGAAAGACGCAATACCTTTCATTTATTTAATAATTTACGCTTTGTGTTGATTGCTTGCTATTATTCGACTTTTTTTACAAATTATTCAATATAGTAGCAATGTTAAGTTCAAACTAGATATGCAGACGTAATGTCGGTTTTCAAAAAATCTTAACCGATTGTTTGGATCTTACTTAAATATTACCTACTAGTAGGAACAACAAACAAATTAAGACAGTTATATAGGCTGTCATACTGTATTGCAACACATTTTGATTGCTCTTTAAGTTTAACAGTTAATTTAAATGCAAATTATAAAACTAGTTGAATGGTCAACACGATTTGTATGTTTGTATAAGCTCATCACACTGACACAACTATTTTAATGGAAAATGTTCACAAATAAAGAGATAACGTTTGCTGTCTGATATAAAATACTTCAATTTGACCTATATTAAACTCCAACTAAACATGTCTTCTGATAAAAATTGTTAGATAGAATATGCTCATGAATTTTAATTATTTTCCTCCTCGAAAACTTTCATTGAGTATATTGAGCGCCAAAATCCAAACTTGATTTTAATCATTAATAAAATTGTAGCATATAGTTACGTTAACTGGTAAAACTTCACTTAACAGTAAAACTTTATTGATAGAGAAAATTTAATACAATGTATTCTGAAATGTAACTTTTACACCATGCTATGTAACACTCAAGAGAAACTAGTATCAAAATGTTGATAAAATTATTAACTTCCTTACAAAACAATCAAATTCTTAAAGAAAATCTATTCGTGATTCAGGCTTTTTATTCATTTTGAAACAGGTATTTTGTTATTAAGGCCAATATTCATTACTTCAATGGTATTTTCTGTAAGTCGCACGAGTTTTTTATAGAACAATTTGGAATATATTACATATTACACGCAATAAACGAATATGCATAGAAAGCCATTCTCATGATGGATATTATTTTTTTGATCTTTATGACAGATGTCGGTCAGATATGTAAACATAAGGTCAGGGAACAAGTTGGTTTCAATTCCAAAACACTTTCGGATTATGACATAAAAGCAGATATTTGTAGCAGCTGCACGTGCTCTGTTTTTTTTTTATAACTTGGCAATGCTGAGATGACTCTAATGTATGTAAATTTATACATGAATCGAATAATTAAATACCGATAACAAGAGCGCATGTTACATAATACCGGGCATGGGAACTTTAACAGGGTACATAAATTTGAAGCTTTCATGTTGTTTAATGGTTATTACTTATTTATTTCTATTCTTCTGCAAATTCGACATACAGGAACATGTATTTTATCTCACTTATAAACTTCTATATATTGCAAAAAGCCGTACGAAGTCCGCAATATTACCTTGTGGAACAAAAGTCCTTCTGATCATATAGGGACGTATGCTTATCCAAACCCTCATGACCAAGACTGCCTGTGACTTTAAAATGGCATGTTTATTGCATTCTGGATTTATGTCGTTAACGATTTAATTTCAGCACAATTAATTTACACAATGTAGAATTTATTGTAAATTAGTTTCATAAAAGTAATTATACTTTGTCCAAAAAAGCTTATACGATTTCATCAATTATAACTTGTCTATGTAATTTTACTGTAACCACGGCCCAACCTAGCGGAGACTATGATTGAATTTTCAAAACCATTGTTAAAAAGACCACATCATGAGGTAAAATTCCCGCTAAAGCCGCGACTGGCGCAGAAACAATGGTTTACAGTTTAATCAGAATTTTAATAGATTTTCTTTAATTATCCGTTGGCTGTTTTGATTAAATAAACATGGACCTAACAGGGCAGGGACAAAAGAAAGGTTACTCGGCTATTGACAATTGACATGTTCATTAATTAAAAGAAACACTTTAAATTATTCGTCACAATTAGAGATAAGAAACTGTGTACAAATATACTGAGTCGTGTTATATACACACGTTGCCTCTCTGGCTTGCACAGGAAAAGTGTTGTTTCTATTCAAACTAAATTATGTTGTTACACATATTATGTTGTTCCCGGTTGTTAGTTGTCAATATTGTCAACCATGCCATTTGAACGTGTAACATAAAACCATTTTCTATCAACAGATATCTAAAATCACTGTGCTTTTCAGTTGTTGTTTTAAACGTTATAATTATAATATATACTTGTATAAGAACCTATAATTTTTTGTTACGGCGGCAGTCATATAACGACTTACTAGTAAGGGAATGCAGTGAGGGTGTCTTAGATTATTTGTTTGCTAAACATATCATTTATTTGCTCTATACTGTCCTTAATCGTGTTTTATTACTATTACTTTATGTTGATGAATATATTTCATAAATATATATAATTATATGAAAGAAAGTCGTGAGCGGGAAATAGATGTTATTGACAAAGATATATTATTTGACAATCGACAATCTATAATTTACAAATGGAGCATATGTAAACTCAATACGGAGACCATTATTGTTAGCGTAAACTAATTGTTATTTTATAAATATGTAAGTTCTATTTAAGATGATGATTGTAATACGTTCACACTTTTCATATCCTAAAATTTCAATTCTCATAGCTTTTAAACATATTGTTTTTTTTTATCTCGTATCGGAAAAGGTAAACTGTTCAAAAAGCGGACTAATTTCATCCGTAATTTCAAACATTAGTGGACGCATCGAAAAAAGCATTTCAATTTTAGCTATGTGTATGAATAAAGCATGTATATTTAGATATGACCAAATTTTACTTACCTAAAGTTTATCTGTCCTAGTTATGTTGACATTTTTTCAAACAAAATTTCTAATTCAGTATCCTTGTATAATGAAGACTAATATACTAATCAAATACACTTTTTTGAAATTCCACAATATATATTCCCACTTTTTCACAACAGAGGCGGTAAATTATTGTACAGTCAAATTTGTTAGTCACAATGTTAAAAACAGTGCAGAACGAGGCAAGGTTTGCGAAAATTTCAAAAATCCCTGATAACGTAAGATAACAACTATCAAATCAATAACGTTATCTAAAATTGTGTACGACCCAGCTCTGTTAGCCAAATTTAGATAAACAAATTGTCGTTTTAAAACGGAGAGTAAATATTCATGAATTCCTGCTTCACCATGGAATTATCATAACAACAAATAGAGTATACGTTATCAGAAGAAATCCTGACATCACAGTTACTTTTTTATATAAAAATCATATAATGTCAGGAAGCTCTGACTTTGTAAGTCCTACGTAGGACTTTATTAGTCCTACGTAGGACTTTATAACTCCTACGTAGGAGATATAAAAACCTAATTAGGAGTGAGAAAGTCTTACGTAGGAGTAAAAAACTCCTAATTAGGCTTCTTTATCTTCTACGTAGGAGTTACAAAGTCCTACGTAGGAGTTATAAAGTCCTACGGAGGAGTTTAAAAGTCCTACGTAGGAGTTATAAACTCCTACTTAGGCTTTTTTTATCTTCTACGTAGGAGTTACAAAGTCCTACGTAGGAGTTAAAAAGTCCTACGTAGGAGTTATAAAGTCCTACGTAGGAGTTTAAAAGTCCTACGGAGGAGTTTAAAAGTCCTACGTAGGAGTTATAAACTCCTAATTAGGCTTTTTTCATCTCCTACGTAGGACTTATGAAGTCCTACGTAGGAGTTATAAACTCATAATTAGGTTTTTTTTATCTTCTACGTAGGAGTTACAAAGTTTTAAACTCCTAATTAGGCTTTTTTATCTCCTACGTAGGAGTTTTCTAGAACATGTTAAATTGGCACCAGGACGCTTCCGTAGTGGTGGGCTATCTTTTAACAAACAAAAGTTTTTTTTACTGTTTTTAATTACTTTTAATATGTAATGATATCGGATAGCACGTTTTTTTTTTTAAACCTGTTTTTTGTTTGTTTCCAAAGTCAATACAAACAAATTTTCAGCTCTGTATATTTGATAGATTTAATCTATTTCAGTACCGCATCACCCCATCTCAAATTATAACAATAACAATATTTGATGTTATATTTATATATACACATATTACCTTAACAGATTTAGTGTAAAGTAATCCGCTAAAGTAAGCTTATTTTTGCCGGTAAAATTTATTGTTTACATAAAACTACATTATTAACTATTTTTGTCATTGGTCTACAATACAAAAGTTTATTACACTTTATTACTTCAGACTCTGATGAAACTACTTTTAATGCCAGTAAATTCATTTTTAAAGATTCTCATCTGCAATCGATTTCAGACTTGAATATTTTTAAGGAATTATTTCTAACAAAATCTAATAATGTTACCAGTCAACCGGTGAGAACATAGCGCTATCTAAGGGAGGTAACTTTAATAAATAATACGAAATAGGGAGACTGAAGGTTAATTCCCTCGTTTATCATTTCAGCAGTTATTATTGAAGCAATTGTGCAACCAATTCACGTCCTGTCTCCTTCGTTAACATAAATCTCTTGAACACATAAATTGTATCTGTCTGTTGACAAAGTATGCAAATATTCTAAAGGTGGCAAAATAGTAAATAATTTATTATTTTCATAAACATTTAAATAATACAATAATTCAGTAAAAACAATGCGCTTATTTCATTGGTTCTTTACTTATATAGATCATTAACTTATTGGTTAGCTCAAACACATCAATTATGTCATATACAAGATTACATGTATATTATTTCAACCTGTTTGCGGCAGTTGATGATATTCCATTCAGAAAATGTTATGTAAAGAAAGGATAACGCCGACTTTAACTTCGGAAAAAACTTACACCTCACCGTTACATATCGCAAGTCAGACTCCGAAATAAACAGAAGCCGAATGCCATCAAACAGGACCAGTAGCCAGATGTCTCTGATGTCTGCAAGATCCAGACACTCACCACAGAAGAGTATATCGCTAACAAAGGAAATAAGAACGTCCACAAGGTCGTCAGCTCCCACTAAATCCTGGGACGGTCGACACTAGTACTTCCGTTTATTATTAGGCCACAAACAGTTTGTTAGTCACGCATCAAGCACGTTTTTGTCTATTTTCACTTATTTTATTATGATATTATTACTTTTTAAGGTAATATATAACACATTTTTCATTTTTATTTAGTCTCTTACCAGATGATTTCTGGTATTATTTTTGCCTCATCGTTTTTGCTGTTGTTTTACTTTTGTACGGATTTAAATTTTTTATCGGCTTTTAATGCAAATTAATTAAAAAAAACAACATTGATTAAAATGAAAACAAAACCATTTCCTTTTTGCTTATTTTTAAGCCTTCATTCTTCAGACTTTTTTTTAAATACTGCTTTCGAAATACGTAATTGTCTTTCACTCGTCTTTCCTTAAAATATTTCTATATATGTACTTATCATCTGTTACAAAACAATCTTTCTCCTTATATAAATATGTATACCTACATCTTTAACTTTATCATGTATATTCTAAGACCTTTATTCTAACATCTTTATTCGAAATCTGTATTCTAACATGTTTATAACATCCTGATGATACTTGCCCACAACACTTCAACTCATTTTCATCCTATCATTCATGTTTTCGTCAAAACAAGAAGAAGAAAAGCATAAAACTGACAAACACACAAAGACGTTTAATTACATTTTTTCCTCTTTTTTTTTAATCAGTTTTGTAAACGGCTCAAGATGTATCGTTTTTCGGACATGCCTTTTTATTATTATTATTTTAGTATTATTATTATTATTCTATTATTATTATTATTATTATGATTTTATTATTATTATTATTATTATTATTATTATTATTATTATTTTATTATTATTATTATTATTATTATTATTATTATTATTATTATTATTATTATTATTATTATTATTATTATTATATACCAATATGTAATATATAAGCTGAACATTTGAATTTCTTAAATGAAACAACCCGTTTGGTTTCAACTGTCTTTCAATCTATTTTATGTAGAACTATTACAAGTCGACAGTTATATGTTAAAATGAATAAAAAACATGAAATATTACACTTAATAAGAAGGGTGTAGAAGTATTTTATCTTGCCTTGCTTGCATATCAGGCGAAATATTCTGGCAGTTACAAGACTTGTGATATTTGCCTTTAACCGCCTCGCTCCAGACTGACCTTGCAAAACATTTCTAATAGTTTTTTTAATACAAATCCAAATAGACCGTCTAAAAATGAAAGCAATTATTTTGCTCTGCCTTTAACAAATCTTTGGTCCGACGTATTTGAATAGAAAAAAATAAGTATCTTTGAAAAATGAAAAAGATACTTGATACTTGGCCGAAGTAAAACTTGTTAACTTGTATAATTTGTTATTTATTAGTTTTCCAAGCGATGTCATAAAGAAATGTTAGCATAGCTGCATAAAAATGACGTAATAATTTCTTGGTGAAAATGGAACACTTTAAGATGTATGTGTTTCTAAAGAAAACTGTCGTGTTTTGACACCAACATCTACGCAGTCGGTAAGGCGGTTATTTTTATAAAAATACTTAATTAATTAATATGCAAAAACATATAAATATTATAAACATTTTATCAATTGAACACATCAATAATCATATAATATATTAGACACTTATTGAACATCATAAACTAGGGTACCTGATAAGTTCTGATATTATTCTCATTATTTTTGATAAAATTTAAAACTCACATCTTATGTAAAATGAACTTAGTAAGTTCTTTGTTCAATAGAATTAGCACTGAGATCTGGAGGCAAAGAAGTATTCTTAAACAGAACTTAAATATCTGAGCAATTTAACTAGAAAGTCAAAGCACTTTCTAGTTAAATTGCTCAGATATTTCGAATGGCAAATGATATTCCCAGATTTCAATTTGTAATTTTAAAATGACCAATGAAAACTCTTAAAAAATAAAGTTGAATCGTCACATCATACATGAGCATAGTAAGAAAAGGTTAAACGATATCAAGCTATATCTAAATTTTTCTACTTCAGTTTTTTTCTGGTCGTTTGTTTTTTACCACTTTTAAAGACATACTATACCTCTCTATGGGTAAAATATTTCTATTGCAGACATTTATTGAAATCTAGGAATTTCTTACTGTATATATGTCTAATTACTGATTGTATGTCTAATTTGAATAAGAGAATGCATAAACTGTTTGAATGTCTAAAACGTAACACATCTTCTCTGCATATACTCAAAGTATGCTTATTATACATTTAAAAAAGCTACTTTGTTGTTATATAAGGTTATAAGTAGCAACAATCGGAGAAATTAATGAAAAATAAATATTTGTTATTTCAAACATTTCAGCATGTTTTTAAAATCTACAAACGATGAGCTTTTTGAGAAAAATGTAAGTTTTTTATTATGTGCAAATTTCGTCGGCGGATGCTGAAGCACATACTCTACTATCAACCTATCATGTTACCTAATCTCTTATAGAAGCAGTTTACTTTAAAAACCTATAATGATAATAATTATATTGTCATGAAGAATGAACATAGATACAACAGATATTGTCATGGTTGTCTTCTATTTGTGAAAGGGTGACGAACATATTTACTCATGCTTCACTCGAATTCTGATATTTTTTGATCCGGTGCGTGACAAAAATATTTTTAATTCTGGATGTATTGTTGACATGTTTTTGTTCACTTCAAAGCTGAAATCTTAACTGTACTTTTCAAAGTAGATTTAAAATGTATATGTAAATTTTCATTTCTAAGTTTTCATTTCAATAATATATTCCAATTGCTTCACATATATGCAACCGTTTGGTTTACAGTTTAACTTAGACAAGTACTTTGATGAATTATGTATTTGTTCAGTAAGAGGATTTACACTTATAAAGAAACCTTACAAACATACTTGACTTAATAAGAGACGATTTAGTGACTGCCTTTTGAGATATACATCATATGCTGTGAATATACGCAAAGTTACCAACAAATAATGCGATTTTAATCTTAACTTTTTAATTTAATATAATGTTACACAGTTTAGAAAGCTAATATCTTCCTGCGAAAAAAATATTTTTCTTATTATTATTGTCAGAAAACAATATACGAGTATATGCTGTAGTCTTTTAAAGAATGAATATCTAAATCATTTGTATGTGTCTAGTGATTTTAACGCTTAAAAACAAAGAACATCGCAGTTGAACAGACACTGATGTTTCATAGATTAGCTATTTTGTATATTTCATTTATTTATTTATTTATTTATTTATTTATTTATTTATTTATTTATTTATTTATTTATTTATTTATTTATTTATTTATTTATTTATTTATTTATTTATTTAATATAAAGTAATAAGTAAATTTAAGTAATATAATATTTGTCATATCATCAATGGATAAAAATGGAAATACCAGTGCGAAATTTTTCGGGAATACAAAATTTTTGGCAAACGTTCTTCACCAGCTGAAAACTGATGAAGTATTCCGGAGGAAGGTCATCATTACACTAGCCGTGTTTAACACATACATTGCCTTAGTAAGTTAAATTTGACATTGTTTAACACATATACATTGCCTCAGTAAGTTAAATTTGACATTGTTTAACACATATACATTGCCTTAGTAAGTTAAATTTTGACAGTGTTTAACACATACATTGCCTCAGTAAGTTAAATTTTGACATTGTTTAACACAAACATTGCCTTAGTAAGTTAAATTTTGACACATTCATTGCCTTAGTAAGTTAAATTTTGACATTGTTTAACACATATACATTGCCTCAGTAAGTTAAATTTTGACATTGTTTAACACAAACATTGCCTTAGTAAGTTAAATTTTGACATTGTTTAACACAAACATTGCCTTAGTTAATTAAATTTTGACATTGTTTAACAGAAATATTGCATTGGTTAGTTAAATTTTGACATTGTTTAACACAAACATTGCCACAGTAAGTTAAATTCTGACATTGTTTAACACAAATATTGCCTTAGTCAGTTAAAGTAAGTTATATCTTGACATTGTTAAACACATATACATTGCCTTAGTTAAATTTTGACATTGTTTAACACTTGCATTGCATGAGTAAGTTAAATTTTGACATTGTTTTAACACATATATTGCCCTAGTAAGTTAGATTTTAACAGTGTTTAACACTTGCATTGCCTTTGTTAGTTAAATTTTGGCATTGTTTAACAGAAACATTGCATTAGTTAGTTAAATTTTGACATTGTTTAACACAAACATTGCCACTGTAAGTTAAATTCTGACATTATTTAACACAAATATTGCCTTAGTCAGTTAAAGTAAGTTATATCTTGACATTGTTAAACACATTTACATTGCCTTAGTTAAATTTTGACATTGTTTAACACTTGCATTGCATGAGTAAGTTAAATTTTGACATTGTTTTAACACATATATTGCCTTAGTAAGTTAGATTTTAACAGTGTTTAACACTTGCATTGCCTTTGTTAGTTAAATTTTGGCAAATAGGCGCGTAGGAATGACGTCATTTAAAACACGCGACTTGTCTTGCATGGAGTGTAAGACAGGTTTTTCTAGCAATGGTGTAAACGGTAGATAATCCTGTCTATATGCAAGAAATGCATTGCCTTAGTCAATTACATTTTATCAGTGTTTAACACGTGCATTGCCTTAGTAAGTTACATTTTGACAGTGTTTTACACTTTCATTGCCTTTGTTAGTTAAATCTTGGCAGTGTTAAACACATACATTGCCTTAGAACAGAATTCATGCAAAAAGGCGCGTAGAAATGATGTCATTTTAAACACCCTTCTTGTCTTGCATGGGGATGTAAGACATATTTTTTAGCAACGGTGTAAACGGTTGTTAATCCTGTCTAATATGCAAGAAATACATTGCCTTAGTAAATTACATTTTAACAGTGTTTAACACTTGCATTGCCTTAGTAAGTTACATTTTGACAGTGTTTAACACATTCATTGCTTGAGTAAGTTAAATTTTGACAGTGTTTAACACATGCATTGACTTAGTACAGTGTTCAACATTTGCATTGCAGTAGTAAGTGTAATTTTTACAGTGTTTAACAATTACATTGACTCAGTAAGTTAAATTTTGACAGTGTTCAACATTTGCATTGCCTTAGTAAGCTAAATTTTGACAGACGTCAACATTTGCATTGCCTTAGTTAAATTTTGACAGTGTTTCACACTTGCATTGTCTTAGTAAGTTAAATTTTGACAGTGGTCAACACTTGCATTGCCTTAGTTTAATTTTGACAGTAATTAACAAATGCATTGCCTTACTCTGCTACATTTTGACAGTGTTTAACACTTGCATTGTCTGGGTAGTTAAATTTTGACAGTGTTTACCACATGCATTGAAGTAGTAAGTTAAATTTTGCCAGCGTTTAACACTTGCATCGCCTTTGTAAGTTAAATTTTGAAATGTCTAACACTTACATTGCCTGAGTAAGTTTAATTTTGACAGTGTTCAACATTTGCATTGCCTTAGTTAGTTTAATTTTGACAGACGTCAACATTTGCATTGCCTTAGTTTAATTTTGACAGTGTTTCACACTTGCATCGCCTTTGTAAGTTAAATTTTGAAATGTCTAACACTTACATTGCCTGAGTAAGTTAAATTTTGACAGTGTTCAACATTTGCATTACCTAAGTTAGTTTAATTTTGACAGTGTTCAACATTTGGATTGCCTTAAATTTTGCATTGAATTAGTAAGTTAAATTTTACCAGTGTTTAACACTTGCGTTGCCTTTGTTAGTTAAATTTTGAAATGTCTAACATTTACATTGCCTGAGTAAGTTAAATTTTGACAGTGTTCAACATTTGCATTGCCTTAGTTAGTTAAATTTTGACAATTTTCAACACTTGCATCATGAGTAAGTTACATTTTGACAGTGTTTAACACATGCATTGCCTGAGTAAGTTAAATTTTGACAATGTTTAACAGTAAGTTAAATTATATATACTGAAGTCTTTCATTTTTAATAAACATAAAAATTGATATCATTTTTGTACAATGTTATAGGATGATACAATTCATCATCATCATCATTATCATTATCATCATCATCATCATCATCATCATCATCAACAACAACAACAACAACAACAACAACAGCAGCAACACATCACCATCATCATCAACAACAACAACAACATCTTCATTTTCTCGTCAACATCATCGTCATCAAAACGAAGAATGGAACTAAGAACAATTATTACTAATTATAAACTACATGCTTCATTAATTACATGGGTTTTCTTTCTTGAATAACACTTCATTTGTTGTATTTTTGATTCGTCGATATAAAAAACCTTTACGATTTTTCCTTCGTATCATATTGGCACATAAACAAAGATAACAAAAATAGTACAAACCGATTAGTAAATAATGTTTAAATGCTATTTTATTATATGATCTAAATATAGCTGCAATCTCATTTGTCCAAACAGTAATCAACGGAACTTTTCATAAAATCATATTCACTGGCTGAATTGGATTTCCCCAGTCTAAATATAGATTGAGACTCATATTCAATGACCATACAACGTAGACTGTTAATTACGCGTGTTAATTAAAAAATAAATGTTTTCGTTCTTTATGGCATATTTTTCGATTAAAATATCATTAATTTACTATTATACTTAAAGGCTACACCGCAATGATGAGTATAAACTTGAATTACTTTTGTATGCGCAGCGTTCAGTAGTCGTTGCACGCCTAACACGTGCGTCTTTTTTCCCGCGCTTCAACGAGGCAAAAATTGTACATGTAAATAAGGTTGCGCAATCTGTGTTGTTTTTTTTTTTATTCTGAGCCTTTTCATATAATAAAACAATTATTGACTAGTGAGCCATTGGATATGATGTGATATTCACCGGCAGAAAGTCATATTGACCTCGGCTATCGCCTCGGTCAATATGTCATCTGCCGGTGAATATCACATCATATTCAATGGCTCACTAGTCAATAATTGTATAATATATAATGTTCCCTTCAAGATATCATTCTAAAAAGTGGTTCGCAGGTGCTACATTAGTTGTTGCATAGTCGCCAATAAAAAGCAATAACAGTTAAAGTGAAACATTTTAACTGCTCTTACTTGTTTTTGTTTTTTGTTTTTGCAATCAATATGCTTGCATATCATTGTAGTTTAGAAGTATGGAGCATGTTAAAGTACAGTTTATTCGATAAAGGTTATCATCAGATCGTCCGTGGAGAAAGTGAGAGGAAGAATGTTTTTGCCACGCTCTAAATTGACATAAGTTTGCTATATAACAGTAATTTACACTTGGCTGTTACTAATGCGTTTGGCCGAGATCCCATTGTTTGACTTGGGAAGTTTATTGCTACTGATGATATTGATTCAAAACGGAATAAAGTATTCTGCTGCAGCCCACGCAGTATTTAGATATCATAATTTTATTGGAGTTTTATACATGCACGCAAATGGATTTTTGGTGCAGATTCGAATGTATGTGGTTTGGAATGTAGCCTTTTCGGTGTATACGATGCAGTATAAATACCTGTCAAATATGACGGACAATATCGTGTTACCTTTATGTGGACAGTGAACCAGAACAGATAATACAAGTGATTTGAACATATTTTTGTCTGTAAGTGGAATGTTCTGTTTTGAGAATAAACATGGAAAATGGAAGTGAAACAGGAATTGATCATAGGCCTGAGAAGACTAAATTGTCCAACAAATTTGTTCGAACGTTGAAGAACAATAAAGACTATCGCCGAAGATTTATTCTTACTGTGGCTGTATATTGGTCGTACGTGAATTTAGTGAGTTCAATATTTAGATTTTATTTAAATGATTTTTTTATTCTATCTTTACATTATTTCTCAAGAATGTATGAATGGATTAACACAAACCAGTTGATTTGTCTAAATATATCTATAAGTATATTTTTGTTTTATTAGTTTCCTTTACCTATTTTAGTTTATATAATTTAAAATATAATATCAATACCTATAGATCTGTATATTATAAAATCGCTTTCAGCAAATGCACGTGCTGAGCCGATATTTCAATTTTCGTCTTGAGTTTTAGACAATTCATTTGTAGATTTACAAGTAGTCAGGTCGTGGGTATTCGACGATTGCAAAAAGCACATGTTAATGTTTGTGGTTAAATCTATTACTATTCAAAATAAATGACCAGAGTATCTATCATATCGTTCAAATGCTTTGTAATTAATCACCCAAGCCTATCGGATAGCCTTAGTGATTATATTCCTAAGTATTTGAACTCGAACCGTGTATTATTCTACAATAGTGCAATCAAAATTGATATATATTTCTATTTATTCTAAACAACTGTCTTTTGAAAGTATTTGAAAAGAATACATGTCAGATTTATGTCATTTGTTTTCATTTGTATATTTTGAACCAGCTGTTAAACTTAGCCTGCAATTTCGTGAAAATAATATCACCATGCACATGCTTTTAACATAAAATGTTATTTAATACAAATATAACAAACTATTTGTTTACTTGATTTTACGAATCAAAATAAAACTAATTAGCACATGACATTAACTGCTAATAATTACAGCTCCTACCACGGGCCAAAAACATAAAAAAGCATTTCATAAGGGACGAGGCCGCTCACCGGCGTCGCCAATAAAAGGAGAAAGATTGAAATAACTTTTGTATGTCATCATGGTTTACTAAAACTAAACAATATTTACCGATGCATATTGGAGATATCTCTCCCAGGACATCTAATGTGATTGTGTCAGTTTTATCACGTGTGGGGGATATTATCTCCACAAAAAATTGTTTTGTATTATGAAGTTTAGCAACAAAAAAGCATTTGCTATCATGATATAAATATCTACCTTCGTCGTTGTTTGTTTTCGTTATGCAAACAGGTAGTTATTGTGTTTATATCTATTTAGTTGTGACCTTCGAAATAGCAGCAAAACAAGAAAATATATGAGCCGCGTCACGACAAAACCAACATAATGGGTTTGCGACCAGCATGGATCCAGATCAGGATACATGCTGTTCGCTATCAGTTTCTCTACCTGTAATAGGGTTTGTAAGCAAACAGCATGGATCCTGATCAGACTGCGCGGATGCGCAGGCTGGTCTGGACCCATGCTGGTCGCAATCCCATTATGTTGGTTTTGTCGTGACGCGGCTCATATGTTGATATATTGTGTGCAAGAGAAGAAAATATTGTCTTTATATTTGCACAATCAAATCTGTGTAAAAGATTTATGGGAAAGCGAAAAATCCTGCTATTTCTCCGTTGTGAACAGGTGTGTTTTCCGACTTTGTAAGGTTTTTCCAATTTAAACAGTAATCTTTCCCCCAATGTTAATAGTAATGTGTTTCCAATGTTTCATTGAAAGTGGTATGTTTTCTACGGAAACCATCACAAGTTTTTTTTTCTTTCTTTCTTGTTTTAACTTATATGTCATAAAATTGACATATCATTCAAATACACGCACAAATTGTTTCGGACAATTGCTCTGAATTCAAATTCATCGAAGCACATTCAAACACATTAAGCGAGTTATATAGACTGTTTTCAGTTACTGGTCAGTATCGTCATTTCGCCAAACTGACATATCAAGGCACGAGGATATCTGATTTGTAGGAGGGAGCGCAAGTCCCCCGAGTATAAATCAGATTGTAGTGTTTTGATTTTCTTTCTCTTTTTGTATCATAGGCAAAAATAAAAACACTTTCCCTGTCTTCACAATGTATGAAACCTTAGAAAAGATTAAAACAATTGTACGAGCATCTGAATAGAATTTTTCTATCATTATCCCTTTTCCTGTCATCATAATAAGAAAACCCCAGAATAATGTAACCAATAAACGAGCATGTGCTCTATTTTAATCCCCGCCATAAAGTACGTTAACTGGAGTGCAGGTACGATACTCGTATATGTAAGTTATACCTGTACACATACGATTTTTCAATAGAAAGGTCTCAAAACTATGAAACAATTATATTTTTCTATAAATTATATATTATCCGCAACAAACATTTTACTGATATTAAAATACTACATATATATAAATACAAACATACTATATAAAATAAAAATGTTATTCCAATTGTATTTATAACATACATAATATATACATGTATACACATATGAATATCATTAACGTATCACAAAAATAATTCACGTGTGACATATGTGTATTTTGTAAAGAGGATCCAGTGAAACGGCTAAATTCATTTATATATGTTACATTCCGTGCACTTAAATAATCTGAATCGTTCTCTTTGGAAAAAAAATGTTATAATAAACGCTCAATTATATTGCAAGCTTTTGTTAGTCGGGTATCGAAATGACATAAACGACATTGATAGCTACAGAAAAAAAACATAACCGACATAAGTATCTCCTTTTAGATTAAATACAAAGATCTATCTATTGACAGAATATTAATGTTTGGATTGACTGAATATAAATGTGTTATAACTGTTTGAATTATTTGAAATACCCTCCGTTATAATATATGATGATCTAATGACGACGACGACGAAGACGATGATGATACTGATCATGATGATCATATTCTTAAAGAAGATGCTGAAAGGCTTAGAAGAAAATTCAAAATGGCGATTCGTGATATATACTTAGTATTGATCTTCAAGATGAATGATTTATCAAGAAGCTATGGTTCGTTTTTATGGATTAAACGTATTGATGTGTTATTGTAAATTATGATCAAACGAGCAGTCACCCATCTTTAAATCAAACACTGTGACCAAATATCAATGAATTTAAGTCGCAGGCCGGTACACTGCGTATTTTTAAAATATACTAGTTTGTTGAGAAATGACTATTATACTTTTTATGTAATAAACATACATTCAAGTTAGAATGCTAAGTTGTGAAAATGATAGTGAACATGGAAGTGAATCAAATACAGACGACAACAGGTCTGAGGACACTTACTCTTTGGACAAATTTATTCGAAAGTTGAGAACGGACAAAGTTTACCGACGGACAGTTATTCTAACATTAGTGGTGTTTTGGTCGTACGTTATATTAGTAAGTAAAGCTTTGTTTGGTTTATTTTTCCGCTACAGATTAATATACCATTTTCTATTGTTTCTTAAAAAAGTTGCATTTCGACATATTTGTTGTTGGATGAAAGCCATAAATTAACAATCGGTTAAAAAAATGATCGGCTAAAATTATGTTCATCGTACAGATAAGTAACCATATTTTAAAAATCTAAGAGAAAATGAGTTGTATATATTGTGAGTTTATAGAATGTATTAACAATCCAATTTATACAAGATATCAGTGAATTTACTATTTTTATATAGTGTTGTTTACCATTAAATGGGTAAGGACTTTTGTCACACTATTTAACGTTATAGATCATTTATGTTGATAGTCAAAATTTGAGCATTGCATAAATCACAATTTGTGTACATGTGAAAAGGGATTCGTAAAAATCAGTATATGAATAAAGAGTCGTGCTTCATTAACTTTTACTGTTCAAATCATAATAAACCTCTATACAGGCGAATAGCAAGGATTAAAGTACCTCAAGGTCAAAGTTTAACCCCCAAAGTGTACACAGGTACATATGCATTTTTAACGTTTGGCAAAGGAAGCACTTTGGGGTGAAAAAATGACTTTCAATGATATCTTATTGATAAATGGCAATGGTAAATTTGAAATAAGTAGCAAAGGAAGTATGCGAAATGCATTATTAAGTCGGACAACAATAGTAGAGGATAATTTATTTGCCATTTGCAATAGATTATATCTTTTATGTTCAATTATTGGTATAGAATAGAGACCTTAAAGTAAGATGATTCTATAAATGGTTTGTATTGTAATAATTGGTGTAATAATACATTATATAACATTATTTACCCATGAACTAAATAACATACTTTCAGTTGCCCTGGCAACATAGAGAAAAACAGAATACCTAAAGAACGTCCAAAAAGTTTATCTTTCATGTCTATGTTTTAAAATAACAACAAATCTGTCATAATATATGATCTTTTAGTTTCAACCATTAAAATAATTTTAAAAAAAGTTATGGTGTAAAATCATGGAATGATATCTAATATCTGATAGGAGTGTTTATCAAATCAGTCAAATTATGTTTATTTTACGACCAAATCTTAGTTAACTTTATCTATATTGTTCCGAAGGCTACATTTAAAGTAGGATATGTTATTTTTTTACGATGGCATATCTTAATAATTTTATGTTACCTTTTTTAAGTAAAGTTATAATTCTGGTATCAGATAACACTTTGTGGCACTTTGTATACAACTATATAATAAAAGTCGTCTGAGGTTCTATGGTCATGACAGACACCCTGATTTCTACGTTAATAGAAAAATTCAAGATTGTGATAATCTCTCTTTTTGGTTGTGTAAACTTGATTGTTCATGATTCTTTCCATTTCTTGATTGTGTAAAGTGGATCATATTCGCCGTGCGCGCGCACATATATATTAACATAAAAGCGAAAATATATCAAATGATATCAAATATATGAACTACATGTATATCAAACATATTAAATGAAAAAGCAAAATTGTTACACAAAAAGCGAAAGTATTATAACAACAGTGTCATGGCTTTGTTTTGTTCTCGTTATTCGTTAAACTGTGCATGGCACTGATTAGCCACCATAGATATTATATGGCTTGTTTTATTCTATATGAGAATGACATAATATCGTTCTATGGAAGTCAGGGAAAAGAATGTTATCTTTTACCCATGCATCATTTATTCTGAACAATAAGAGGAAATTTGCATTTTGTCATATCCGAATG